CCCAAAATATCGAGTCTGAAGTCAGTGCTAACACATAAAGGGCAGTTTATTCAGGTTAACCTAGGTCTCCCAGCCATCCCTGCCAGCCCAGCAGGAACAACAGGGCGGAGAAAAGAGAGCGAGGTTGAACAGCACAGGGTTCTTATACATTTCAGACTAAAAATTATAGACATGATTGGTCAGTTTAACTGTTAACTTTCAAAAAGAGCAAGTGGCAGGCTTCTACTGGTAGGTTTGAAGCAAGCAACTTTCAAAAAGTACAAATTGATGATCTATAGGGCAGTGAATCTTGTCAAACACCAGGTACCTCCTTCCTGAGGAGTGCTCTGCCTACATGACCTGCCAGGTGTCCTGCACTGTCAGGCCAGGAGTTCACACAGCCCCCAGCCAAGCAAGTAAGGCAGAAATCAGAAAAGCAGAAAACATCTAGGTTCTTCCATATAGTTGGGTCTCTTGGGTAGTAAATTACCAACTAAAAATCTATTAATACTTTCAGATAATAGAATCAAACATGTCAGTCACTTTTTTCCTTTTGCACATCTATCTAATTTTAGGGTACTACTTTTATGTACCGGGATGAGGGCTGATTCAAACAGAAAGAACGGCTGGCAGGTTGAGGTAGGACAAAAAAATGTAATCCCACCCCATCCCTCACCACTCTCTACCAGCACATTTTCCCTCTACTAGCTTTGGCTGACTAAAAAGAGGATAAACAGAACAGGGTTGTGGGTTAGAATGTTGCTAGGAAGTGTAGCCAGCTTCACATTCCAGTGCCAACCCAGTCTCTTAGGGGTCCCTCCAGTGGGGACCTGGACTTGAGGTGTGACATCTGTGCTGAACAAAAATTTGGGATACAGGGTATGCAAAGGTGAGATGAACCAATGCACACTTTATTGAATTTTTCTGGGGCAACTTATACCAATTTTTTGCAGGCCAAGCAGATACATAAAAGTTACTAGTTAATTAAACAATAGCATGCAAGCTACTCCAATGATAGATCATAAGGAATTTGGAAAACAATCACCAAATCTCAGGCAACAGGATAAGTAAATCGGAGTTACAGGAACAAATACCGTAAACAAACAGATCAAACTAGGAAAGGAATCTAACAAAACTTAGTAATCAGCTAAGTTCAGGCCATAACAGAAAGAAGATGACAATGAAGATGCCTCACACCTATCGAGGTGCGCTTTTTCAACAAGGTGACCCGTAACCTCAGTAGAAAGTTTTCTTCCTGCAAAATTTTTAGTCTTCTGTCAAAAATGTTTGAGATTCGGGGTCCTCAGACATTTGGTGGTCTGGTTTTGGGGGGCTGTCCCTCAACACAGTCACAGAAGCTAGGATCAAGAGTAGCCCCAGACCCTCACATAATCACCACAACACATAGGACAAGTTTGTGTGGTAGAAGGCCATGCAGGACCGGTCCCTTCCAAACTGTGTCCCATTAACACCACTGTGTAAAACATCAGAATTTTATGTAAGCACAGCATAAATTTGGCATTGTTTTAGAACACAACAATATATTTTACGCAATTTAAATGAACTTCAACAACTATTATTTCTCTTAATTGAGAGCTTCCTCACTTGAGACTTCCAAGGATCCAGCAAGAAGCCTCAAGGTAAAGAACTCCATTTTAGAGCTTTAGATGTCAAAGAATTGTCAGATTTAAACCATTTTGGTTAATACAAAAGTTAGATTTGAACTTTTCAACCAAAGATGTGGGCCGGATCTAACTAAATGAAGTTTGCTCTCCTTTAAGACTCAGATTTTTAAATCAATTGAATCAATAAAGGCAACAGAAAGCACATGAGACGTCCCCGAGACACATAAAATGCTGTGACCTAAGTCAGGCTAGCAAGTGATAGCAGCATACGAACCCATCACTTGGGACAGTTAAATTCAAATACACCAAAGAATAAAAAGATAAAGAATTAGGTAACTCAGCTACCTTAAAAAAAAAAAAAGATTTATTTATTTATTGGAAAGTCAGATATTCAGAGAGAAGCAGTGACAGAAAGGAAGATCTTTCATCTGCTGGTTCATTCTCCAAGTGACAACAACGACTGGAACTGAGCTAATCTGAAGCCAAGAGACAGGTGCTTCTTCTGGGCCTTCCATGTGGGTGCAGGGTCCCAAAGCTTTGGGCTGTCCTTGACAAGCTCAGGCCACTAGCAGGGAGCTAGTTGGGAAGCAGGGCTGCAAAGACATGAACTAGACTCAGGCCTGTACTCAGAAACAGATCTCATGTGTGCCAGCAAGTGCTGTTACCCGGCCTGACATGATCAGCCCACTGTCCTGGCACTGATGGGCACTACAGCTTAGCCCATGATACCCCACACCCACTTTGGCTCTCACAATTGCCACCAGCATATGCTGGAGTCTAGTCCAGGCTAGCTAACCTGAGACCCAGCCCACAGACATGCTGATGGGTATTGCAGCCTTGCTCAGCTTTGTCAGTCCATAGCTCCAACTCTTGCATTCACCAATGGGAGCTGCAGCTCAGTAGGGTATTCTCCAGAGTTCCTCTATCAGGTCTGTTCTCAGCCCCAAGTCTTTTGCATGCTGAGTGCTTTCATATAGCATTACATGGCCTACCTGCTGTCTCAGCTCTACCTGGTGGGCATTGCAGCTTATCCCAGGCACACATGGTCTACATCCTGTCCTGGTCTCCTACATGCCAGTAGATGCTGAGCCTGGTCTAGCCCAGCCTGTTCCCAGACCCAGCCCACAAAAATGCTGATGAGTGCTTCAGATTTGCCTGGCCTGGCCTGGTCTGTCCCCAGTCCCAGCTCTTATGCTCCCTAGCGGGAGCTATAAACTAATATGGCAATTCCCCGGGATCCCCTTCCAGGTCTGCTCCCATACCCAGATCCCATGTATGCTGGTGGCAACAGCAGCTCTACTTGGCATGATCTGCCCTCAGTCCTGGCCCTTGCATGTGCCAGTGGGTACTATAGCCAGACCTTGTCTGGCCTTCTCCCAGCCCCGGTGAGTATCAGGTGGGTTCCTCTCAGGTGAGTTCGGTGGTCCAGCCTGGCTTGACCCATCACCAATCCCAGCTCTCTATGTAAGCCAATATGTGCTTCAGTCCTCTAGAGGCAAGGCCATAATTCTCCTATAGAATTTTCCCCCCAAATCTGGTTCTTTTGCATTCTTGTGGGTTCTGAGGCCCTGCCTGACATGGTCCACCCCCTTCCCCAAAAATCACAGGTGGCTACTGTGACCTAGCACAGGCATGGCCCACACAGTCACAGCTTTTGCTGAGGGTGGTGGGCAATGCTACCAAGCCCAGCCCAGGTCTCCCACATGGACAGTTGTGGGGCTCAGGGGCAAAGAGGTCACTGAGTCAACAAGTTGGCGACTAACAATCCAGGTCACTGGCGGGCAAGATGGCGGCCAAGGACAGAGCCCTGGGCATGAACCAGGCAGGAGTCACTTAGCTCCAAGGAAATACTGATTGACCAGGGCCATCTCGCTCACCTACCCCTGGCCTATGGGAGGTGGCTTCCGCAGTCATTCTCCTAGTAATTGGCTCCTAGTTTCTCTCCTCCTGGAATTCCTGAAATTCCTGGCCTGAAGCTATTCCTTACCCTATAGAAGAAATTGAATTCCCCCAATAAATCAGAACTGCTTAGACAGAACCCCTGTCCATCTGTTTGTCTTTCGTGGGGCCTGGAGGCTGGGTGGTGGGCAGCAGGCTCATCCCCTCCAGTAACAGGGTACTAAAGGAATCTGTGGGGGAGACACTGCAGATGGATGCCTCGGCCTGACCCAGATATGCCCTCCAGTTTTCCCCCTTTTCTGTCTCTGCTTCCTTGCCTATCTGTGAGTGCAGTGGCCCAGTCCATGGAAACTTCTAGAAGTTATTCCTTCCTGGTCAAATATGCCCTCAGTTACTTCCATTCCAATACATCCCAAGACCTTCTCAGGCAATCTGCAGTTCCCCCAACCTGGAGGTCAGGGTGGCACATTCTGGCCCAGAATTCCTCGCCTTCCCCATAGTTCAGTAACCAACTGTGCTGGCACACTGGTATAGTTAACACGTTTTTGGCATTAACCGGATTCAGAATGCCCACCAGCTAAAGGCTGCTTTTCTCCTAGTAACACTTGCCTATGTACAATGTAGCTGCCTACATCTGTGGCCAACAATGCTTCATTAACAGACATAAATAATATTTTTTGAGAATCATATTGTGAATGACCAAAAAAGTAAACTAGTCATAATTACAGTAAGATACACAGTTCATACTCTCTCAGGAAACCTAGCAGAGTTTCATTGATTTTTATGCTTTTTACATAAAGGTGACTGCAGAGAACAGAGAAATCTTAAATAGTGGCATAGAGAAACTTCCTGAGTCTAGCAAGTGAGGAAATGTGAATCTTTTGGATCAGAGAAGCCAGTCTTGGGAAAAAATTCAGGCTCAGCTAGCGTTCTGAAGAAGTACAAACAGAGCCTTCACTGACATAACCCTGCAGGAAGGCGGCTGCTTTCGCTCGGTGTCAGAAGACATATATTCCAATATTCTAACAATAGTCGTATTTCCTGGCTGCGTGTGCTTAAATCAACAATATTTGAGTTGCAATGTGGCGAATTTGTCTGGAACCCTGGGAAAACATTTTTTTTCCCTCAAAAGGTAGTGGGAAATACAAGCATGTGTGAATTCATTATGCGCTATTAAAAGTACCAGATAAATGAAAATGACTTGTTTAACACTGTCTACTTTCCCCGAATGCTCATTAAAAATGACATACTGTAGTCTCTATAGCAAGTACTTCATTTGCAGACTTCAGTCCCGAAGAGGGAGTGAAAGCCTTTTCATTCCCTCTGGAAGAAACTACTCTGACAAGAACTTTATGACCATAGGAAGATAGTGAGGGGGAACACACAACGTTAATAAACGAATCCACTTCTTGAAAGGCCATTTCCCACTAGCTTTGCTAGGACAGGTTGGTTTAGTCTCTGGCTCCTCTCGGCCTCCAGTCTCGGTCTCTTACTTACTTCCAAAAGGGCGCCTCTAGCGCCAGGTTTCCCCATACTTTGGAAGGAAGCACACCATCACAAATAGCAAATCTTCTCTTGCATACATGCTTCCTTGGGTCTATTTCTGAGCTTTCCGTTCTGTTGTGGTAACTCGAGGGTCCCCGGGAGCCGGAGCGCAATAACAGAGAGCGCCTCCCGGCCGGGTGTCAGGGCGCATGCGCCTTACGGCCGCCCCATCCGCCCGCTTCACCGAGGACCGGAAGGCCGGGCCGAGACGCGCCGAGCCGAGACGCGCCGAGCCGGAAGTGGCCGCCCGGGTCGCCGGGATCGGGCTGAGGGGGCGGGAAGGTGTCGGCCATGGCGCTGGCCGCTCGCCTTGGGCGCTCTGTGACTTGGGGACGGGCAGCGGCCTGCGGGCTTCGCCTGCTGACCAGGACTTCGGGGAGCTGCGCGCGGTGCGGCCGCTGGCGGGCCCGCGGTGTCGAGGTACCCCGGCCTGCCCGACCCCCGCGCCCCGCTGCTCTCCGCGCCTCCGCTGCCGAGAGGGAGTTGAGGCATGGACCCCGGCCGGCGGTGCCGCGGGGCTCCCCTGCACCGCGTCTCCGCACGAAGCCCGGGGTTGGGGCTCCCCGAAACCTGGCGAGCCGGCGTGGGGCGCAGCCTGCGGGGCCGGGGAATCAGCTCCGCTGTGCCCAGCAGCTGCACTTGAGGCTGTCAGGGAAGGTGCTGGTGTGACTTTGAAGGTCCCAGCGACTTTAGATGATGATGATTATTATATTCTAGTTGCTTGTAAAATCTGCATCATGTTTAAAAAGCACTTTTCTCCCTGGGCCACTTGAAAGGGGTTTGGGGGTGAGCATGGGCAACGACATCTGATATATTTCACTTGAACTACGTCCTTCTTTCCTGTAGCTCTAAATTACACTTTAACTGCCCGCTCAGTTAAGACATTTTAGAGTTGTTCTGGGGCAGGAGATATGAAGGATCATAAGGCGTTATTTCTGTCATAGCTGAGTGAGACTTTATAGATGACACAAGCATAGGAAATGGAAAGAATGCCTGGTGTGTCCTCAGTGAGCTTCCAGCACGCCGCCCCCATGGGTGCAGGACCCCAAGCACTTTGATCATCCTCAGCCGGCGTTTTGCTAGGCGCGTTCACAGGGAGGTGGGTGGACCAAGCCCTTACGGGGTGCCGGGGTGGCAGTGGGAGGCTTCACCGGCTGTGCCAAGGGCTGGCCTCTCCAAGGTTGTTTATTGTTTTAATCTGAATAACTGGAAGAACAGAGTTGCTGTTTGGCTGTGTTGTGGAAAGCTGGGAGGAGTGGGTTTGGGGGAAAGAACTTTGTTGACTGTTAAACCTGAGGTAGTAATAGACTCCATTTAGCCACTGTAGATGGTTGGATGTGATGTTTAGAGGAACCATCTAGACTAGAGATTGGGTGTTTGGGGGTGTTGATAGAGTTTCAAACCATAAAATGAAATGTGACCAGTAGAAAAAAGGTCTGAACTAGCCCAGAACACAACCAGGAAAATGAGATATTCAAAGCGAGGAACCAGTAGAGTTCTGTCTCTAGTCAGACAGAAATCTGGCAGAGTGACATTGTGGAAGCAAAGAGAGGAATATTTCTAAGTGCTGGGGCAAGGGCTTCATAGAGAGGAAGAGTGCGGGGTTGATAAAGTGTATGATCATGACTGTGGTGCTCATGATGGTTTTATAGATTCACATAGTGCCTTTTATTTCATACTTTTTTTTTAAAGATTTATTTTATTTGAAAGACGGATATACAGAAAGGAGAGACAGATAGGAAGATCTTCCGTCCGATGATTCATTCCCCAGGCGGCCGCAACAGCTGGAGCTGAGCCAATCTGAAGCCAGGAGCCTCTTCCTAGTATCCCACAAGGGTGCAGAGTGCCAAAGCTTTGGGCTGTCCTTAACTGCTTTCCCCGGCTGCAGGCAGGGAGTTGGATGGGAAGCGGGGCTGCTTGGATTAGAACCGGTGCCCATATGGGATCCCGGGCATGCAAGGCAAGGACCTTAACCACTGCGCCACCACACTGGGCCCTATCTCATACTGTTTTTAAAAAATTACACATGGACCGAGTGTGGTAGCCTAGCTGCTAAAGCCTTTACCTTGCATGCCCCAGGGTCTATATGGGCACCAATTCTAATCTCAGTGGCCCTGCTTCCCATCCAGCTCCCTGTTTGTAGCCTGGGAAAGCAGTGGAGGACTGCCCAAAGCCTTGGGACCCTGCACCTGTGTTGGAGACCTGCAGGAAGCTCCTGGCTCCTGACTTCAGATTGGCGCAGCTCCAGCCATTTGTGGCCTCTTGGGAAGGAGTTAATCATCAGACAGAAGATCCTTCTGTCTCTCCTGTCTGTATATCTGACTTCCCAATAAAAATGAGTAAATCTTTAAAAATAATTAAACATCCTCTCCTTGTTTTATTTTAAAAAGTAGTCAGTTGTCAAATGGTAGGTCAGAATGGACCATAGATGGAGCATCATAATGTGACAATTCAAAAAGCTCCAAAGCCTTAAAATGTTGGCGCACAATTTTAGCACTGCAGGAAATTCATATGTCCAATCTCATAATGACTAATAGGCTAAATTCAGGCTTCACAGAATTACTGTAGCCTAAGGTATATGTGACATGTGAGTTAATTTTGTTTATACTTGGGAATGTTAAAATATGTCATATTCATAAATTCCCGAATCTGAAAAAAAAAATCTCAAACACTTCCAGTCCAAAGCATTTTAGAAGGGATTCCCAATACGTAGCAACAAATTTGTTAACATTAATGAACACCATTTGTGGAGTCATGGGAATAAAGCATGACTTGGGAGGGTTCAAGAGATAATGTGAAAGAGGATGTTACAGCCTAGAAAAAACGAGTAGGATTTTGTGGGAAACCAAAGTTGGGAAATAAGATTGGAGGAGCTATGAGGTCAAGTGGAAATGTTTTTATTTGTTCTGAAGGGATACAGTACAGCTTGTTTTCCAGCAAAGATAGAATGGCTTGTTTTTATGCTGATATGAGTGCATCAACAGGGAGAAGCGATGCCATGTAAGAAAAATTGTATAAGAAGGGAGATTCTCTCCATCGATTTCCCTCTCCCAGAATTATAAAAGTTAACTTCCAGATCTGTTTGGATGTACTTTTTATGTTATTTGCTTAAAAACCCTGAGTTTCCTGGGTGACCTTAGAAGATATCTTTACTTGAAACCGTGTATATTTTAAAATATAATTATGTGGTGGAGAAAAGGACAAGGGATCTCCTGTCCAGTAACTCATTGCCAAATTCCCACAGCAGCCAGGCTGTGCCAGAGTGAAGGCAGAAGTTACAGTAGTATCTCCCATACCAGGAGCAAGCTGGCCTGGAGCCAAGCCCTTCTTGGGGTGCATGGTCATCCCAGTGTTCAGACACCCACCAGCTCCTGTTCCGTACAGCTTGCATCGTGCAGGCCTCTGCATGTCAACTGTAGAGTTTCCAACCAGATCTTGCTAGCATGATGGTGATTTTTGTGCACTTCCAGTATTATAGTCGATTGCTTTGGGCGTGGGAGGAGTTGGTGTAATATTTGTGTAGCACTTTGTTAAAATGGTCTCTGTCTGATTTTTATTCTGATCATATTGCTTCTGTAGGTTGCGTGGAATCCAGGATTTTTAAAAAGAGGCCCTTTCTTCTCTGTCTTGTCTGTCTTGGGTTTTGAAACATATCAAGTTCTCTCTCAGACTGCTGTGGTTCATGCCACAGCTAAAGGTAAGCCTGAACTAAACGTCTAGAAAACTGGTTTTGTTCATTATTTTGTGAATAACTTGATTGTTTTTCACAGAGTGAAGAAATTAAGATTGCTGTGGTCTAGATTGTATTTGCCTTTTTTCTACTTGTTATTCTGTGTTTGTGTGTATATATACACACACACATTATACACATGTACATATTCATAGTACTTTCTAGAAACTAGGACTGCTTTAATGATAAAATACTCTATTAGTTCATTATGGCACCCATAAGCTAAAAATGTTTTTTTATGTTTTAAAAACTTGAAATTGAGAGATTGTAATTACAAAGAAAAAAAGACTTGTTCTTTCAATACTCTTTTCTTTAAAGATTTATTTATTTTTATTGGAAAGGCAGATATACAGAGAGGAAGACAGAAAGATCTCTCCCGTGATTCACTCCCCAAGTAGCTGCACTGACTAGAGTTCAGCTCATCTGAAGACAGGAGCCAGGAGCCAGGTGTCTCTTCTGGGTCTCCCACGTGCGTGCAGGGTCCCAAGGCTTTGGGCTGTCCTTGACTGCTTTCCCAGGCCACAGGCAGGGAGCTGGATGGGAAGTGGAGCAGCTGGAATATGAACCAGCGCCCTTATGGGATCCTGGTGCATACATGGCAATGACTTTAGTGATTAGACTACCGTTTGTAGAAGAAATCTGCTTCATAATTGTAAAATGGGGATTTTATTTCTATGTGATACAGTGAAAAAAAAGAGTACTCTGAGATATTAGGTTTAATTTGCAAACAGAATGCAGCTTGATATCAAAACATTGGTTGAAAATTGAAAAAAAAGTTCCTTTGGATATTTTATTTGGCATTATACAGATAAGTTAACATGTTAAAACTTGTCAATTTGGTTAAAAGCAAAAAGAACGTAATTAAGCCAGTTGTCTAGGAAACAGAACCAAAATTTCAGTAGACTGTAAAGAGACCATTTAAATATATTGGTTAATCTTTATTGATTTCCCAGTCTTTTTTCAATATAAAGGAGAAGGTGATTGTGAAAAGAAGGAGAAATTTTATTTTGAATGCTTAGTCTTTTTAAAGTTTTACTCGAAGAAGAATTTAAGGATATTATTAAGAATTACTAGCTACGTGTCTGATTTATTTTTTCCACAACTTATGTTTTTAATATTTACTGATTTGAAAGGCAGTTACAGAGAGAGGGAGGGAAGGAATGTGAAGTACAGATCTTTCATCTGCCAGTTCACTCCCCAAATGGTACAGTGATGGGGACTGGGCCAGGCTGAGTCCGGGAGCATCAGCCATGTCTCTCATGGGTGTCTCGCGTGGGTGGCAGGAGCCCAGAACCTTAGTTCGTCTGGGAGCTGCTTTCCCAGCTGCATTAACAGGGAGCTGGATTGGAAGTGGAACAGCCAGGACGACAACCATATTGGGTGTCAGCACCGCAGTCAGCAGCTTAACTTGCTATGCCAAAGCACCAGCTTGACAAATATTATGCACATAAATGAAAGCTACTTTTTTTCAATTACATCATTTTCACGAAGAAGGACAAAGCTGAGGGCTGAGTTTTATACTATTTCGCAGTATGTGTAGCAGTTTTATTGGGAGTAGAGATGCACACTGCAGTGTGTCTTCGCTCCCTGGTGTGCTGGTCTCCATCACGCGGTTCATTTATGACAATGTGTGCTTATAAATGTTCTCCTCTATATCGGTTGATTTGTATTTTGCATGAAAGTTATGTTGTATCAGAAAAAATATATGATATTTGTTATTTTGAATTGACTTATTTCACTGAGCATATAATGGTTTCTAGTTGATACCATTTGTTGTAAGTGGTAGAATTTAATTTACTTTTAATATTTATTTTTATTGGAAAGGCAGCTGCACAGAGAGGAGATACAGAAAGATGTTCCATGCTCTGGTTCACTCCCAAAGAGTCCACAATGGCCGGAACTGAGCCGATCAGGAGCCAGGAGCCTCCTCCAGGTCTCACATGTGGATGCAGAGTCCCAAGGCTTTGGGCCGTCCTCCACTGCTTTCCCAGGCCACAGGCAGGAAGCTGGATGGGAAGACAGGACTGGGCCAAGACAAAGCCAGGGGCCTGGAGCTTCTCCTCTGTTTTACGTGGGTGCAGGGGCCCAAGTGCTTTGGTCATCTTGCACTGCTTTTTATAGGGAGCCAGACTGGGCATGGGGCATCTGGGTCCTAACTAGTGCCCCGTGGGATGCCAGTGTCACAAACGATAGCTTCATCCACTGCGGTACAATGCTGGCCCCACATTCTTTTTAAATTTAGAAAATAGCTGACATTTCTTCCAAAATATAACTTTATTTGTCCTGATAAATTTTGCTTTTGTGTATGATTCTCTTCCCGTTTGCTGTGTAATTAATGAGTTGTTCTTCAGTTTCACTCATCAAAAGCTCCGTAGTCTGTCGTTAAATTTGTCTCATGTTCATTTAAACTGGCGTAAAACATTTTCCTCCTGGCACTAGATTGCATTTTGAAATGCAAGTGTATTTATTTATTTATTATTTTTATTGCAAAGTCAGATACACAGAGAGGAGGAGACAGAGAGCAAGATCTTCCATCTGGTGATTCACTCCCCAAGTGACCTCGATGGCCAGGGCTGAGCTGATCCGAAGCCAGGAGCCAGGAACCTCTTCTGGCTCTCCCATGCAGGTACAGGTCCCAAGGCTTTGGGCTGCCTATCCTTGACTGCTTTCCCAGGCCACAAGTGCGAACTGGATGGGATGCAGGATTGCTGGGATTAGAACCAGCGCCCATATGGGATCCTGGTAGGTGCAAGGTGAGGACTTTTGCCACCAGGCTACCGTGCCAACCCCTAAACTGCAAGTTAAAAAAAAAAAATTAACTGAAATGAATGTATAATACCATTCCAACTAAATGGTATTATGCAGTTGTTTAGCTAGTAATATCTGTAGTGACCACAAGATGGTGTCACATACCCACTTATTAGCAATAACTAAAGGAACCTTATAAACTATTATTATTACTGTTTTTTTTAAAAGATTTATTTAGTTTATTGGAAAGGCAGATGTACAGAGAGCAGGAGAGACAGAGAGGAAGATCTTGTGTCTGATGATTCACTCTTGAAGTGGCCACAGTGGCAGGTGCTGCGTCGATCTGAAGCCAGGATCCTGGGACTATTTCCGGGTATCCCACGTGGGTGCAGGGTCCCAAGGCTTTGGGCTGTCCTCGACTGCCTTCCCAGGCTACAGGCAGGGAGCTGGATGGGAAGCAGAACTGCCGGGATTAGAATCAGTGCCCATATAGGATCCCGGCACGTTCAAGGCAAGAACCTTAACCTTTATGTTATCGCGCCAGCCCCAGAACCTTAGGAATTATTTTACTACTTTTTCAAAACAGGTGAACATTAAATCCATGGTCGTAGCTCCAATTCTTGTGGTCACTTGGCGGGTGAACCAGTGGACAGAAGATCTTTCTATCTCTCCTCTCTGTGAATCTGAATTTCAATAACAATAAATCTTCAGAAAAAAAAACCTTATATGTGGATTCATTTACTGTAACTCATTGTGTGTGTGTGTGTGTGTGTGTGTGTTTCCTTGTAAACTGTTTAAAAGATTAGTTAATTTGGGTCTGGTGCAGTAGCCCAGTGGCTGAAGTCCTTGCTTTACATGCTCTGGAATCCCATATGGTTGCCGGTTTGTGTCCTAGCTGCTCCACTTCCTATCCAGCTCCCTGTTTGTGGCTTGAAAAAACAATCAAGGACGGCCCAGGGCCTTGGAACCCTACATCCATGTGGGAGACCTGGAAGAGCTCCAGGCTCCTGGCTTCAGATTGGCTCACCTCCAACTGTTGCAGCCACTTGGGAGGTAGACCAGCAAATGGAAGATCTTTCTGTTTTTCTTTCTCTCTTTAAGTCTGAATTTCTGCATAAGTAAATACATAAATTAATACTTTTTAAAAAGGATTAGTTAACTTAGATGTGCCAAACCTGAGCAAAGAGGATCCTGCATCACTTGAGTTGTCTTGTTTTTCATTTACTTCTTTAAAAATCCACCTGCTGCCGACCTGCAGGCCTGGCCTGCGTGCTCCTTCCCGCGTGCTCGTTTGTGGTCCTGCGGCACACGTCTGGGCTGGCGTGAAGGGTGTGCTTTGTGTTGGATAATGTTGCTGCTACTTAACATCTAGGTCCTGTGAATTTTCTCGTTTTCAAATCCTGTTTAGAAAAATTTAAGAAGAGTTCTGCTTGTCACAGGAATGTCTAAGGGGAATTTTGTTTTTTCTGATGCTTCTCCCTTGGCTGAGTAAAGTTAAAAAAAAAATTACTAAAAAAACCACCCAAGGCTGGTGAACAAACAGTAAGTTATGACATCATCAGCGTTTCTTTCCTGTATTCTTGAGAATTATCATCTTATAGACACTCATTTTAGGTTAAATTGAAGCTGTTAATGTGAAGTTGCAGTTTACTGTAAAGGCTAAGTTACCTTAGAAACAGCTATTCATTTATTTATTCATTATTCTAGTTGAAACTACCATCCATTTTATATAGTGTATCTCTTTATGTCAGTAACAGCTTATTTTTAAAATGATTTCTAAAAAGTGCAACCCCTCCTAAAACTGTTCACCTAAACTGTTGACATATGTCTTGTTAGAGTTAAAGAGTTAGACTACCCGAAAAATATCCAGGTTCTGCAAAATCCTGCTTACGCTATAAACTGCTAAATACTAAAATTAAAATAGACATGAGACAGCTGAATAGTAATGTATAGCCATTTTAAGGTGTATGGAAGCCAGTTGTATATAAACAAATAATTGTAATGTCAATGTAGAAGTCATAGGATGTGGTTCAGAACTTGCACTCTCTTTTTTTTTTCTTTCTCTTGTAACATGCTGGTTACACAATACCATGTCAACTAATTCCATTATGTTATAAATCGTTACTGATGTAATGTTAGGGCTTTTAATTGATTGGGATGATACTCTGTTGGCTCTACCTTCAGACCAGAGACTGTCTCCCCATGAAACTGTTGAACTTATCTGGACAATAAGATACTGGACTCTATGCTTTGTAGATGCTTGCAAGGAAAGAATTTCAACTGAATTTGACCTGTGGTAATGCAACAAGGTGGAGGAATCCACCATGGGGGGTAGAGGGTTTTGGGGAGGGGAGGGGAGAATCCCAGTGCCTATAAAACTGTGTCACATAATGCAATGTAATCAAAAAAGAAAAAAAAACTCCTTAGCCTCAAAAAGAAGATATTGAACATTTTTTTCTTTTTTGTACAATTGATGTGCATATCAAAATTAATTCATTTACAAGTGTGAATAAACCTGATTTTTAATGGCCAAAAGATGAAAAAAAAAAAAGTTCAGACTCTTGGTTATGAACTGTGCTACTGTAACAATATGAAGGAATTCAATATGGGGAGAAGGCTTGGGGAGGGGTTGGGGAAATCCCAGAGCCTGTGAAACTGTGTCATAAAATGAAATAATGATAATAAAAAAAGTGCAGAGTCTTAAGTGAAACATGAGCCAACCTGCAGGTCTGTGGAGTTCTGCGTGTTCCCATGTAGTGCCTGTTAAGTCTGTAGTACCATAGCAAGTGTATTTTTTTTCCTATTAAAAAGTTGCACGTTGTATGGTTTATAAAATTTGGGATCAGGAAAATAAATTATTTCTATCTATATTTACATAAATGCACACGGCCTAGATACTGTATAGTGCTATGCTGCAGAATAAAGGCATTGTAAAAGCTTAATAACTTGAGATGCTATAAAAGAATATATACAGGGCCTGGTGCGATAGCATAATGGTTAAGATCCTTGCCTTGAACGCACCAGGATCCCATATGGGCACCGGTTCTAATCCCGGCAGTTCCACTTCCCATCCAGCTCCCTGCCTGGTCTGGGAAAGCAGTCAAGGACGGCCCAAAGCTTTGGGACCCTGTACCTGCGTGGGAGACCTGGAAAAAGTTCCTGGCTCCTGGCTTCAGATCGACGCAGCACCGGCCGCTGCGGCCACTTGGGGAGTGAATCATCAAACGGAAGATCTTCCTCTGTCTCTCCTGCTCTCTGTACATCTGCCTTCCCAATAAACTAAATAAATCTTTAAAAATAAAATAACATATACAAAAGACCCACTAAATTTCTAGTTTCAATGATGTGAGTGTGAGTAGAGTTTCCACTACAAGTAGTAGTCAGTCATAGGGAGTCAGAGTGCGTACAGCGTGATCCGCATTCGGAGGAGCCAGTGTCTCCTGTACGCTGAGTCGGCGTGCTGACACAGCCCGTGTTACACTGGCAGTTGTGTAGGTCAGCAGTGTGGAATGGGTCGGGAGCCGAATCAGGGTGTTGATCGGGTCACTGAACACCTCTCCCACCATCCTGGGTGAGAGTCCTGTTCCTCGCCCCGTGTTCAGTGCCAGCCGGCTCCTCCTGAGCTTGTTTGCTTTGTCATAGCTTCTCTTCCTCTTGGATTTGTCTTGGAAAATCCAGGATAATTTACTGTGGACATCTCTGGGGGCCGTTGTTGGCTTGTCACAAATACCTACAAGGGATGCTAAAGCTACTGCTAATTCTTTGTAACAGTCTTGAGTTGTTAAAATACAAACTTGGGAGAATCAGCCAAAATACAAAAATATACAATTAATCCATTGAAGCAATCTTTAGAAAACTAGCTGCTTTGAGTATTACTGAGCTCCGCAGTACCTGATCACATTCAAGTAGCATTAAGAGGAGAAAAATATTTATTTTTTGGCTACTATCATTTTTGTGTTATAAATTTAAAAAATACTGCTCCTGGCAGAGTAGCCTAGAGGCTAAAGTCCTCACTTTGCTTGTGCTGGTCTCCTGTGTGGGTTCTGGTTCGTGTCCTGGCTGCCCCGCTTCCTATCCAGCTCCCTCTGTGTGGCCTGGGAAATGGAGACCCAGAAGAAACTCCTGGCTCGTGGCTTCGGATTGGCTCAGCTCTAGTTGTTGCAGCCAACTGGGGAGTGAATCAGCAGATGGAAGATCTTTCTCTCTGTCTCTCCTTCTCTTTGTAAATCTTTCCAATAAAAATAAATAAATCTTCAAAAAAAAGTTTAAAAGATACTTCACGTATATGGTCATTTCTATTTTCAAGTATTGTTTTCTTTTGGCTGAACTAGGTTTTAATTTTTTTAGGGCCCGGCACGATGGCGCAGTGGTTAAGGTCCTTGCCTTGCACGCCATATGGGCGCCGGTTCTAATCCCAGCAGCCCCGCTTCCCATCCAGCTCCCTGCCTGTGGCCTGGGAAGGCAGTCGAGGACGGCCCAAAGCTTTGGGACCCTGCATCCGCATGGGAGACCCGGAAGAGGCTTCTGGCTTCGGATCAGCGTAGCATCAGCTGTTGCGCTCACTTGGGGAGTGAATCATCGGACAGAGGATCTTCCTCTCTGTCTCTCCTCTCTGTATATCCGCCTTTCCAATAAAAATAAAAATAAATCTTAAATTTTTTTTTTTTTTTAAATCCGAAGCCAGGAGCCTGGAGCCTTTTCAGGGTCTCCGATGTGGGTGCAGGATCCTAAAGCTTTGGGCCATCCTTGACTGCTTTCCCAGGCTACCAGCAGGGAGCTGGATGGGAAGTGGGAATGCCGGGATTAGAACTGGCGCCCATATGAGATCCTGGGGCGTACAAGGCAAGGACTTTAGCCGCCAGGCTACCATGCTGGACCCGGCTTGTGAGTTTTATAGTCACATAAGTACTGAGTTGGGTGAATTGTAATGCCAGTGAGACTTGGGTACCTGATTCTTGGTGTGGTTAACTTGCCCTCAGTGCTTGATGCCAGCTCGTCATTGTCTTCACAGTGGCTGTGCATACAGGTGACGTCATAACAGTCTAGCAGCGCCCCGTGTTTTGGTCCGTGCTGAGTCGTGCGTGTCGGTAATGCATGGTACTCCAGCACCAGCAGAGATTTCATCTGCCAGGGCATTGGTCGGCGGTGCAGTTCTCACAGCAAGGCAGTTGTTTTTTTTTTTTTAAATTGAAAAGTCTGACACATTTAGAATACATTTTATGATTTTTTGTTTTTCATGGTTTCAATAAATCATTTTTCGTGTTAGCTTTATACTCATTTTTACTATACTTTCATTTCGATTGCTCGGAGGTTTTACTCTTGATTTTTCTGACTTCATTTGTTTATATATGAAAGTGTTTTTTTAGCAGTGAATCCATCTGACTTGGAGTGACTTACTTTATTGTTATTTTTCTTTCATGATCTTTGAAGTTGAGGATATTCTTGAACAAGCAGACTACCTGTATGAAAGTGGAGAAACGGAAAAACTTTACCAGTTGTTAACGCAGTACAAGGAAAGGTAGGCAGACCTGACTTGGGAGTCTCCTTAACTTCTGTGTTATTAATAATTAGAATCATCCTTGGTTCTTGAGGTTTTCGTAATGGGTCATTTTAATTTTTATTTCCAAAACTATTACTTGTTAGCATTTTATTCATAGTATGCTATTTCTTTTTTGGATTAAACAAATGGGAAGTGCTAAAGGTATCATTGATAGAGAAAAAAAGTGGTTCCCAATCTAGTGGAATGTTGCATTTTTTAGTTTCCATTTGCATTGCTTCATACAAGTAGTCACTGGCTATGTCTATCCCAACTGTGTGTAATGTAAATTCCTTAGTCCTTTTAAAGTAACTTCCTTTTCATATGAGATTTAAATGAATTCACTTGGGTTAGAAAGTGAACATGTGGGCCTGGCGCCATGGCCTAGTGGCTAAAGTCTTCGCCTTGAATGTGCTGGGATCCCATATGGGCGACGGTTCTAATCCCGGCAGCTCCACTTCCCATCCAGCTCCCTGCTTGTGGCCTGGGAAGGCAGTCGAGGACAGCCCAAAGCCTTGGGACCCTGTACCCTTGTAGGGGACCTGGAGGAAGCTCCTGGCTCCTGGCTTCGGATCAGCACAGCTCCGGCCATTGTGGCCGCTTGGAGAGTGAATCATCGGAAGGAAGATCTTCCTCTCTGTCTCTCCTGTCTGTATATCTGACTTTGTAATGAAAATAAAATAAATCTTAAAAAAAGAAGAGAAAGTGAATATGTGCCTTTTGGATGGGAACTGTCACCTAAGAAGTGTAATGTTTCAGATAAACCGGAACTGTCTTTCTATTTTAGATAGTAGAGTCCATGCTGAGTGCGGTATAAGCATAATGAATAATGCTATTTTTTTGTGTGTGTGGTTTTGTTTTTGTTTTGAGCATGGGTTCATGGCAAACTCAGCTGTATGTTTATTTTAAATCAGGTTAAGTGGCATTGCCAAATCACTAATCTGCCTTATCTTTTAAACGAAAAATGTTGGATTGTTTCTAGCTAATTTTCTTCTATTCCTGAAACTAGGTTTTTCTCAAGACTCAATTTTACTTCACAGTTATGTAAAAGACAGTGTTTCCCTCTGCATTTTCCCCTTAGGAACTTGAAAAGACTTGACATTTTACAGTACTTTCAGTTTTACATTAAATAATAGGTATATTATCAGAATCTTTAGATGCAAAATATTTGTAAAAAAAATATAAAGCAGGCTAAAAACGTATAGTACAAAGGAATACAAGATTCGTTTTTAAAAATGTTCAATTTTGATTACTATTTTGTTGACATTTTTATGTAATTATATTTAATTATGTAAATATATTTATGTAATTATATTTAAAGTGTGTGCAGTGCTGTTTCTTGAAATAAGCCATGCGTCAGGACAGTGGCGTTCACTCCCAGGATTTCCTTGGAGATTATGTTATATTCATTCATCCACTGATTAGCTAATGTTTATCATTAACCTGTTCTGTGCCAGTAGTTTGGGTGATTTGTTTGTTTAGGATCGGGGTTTGTTATAGAGTCTGTATGTAATGGTGTTCTATGAAGGGTAAGTGAGCTGTGCCAGGACAACCTTGAGATTACGTACGGATTTGCAAGGACAAGCATTCAGGCATTCAGAGGCCAGGCGCAGAGATACCTTCTAAGACATGTGCATTTTGGATACTATAGATTAAGTTCATGTTTGTGAATAACTTATTTTCCCAAAGAAAAGTTGTATATGAAAAAAAAATTTAGCATCGTGTGTAATGATTTTGGATACCCTGCTGCCTGTTGTTTCAGAGCTAAGCTCAGAGTTCCTGCTGGATATATTAGTGAGATGTCATTTACTAATCTTTAGAGCCCAGCTAAAGTGGTTGCTTTTTTATTTCCAACTAGTGAAGACGCAGAGTTACTCTGGCGTTTGGCACGGGCGTCACGTGACGTGGCTCAGCTCAGCGGAACCTCCGAGGAGGAGAAAAAGCTGTTGGTGTATGGAGCCCTGGAGTATGCACGGAGAGCACTAGACAAGAACCAGTCTAGTTCTGCAGCTCATAAGGTGAGCTTCTTAAAGGAACTTAGCTATCGTGCACTCAGAGGTACATGGTCTGCAATATGTGTGAGGAAGAAAATTGTTCTATTTTTAAAAAGAAGGAAAGATTTCTTTTTATAATATCTTTCAAAAGAATTCTTTTGCATTCTTAAGCTTAATTTGGCATCCTTAGTATTTGATGAAATTATTTTTGCTCACACTTATTTTTAAACCAGTGCAAGGTGAGGACTTTAGCCACTAGGCTACCGTGCTTGACCGCGTACCAAAATCTGTCAACTACATCTTTCATGAACTTTTTGAAGTAGTTTTTTTTTCATGATGCTGTGATTTCCCCTTTCACACCATTTGTGCCCTCGTCCCCTCCCCGTGTTTTGTAGTACTCTTGTATGGTCTGAGACCTTGGGTTTCTTTTGGTGTGTATATAGCAGTTCATGTCTAAGGGATGATTTTATCCCGAGCTCTAGTACATTGAATGAGATCACAATACCAAGTTGGAAACGCCATGTAACCCCGTAAGTCAACTGTGCTGTGTAACTGCAAACTGTCAGTGCAGTGTAAACGAGTGTATAGTTTGCAGTTTGTGTGTGTGTGTGTGTGTGTGTGTGTGTGTGTGTGTGTGTGTGTGAAAAAGAGGCAAGGGGGAGACTATTTATTTATTTTTAATATTTTATGATACAGTTCCCTGGACTATTGGGTGTCCCTTCCCTCTCTCCAAAGCCCCTCCCCTCCACTAATCTTCTCTGTATTATTACAGTAGCATAGTGCTTCCTAAGCAGTGCTAAGTCCTTCATCCTGCTATTGAAGGGTCTCCTGACATTGTAGATGTGGACAATGGCAGAGTCCAAATTCCTATTTTCAAGACATATTTAACAATTTCATTGGGAGTCCATCTTTGATATGGAAGTAGAGATGCACTCTGCGTGTATCTTCACATCTGGATATGATAGTCTCTATTACACAGTCACTATATATCCACTTACATGAAAAGCCATAATATAAAACCAACCACAGGAAAATAGAAAATGAACAACATGAAGTTAATAACATGTTACTGAATGATGAATGTGTTGCTGAAGGAAAAAAAAAGAAAATAAGAAATCATGAAGAAAACAGTGGAACTACTTATTTCCAGTGATCCTATCCATGAAAAAGACTTTGGTGGACAGTGGATTTAAACAAAAACTGTGTTTGTTAAGGTCATTCTGGCTATGTTTACTAGAATTCTGCCAGGAACAACTCAGACATTTAGGAGGGGACATTTATTTGGAGCACCTGTTGCATGTCGTAGACCTCAAAGGTGCATTGATTTACTTGTGAAGAGGCCTCATCATTGTTCTTTCTGTTGTCAGCTGCGGATCTTTGTCACAGCAAACTCTTTCCTCCCTTCTGTTCTAGTGCTCTCCCACAGCACCAGGGGGTTTGAAGCATCTTACTACAGATAGTAATCTGTCTTCCACTGCCTTCCTAGGCACATTGGCAGGAAGCTGGGTTGGAAGTAAAGCAGCCAGGACTTGAATCTGTGCCCACAAGGGATGCCAGCATCACAGGTGGAGGTTTATCTGGCTGTGCCACACCAGCCCAGAACATTGTTCTAAATCCTTTAGAAATCCCAGAAACTGAGTTGCATGGGAAAAATCATATACCTCCGTGTCTTCGTTGTCAGTATGTATTGTAAACTGTTACTTCTACGTGAATGTAAGCAGAAATGCAAAGTGATAAAAATTAAACCTAAATTTAGTGTCTGGGAATTAAGCTCAGATTGTCTAAATCTGTGCCTGCTGTCCAAACGTGGCTCTGAGGACAAGGTCACAGTCACCCGATGTGGTTGTTTCTACTGTAACAAAGCAGCCGCGGAAAGTTAGGGAGTTCCTATAACAGAGCCTGGAAGGTTAAATAATACTCAGTCCAGGTTTTGTCTACATTTTTTACTAAGATCATAAAATAGTTCATTATCTCACGATGCTGGTAGTTGGGGTGATTCACTCCCCTCCATCTTACATTACTTCCTCTGCATAAGCAGGTTATGTTCCTGAGAGGCGGAAGGACCGTGCTCGTCTTGCTTTATATTATCCGCTGCATTTCATGTGGCCTTTTATGTTAAGTAAATTTAAAAAAAAATTTATCTATTTTTATTTATTATTATTATCATCACTTAATGATATAGTTCCATAGGCTCCTGGCATTTCCCTTATCCCCTCCCCAATCCCCCCACCTAGTTCTTCTATATCATTACCAGAGTATAGTTCTTCAAACACCGTCATATGTCCATCATTGCAGGCATGGACAATGGCAGAGTCTTTTTATTGAGTGAGAATGACTTTTGAAGAGTGGACACTGTTTTCTTATATTGCATGGAACTTGAAAGAGTGAATTATCTTCGGCCTTTTCTTTCTTTTAGTGGTATGCCATCTGCATTAGTGATGTTGGAGATTACGAAGGCATCAAGGCTAAAATTGCAAATGCCTACATCATCAAGGAGCATTTTGAGGTACTACTGAATGATTAAAGATTGTGAATTTTGAAGGATGTTTTTCTGAACAGATTTTAATTATCCGTTACTGCTTAACAAACCAGCGGGCACTTAGCGGCCTAGAGCGGTGCCAGTCATTGTTGCTGAGCATTCTGTGTGTTGATAGCACAGTAGCGCTTCTGCTTTTGAGCATTCTGACGGTTGCATTCACCTGGATCCTTAAGTGAGCCTAGATGTTCAAACGGCCTTTGCTCTCCCAGCTGTTGTTTTCCACTCAGTCCTCTGGCTTCATCACAGCGTGTTAACTGGTTTTTCAGAATGAACATTTGAAAAGTCCAGTGTGCAGCTTCCACCCACCGTCTACGGCATCACACTTGATAACACAGCATTGCCCTAAACAGTCATGGGGCTAGCCCAGTTTCTTTTGGAAGGATTCAGTTGTACAGGATTTTGTACAGTTTTATGTTACATTTCACCTACCAGTCCAGATAACTTCACATTATGATCTGTTTTTATATTCTGTGTATGTACTGTATGCTAATATTTTTCCCTGAAGTTCATTTGCTGTTTCACAGCAAGTTCTCCCTTAAGCTGCTAAAAATTGTGTAGGAGTCTTGATTTTATACTATCCATGCTACTCATCCTTAATACACACTGCCACAATGAAACCAGCATTTCTGTTTCTCCTTCGTATTGGAACTCATCCAAAAATACAAAGAGAAAGCAATGAATGGGAAGCTGCGGATATAGTTCTGAATATGCTGACTTTGCAAGAATGTTATTCTTATAGTCTGAATTTCTAGTTTATGTAACAATTGGTAAAAAGGGGTATTTGGAGTTTGTGGGTCTAATTCTTACTTAAGCACCAATAGAAATATATGTACATTTTTTATATTTTGTAATTTACATATTTTACATGTTCAGATTTTGAAATCAGAAATTGATCCCTTATATTATAAGTGGCATTTTTCTTTTTATTAGTTCATGCAATAATGGTGTGAAACACCACTTTTAAAATTTAGGTTGAAATACTGCAGTTCACTAGGTAAATAGCTTAATTATTTCAGGATATGGAATGTGAATAATGAAAAATTATAGGAAACTAATGTGTAGGCTATTGATTATATGAAACAGCAATAGTATTTTTATGTGCTTTTAAATCAATATGGCAAAGTATGCTAAATATTATGTTTTGTATTTATATACTATAATATTTGATATAAAGATTGTAACATTTGTATTTTGAATGCAGCTGTTACTTGTAGGGATTTACGTTTTTGGAAAGACATATTGAAAGGGAGCAGCTTATGATGGAAGTTTTTTTTTTAAGTTCCCCTTCTCAAAACCTTCTCATAAGGACATCCAACCCTTGGACCCTAAGACACTCATTATGTGACAGATTAACTTTCTCCCGCGCATCTGGAGAGCTGCTGACTCTAGTCTCATTCTTAGAAGGGAGAAAAGAAGTATTGCAGAACTGTAATTTGGCAAGGTTGCTTAGTGTTTTAGCTATCAATGTACACTTTAAATGCATTTTTAAAGATTTATTTATTTTTATTGGAAAATCAGGTTTACAGAGAAAAGGAAAGACAGAAAGATCTTCCATCCACTGGTTCACTCCCCAAGTGGCCACAGTGGTCAGAGCTGAGCTGATCTGAAGTCAAGAGCCAGGAGCTTTTTTTTAATTGCTTTTTTCAAAATGAGTCTGTTTTTTTTCCTCACCCTCTTAGGCCTTGCCATCTGTTTCTGTCCCTTAGAACACCAACCTTAGTACCAATCATTATTATTGTATTGAGATAAATGTAATCAGTAAAGAAACAGGAGGAAGAAAGTTTATACTCCTTACCAGAAAAATTGAAACATAGGACTGGGATTTTTTTTTTTTTATAATCCTGGGTTCTTTAACAAATACAATAAAACACTTCCAGATGTTACAAAAAAAAAAAGAAGTGATTGATTCCTCTCATTTCTTGATAGAAAGCAATTGCACTGAATCCTAAGGATGCTACTTCAATTCATCTTATGGGGATTTGGTAAGAGAACTTTTATTTAAGAGGTCTTTACTATGATCATGTTTTGGGTACATGTAAATGCTTTGTGATGTATAAAAACAAAATGAAATGTTTAAAAATAATCAATAGTTTAGAGTTTAAATATTAACTTACATTTATACATGTATAAAAACTGTAAACTCTACTAGGGAGATTAGCATACTGTTAAAAAACAGGAATAAAGCATGCAGCATGTGTCTTTACTCTTGAATAAGAGAATTTTAATCATTTTAATTATACTTTTATGTTACTTTATTCTGCTACATTTATAATAAATTTATATACCAGCAATCAAGTCTGTGGCATTGGGGACGGATGTTAAGAGGGGGTGTAGGGACGAGAGGAAGGGAAAGAGAGTGGCATGTTCCCCTAGGCGTATAACTCTATCCAGGGGAAAAAAGAAAAGAAATAATTATATATATTTTAAAGAAGCAGTTAATGTGTGTATATACTAAATTTGGGACTATGTTAAACATTGTTACTGAGGCCATTTAGAACTTGTACTTAGCCTCAAATGGCCTTCACACTTTTTGGACAAGACTGTTTTCATTTGCCATGCTAAATGCAGGTGGATTAGTCTTTGTAAAGTGTTGAGGTGCCCCCAGGTCTTCATGTCTGAAGCATATCAAATACAGTGTTGATTCCTCTGAGAAACAATATAATTGATTTTTCAGTATCTTTCCATTTTCATATGTTCCTGTGTCCAATATAGAGCATTATTTTGTCGATATGTCAATACATTAGTGTGTTAATCTTGCTGGCTTATTAGTCTTTTTGGAGATGAGTTGGCCACTATTTCCTTTTAGTTTAGATAATAGAGCTAAATATTTATTGTCACCTACAAACGTGAATATGAACTGTCCAGTATAAGAGAAGTTAGGTATCTTTCCGGAGAGGAGAAAGGACTTGGTAACCTAACCAATGCTTGCTGAGGATTGACCTTAACTGAGCAGCAGTCACTAAATCAGTAAGTCCACACGTGGGAGAAGCAGTCTGCCTCAGAGTTCAGAGACTAGGCAAAGATCTAAGCCTTCTCCTACACTTCATTCCGCGAGGTGTAAAGATCTATGGGTGTTAATCCCTTGCTTTACCCCTTTAAAATGTGAGCTTAAATTATTGGGTGCTATTGTTATTTATGCATATCTTGTCTAGTTTTGACATTTTTCTGAAGTTTTTTTAAAACTGTTTTTAGTTTATTTTTTCTACCGCCCCTCCCCCGGGTGGTTAAGAGAGCGAGAGACTGCCAGAACAGCCAGACCTGGGCCAGTCCCAGGCCAGGACTCAGGAGCTTCCTCCAGGTTTCCCAGTGGCTGCAGGGGCCAAGCACTTGGAACAGCTCTAGTGCTTTCCCAGGTGCAATAGCAGGGAGCTAAATGAAAAGTGGAGCAGCTGGGGCAGGCGCCACCACAGAGTAGGCTAAGCCTTCGTCTGCAGCACTGGGGCCACATTTGGCAGTGTTTTGAATCCTGGCTGCGCCTTGCTCTACCCAGGTCCCTGCCTGTGATTTGGGAGAGCAGCAGAGGATAGCTCCAGGTCCTTGGGCCCTTGCCCTCAATGGGAAACCTGGAAGATACCCTTGCTGATGGATATCAGTCTTCGGATAAAAGAAGGCGTAATTTTGAGTGTATAATGTTCTTTTGTTTCCCTATAGGTGCTATACATTTGCTGAAATGCCTTGGTATCAAAGAAGAATTGCTAAAATGCTATTTGCAACTCCTCCTAGTTCCACCTATGAGGAGGTACTGTGATGTCCTTTGTTAAATTAGTGCCGGTTTCTTAACTTCCGCTCCATTCTCCAGTGTCCACACAGGGAGCTGATTCAGTGAGGGACTTGTGCAAGTTTCTAATGAGCTAATCCAGAGAATTAATGCTTTATGTCCATGACTGGTGAGTGTTCCTTGTTTTTCCTTTAGGTGAGTGACTAATAATTCTAGTACATAATCAGCTAAAATAACTCATGGCTGAGATCTATTTTAACTTTGTGTTTGAAGTTGATACCATAAAAACAAAAAGGTAGAAGAAACATAGCAGCTCTTGGGACTCAGCATGTTTTAAGTGTGTTCCACACAATGATACAGTTACTTAGAAAAAGGAAGCAGCTGTTTAAATAAGAACAGTAAAAGCTCATGTTCCATATTTTAGAATGCATTTTAAAAACAGATTTATTTGTTTTCATTTGAAAGGCAGAGTTAACAAAGAGGAGAGACAAAAAGATCTTCCATGCACTGGTTCGCTTCCTAAATGGCCACAGTGGTTGGAGCTGAGCTGATCTGACGTGTGGAACCAGGAGCTTTTTCCAAGTCTGCTGCACAGGTACAGGTTCCAAGCACTTGGGTCATCCTTCACTGCTTTTCCAGGTTGTAAGCAGGGAGTTAGATCAGAAGTCAAGCAGCCGGGACACGAACTAGTGGCCATAGAGGATGCTGGTAGCACAGGCAAAGGAATAGCCTAACTGCCATGGTGCTGGCCAAAGAATAAAATTGAGGAGCAGGTGTTTATCTTCATGGTTAAGATACTAGTTATACCGCATCCTAGAGTGCCTAGTTTCCATGCCAGGCTCTGCCTTTCATTCTGGGTTCTTGCTAATATTGACCCTGGAAAGCTCATGTGGTTAGGTTTCTGCCCACCAGGAAAACCTGCATTTTGTTCCCAGATCTTCACTGTTTCCTCCAAGAGCTACTGTGGATGTTTGAGGAATGAGCCAACAATGAGAGAGAGTCCTCCCTCCCACCCCTGCTTCTCAAAGAAAAATAATAAAGATCAAAAAGGATTTCTGGGTTAGCAGGTTTTCTGAGTAAGGACATAGGTAATGAAACAAATCCCCAATACTTGTATCATAAACGAATTCCTAGCCTCCCTGCTCTCTAGGAAACTGTAGTATAGAATTTAATGTTCAGCATCTTTTAGAATACAGTTGGATAATATTTTTAATGTAGATTTTTAAAATTTTACTTGAATGCCTGGCATGGTAGCCTAGTGTCTAAAGTCCTCACCTTGCATGCACCAGGAGCCCACATGGGCACTGCTTTGCATCTCAGCTGTTGCGCTTCCCATCCAGCTCCCTGCTTGTGGCCTGGGAAAGCAGTCAAGGACGGACCAAAGCCATGGGACCCTGCACCCGCATGGGAGACCTGGAAGAAGCTCCTGGCTTCGGATTGGCTCAGCTCCAGCCATTGCAGCACTTACGGTGTGAATCAGTGGATGGAAGATCTTTGTCTCTCCTTCTCTGTGTAAATCTGACTTTCCAATGAAAATAAATCAATCTTTAAAAATGTATTTGAAATGCAGAGAGGCAGAGAAATCTTTCATCTACTGATTTATTCCCCAAATGCATATAGTTTCCTGGGCTAGACCATATGAAAGTCATTGGTTAGAAACTTAATATCAATGATCCCAGTGATTTGAGCCATTACCTGCTGCTCACCAACCCCCCCGACCTGCCACCCCCATCCTCTGCCCCATCCCAGCCCCACAGAGTGCCAGCTTAGGAAGCAACTGGAGTAGAAGCAGAACCTTTCACTCAAAAGGGTTGTGAGTATCATAAGCCCTTCCTTAATCCCTGTGCGAAATGACCACCTATGTTATTATTAGTAATGTAATAAAGTTAATAATAATATAATTGATAATATTGTTAAAGAATGCAGTCCAAGGAGAAAAGAATACAGTCATCTCTACTGTAACAAATTTATAGACTAAAATACGTCGTTCAGTGATGTTATAACATAGTTTAAGTGAGAATACTTCTGCATATATTTAATATATAAAAAGATTTTATATTTTAAAATATTGAGTCAATTGTAATCCTTTTCATAATGCTTGGTGTCTGTTTTTTGTTTGTTTTGTTTTTTTTGTTTTTTTTACAGGCATTAGGCTATTTTCACAGGGCAGAACAAGGTAACATTTTTTGTTTCACTTACTAATAAGTTAAAATTGCATAAATGCTACCTATATAATAAGAATTTTTTATAATAAAAAAAATTTAAAGAATTGACATATTTGCAAGGCAGAGTTACAGAGCTAGGAGAGATCTTCCATCCACTGGGTCATCCCTCAGATGACCTCACTGGCCAGGGCTGGTTCAGGCTGAAGCCAGGAATGTCTGCATCCCTCAAGTGGGTGGCAGGGTCTTCCCTCCCTCCCTCCCTCCCTCCCTTCCTTCCTCCTTTCCTTTCCTTTTCCTTTTCCTTTCCATCTTTGCTTCCTTCTTTTTTTAAAAAAATATTTATTTATTTTTTATTGGACATGCAGATTTATAGAAGGAAGGGTATACAGAGAGGCAGATCTTCATCTGCTGGTTCATTCCCAAAGTGGCTGCAGCTGCTGGAACCGAACCAGTCCGCGGCCAGGAATTAGGAGCTTCTGTAGGTTTCCCATAAGGGTGCAGGGGTCCAAGGACTTGGAAGGACTTGGGCCATCCTTTGCTGCGTTCCCAGGCCATAAACGTGGAGGTGGATGAAAAGTGGAGCAGCTGGAAAAAAAACTGACACCCTTGTGGGATGCCAGCATCACACATGGTGGCTTATCCCACTACACCACAGCGCTGGCTCCAATGTATTAAGAATTTTTAAAGCAGTGCTCTCTTTTAGTTAAGATATTCTGAATAAGAAATAAGGCATGGGTCCCTGCACAGTAGCCTAGTGTCTAATGTCCTCGTCTTGCCTGCCCAGGGAATCCCATGTGGGCTCCAGTTCTAATCCTGGCAGCCCCACTTCCTATCCAGCTCCCAGCTGTTGTGGCCTGGAAAAGCAGTGGAAGATGCCCCAGATCTTGGAACCCTGCATCCACGTGCGAGACCCAGAGGAAGCTCCTGGCTCCTGCCTTCAGATTGGCTTCGTTGCACTCACTTGGGGAGTGAATCAGCAGATGGAAGATCTTCCTCTCTGCCTCTCCTATGGATCTGACTTTCCAATTTAAAAAAAAAATCATTAAAAGAAAGAAAGAAAAGGAAGGAAGGGAGGGATAAAGGAAGGAAGGGGCCACTACAGAAATAACATTTTAATTGTAGAGTGGACTTTCATTTGCTGTAGTTGGACTTCATTTTTGAGAGGAGTTTCTGGAATCTTGACTGCCTATTTAGGATTACACAGCTAATTAGAGGCATGTAAATGGGAATCATGGTCTTAAACCAGATTAATTTTTGTTCTGTTGCAGATAACTATCATTTATGAGAAAGTATTTCTTGTTTTTCTTGTTTGGAAAACATAATGACCAACCCTGAGGAACTATTGTTGGCCTACCTTGAACTTGTTCTACTTAAGATTAGTGACACTTAGTGGGGAATAAGAGACAAGCATGCTGTCAAATGCACAATAAAAAATACTGTGCACATGTTTTTATGAAATTCAACAAAGATTAGGGAGTGTTTATATATTGGAGGTACTATACATAATCACTTCTTCACATACTTTAATGGTAACAAGGCAAGTTTGTTTCTAAACGTGTTCTCTAAAGGAACTATATCTGCCATTCTAAATTCTGATTTACTCTGGCATTGCCTTACTTGATATCCTGTCATTATCATACTGTTTAGTATGCCATGGATATAAATCTAGGAGTTAATTTTTCTATGGGATTCATAATGCCATTGTCATGTCAGAGAGACATGGATCTGAGAGATGTGAGGATTGGGGTGCTGATGAGGTGTTGTCCTGTGATGAGAAAGGAGGTTCTGGTTCTGCAGTCATTCAGGTGCTAACTCAGCAGGCTCTTCTTTTAAGGGAGCTTTTTCTTCTGGGACAAATGTGATTGAAATGCAAATCCCTCGTCTTAGTATTTTTACTTCTCCTGCTATGACTTCATCACTTTGTACTCTCAGTATTTGCTCGGGTTCAACATGTCAGCTCAGGGAAGGTGGCTCACAGATGCATGCTTAATGCCTCACTCAGAGCTGGACAAACGCATGCGCAGAGTAAACAGAGCAATGGAGGCGTGCATGAACAAACTGAACCCAGGGGAGCCTAAGTGTGTCTACAAGACGTTGTAAAAGTGCGTTCACATAAAGAGATAGCGTAATGAGGGTTACAGCAAATGGAGTAAATTTTATCCATGGAAACATATGCTGGGAGAGTTCAGATTGTTCAGAGGAAGCTGTGGAAGAATGGAAGCTAGTGAGAGAGTTCTAGGCTTTCATTCGTAGACTTCTAATTTTTAACAATTTTGACACGAAATAATTTTTTAGGATTTATTTGAAATGGTTGTATTTATTTCTGGAATGCAGTGTTTGGTAACTTGAGAACATCGCCCCCATTTCCTTGTTTGTCATCTCCTTGTGTTCGGAACCTTTGAACACCGGCAGGTCTTTCATGTAATGAATTGTTGCAGCCGTAGCCCTCCTGGTGTGCCGTACAGCACTAGGACTTCCTCCTCCTAGCTGCTGGCATAGTGATCCCACCTGCCTTCATCCCCGCCCCTCGTGCCCCTGTCCCTGGCTGCTGCCTGCCAGTCTGTTCCACGATGCCTGGAAATGCAGGGCACGGAGTGAATTTGCGGATGAAGGAATGTATCCTGTTGGTGTATGCTTATATAAATCTGGTTATTTACTGGGTGTCAGGTTCTGCTTAACCACAGCGAGAGAGGATGAAACAGCTTCTGCTCTGTGGGAATTTCTAGTGGAAAGGAAAGAACATGAACACAAGCGTAACACAAGGATGAAGAGAATGTCTCAGTAAATGTATAAACTTCGTAATCCCATGAGAAAGCAGAAGAAAAAGAGACTCCCAGTGGGAGACTCTACCTGGCCCAAGTCAGTGAGCGAGCAGGATGTTAAGAGAAAAGACGGGGAACATTCTTTGTTTCGGGCAAAGCACGAAGAACAAGCCTGTGTGTGTGAAGCGGAGTGATTTTGTCCCAGGCACTGTTTTAGGCACTTGGGGTTACAGTAGGAGACCAGAGAACTAAAACGAAGTCATTGTTGCTATGCTTATATACTGTTGGCAGGCTCAGCCTCTCCTCTGTAAAATAGAGGTACATGTTTTATGGAATTGTGGAATAAGAAATATGTGGTATGATGCTTTGCATAGAGTAGACTTCCGGTTGTACATATTTCACAGATGTCTGAGGTGTGAGTCGCCAAACAAAAGAAAATTCCAGTTGGCCTTTTTCCTTACTGACAAGCCACATTTATTACTAGAATTTAGATCAGTAAGTAAACACTTTCCTAAATAAAAGCGGCACTATTTCATCTGAGTTACTTTGTTTTTTTCTTTTATACAGTGGACCCAAACTTCTACAGCAAAAACTTGCTGCTTTTAGGAAAAACATACTTGAAGTTACACAACAAAAAGCTTGCTGCCCTGTGGCTCCTGAAGGCCAAGGACTACCCAGCGCACACAGAGGAAGACAAGCAGGTAAACCATCACCCGCAAAGTCAGGCAGAGGGACTGTCAGCGAAGCACTAGCAAATAAAGGTGAATTTAAATAAAGGTGAATTTTTAAAAAATATATATATTGATTTTACTTTTATTGCAAAGTCAGATAAACAGAGAGGAGGAGAGACAGGAAGATCTTCCACCTGATGGTTCACTCTCCAAGTGGCCGCAACGGCCAGAGCTGCACTGATTTGAAGCCAGGAACCAGAAACCTCTTCCAGGTCCCCCACGCGGGTGCAGGGTCCCAAGGCTTTGGGCCGTCCTCGACTGCTTTCCCAAGCCACAGGCAGGGAGCTGGATGGGAAGTGGAGCTGCCAGGATTAGAACCGGTATTCATATGGGATCCCGGCTCATGCAAGGTGAGGGCTTCAGCTGCTAGGCTACTGTGCTTGGCCCTGAATTTAGGATTTTTTAATCAGTGTGCTTGTATAGATGCATTCCATTTCATATGGGAATTCACTGACCTATTTATTTTGAGATAGACTTTAGTATCTGTCCCAGTGTATGTGTTGAGTCGCCAGCAGTGCTATGGAGTTGTTCTTGTGTGACATGTGTATCTAGAATGCGTACTAAAGTACGAGTATTCTGTCACTGTCAGGCAGTTCTGAAGTACTCTGTTCCTCTGTTCTGGTTTTTGCAAACTAACAAATTTCACAAGTTAGTCTGTGTGGTTTATTTAACAAGTATTTTTCCACTTTAGGTACAGACGGAAGCTGCACAGTTGCTTACAGGCTTGTGACAAGATGGATGATAACTTTTGAGAGAAGACGATATGTAAAATACCTAATAAATACCACCTTTTCATTGAATTTATAAAGGTAGCATTTAACCACCAGCCTCCTATGGTTTTTTTCTCAGTTCTTTCAATGTTGTGGCTTTTTCTTTTTGAAAGTGAGAACTCCATCCCACCTGCACTCTCACCCTAAATACTGGCCCCCTAAACGTGGGACAGCCAGTTCTGGTCAGGGTCAGGGGAGAGCTGCAAGCTCTGAACTCAGTGCAGTTCTCCCACCTGGGTGACAGAAGCCCAGTGACCTGTCACCGTGGCCTCCCGGGCTTGTGTTAGCAGGAAGCTAGAGTGTCTGTTTCTTCATTGTTTTGTGATTATCTTCATTTCAGAGATGTTTTTCTCTTTGATTCAATTTCCTGTCAGAAATTCTATTCTGGGTTCATTCTGTTCTGAATTTTTCAGTTCTGTTTGGATTTTTTAATATCAATAATTATGTAATTCATATTAGGATTAAAAAAATTTTATTTAAAGATTTATTTATTTTTATTGGAAAGTCAGATATACAGAGAGGAGGAGAATCAGAGAGGAAGATCTTCCATCCAATTGTTCACTCACCAAGTGGCTACAACGGCTGGAACTGAACCAATCCGAAGCCAGGAGCCTCTTCCGAGTCTCCCACGCGGGTGCAGGATCCCAAAGCTTTGGGCCGTCCTCGACTGCTTTCCTAGGCCACAGGCAGGGAGCTGGATGGGAAGTGGGGCTGCCGGGATTAGAACTGGCGCTCATATGGGATTTCGGCCCATGCAAGGTGAGGACTTGAAGCACTACACTAATGTGCTGGGCCCCATATTAGGATATTTAATAATTTTATTTTGTTCTCATTGTCACTTTTTTAGAGTGACTTTTTTTAGGATTTATTTGAAAGTCAAAGTTATTGGGGAAAAGAGGCAGAGAGATCAGTCTTCCACCTGCTGCTCCCTGGATGGCTACAGTAGCCAGGGCTGGGCTGGGTCGAAGCCAGGAACCTGGTGCTTCCTCAGGTCTCCCCAGGAGTCACGACCAGCTCAAGCACTTCAACTCTCTTGCTTTCCCCAGGTCTTCAAAAGTGGATTGGAGTGCCTGGTGCAGTGGCCTAGCAGCTTATGTACTAGCCTTGGAAATGCAACAGGATCCCATATTGGTGCTGGTTCTAATCCTGGCAGCCCCACTTCCCATCCAGCTTCCTGCCTGTGGCCTGGGAAAGCAGTCAAGGACGGCCCAAAGCCTTGGGACCCTGTACCCGCGTGGGGGACCTGGAAGAGGCTCCTGGCTCCTGGCTTTGGATCAACGTAGCTCTGGCCATTGTGGTCATCAGATGGAAGTTCTTCCTTTCTTTCTCTCCTCCTCTCCATATATCTGACTTTGCAATAAAAATAAATAAGTCTTTTTAAAAAGTGGACATACCAAAAAGACAAACCCACTTAAAAAAAAACTGGAATGGAAGTGGAATAGCTAGGACATGAAGCAGTGCACAAGGGAGGCAGTCATTGTAGATGGCAACTGTACCCCCACAGCATAGACTGCACCCCCACAGCATAGACTGCACCCCCACAGCATAGACTGCACCCCCACAGCATAGACTGCACCCCCACAGCATAGACTGCACCCCCACAGCATAGACTGCACCCCCACAGCACAGACTGTACCCCCACAGCATAGACTGTACCCCCACAGCACAGACTGCACCCCCACAGCACAGACTGTACCCCCACAGCATAGACTGCACCCCCACAGCACAGACTGTACCCCCACAGCACAGACTGTACCCCCACAGCACAGACTGTACCCACACAGCACAGACTGTACCCCCACAGCACAGACTGTACCCCCACAGCACAGACTGTACCCCCACAGCACAGACTGTACCCCCACAGCATAGACTGTACCCCCACAGCACAGACTGCACCCCCACAGCACAGACTGTACCCCCACAGCATAGACTGCACCCCCACAGCACAGACTGTACCCCCACAGCACAGACTGTACCCCCACAGCACAGACTGTACCCACACAGCACAGACTGTACCCCCACAGCACAGACTGTACCCCCACAGCATAGACTGTACCCCCACAGCACAGACTGTACCCCCACAGCATAGACTGCACCCCCACAGCACAGACTGCACCCCCACAGCACAGACTGTACCCCCACAGCATAGACTACCCCCACAGCACAGACTGTACCCCCACAGCACAGACTGCACCCCCACAGCATAGCATAAACTCTGAGTGTTCTTTGTGCAGATTCGTGTGTGTTAACAGTCATACACGGTGATCAGTTGAGAAGAGGTAAGGGGTTTGGAATGTTTTGAGAATACTTTATTCTGAATGATTATTGCTTTCTGGCACTGATAGTGTTTTGTCAGTATACCCGTCTATTGCACTGCCTTTGGAAGAGTGTTTAGGTGTTTGCTAATGTTTAGCAGTTAAAGCTGTTCAAAAACTAAAGGTCATCGATGTCACTATAAGTTTTCCCTTATTAAACTCTCTATCTCTCTCACACACACATGGAGACACATTTTGGGCAGTGCTCCAGGCCATTGTGGCCCTTGCCTCCCAAAATACAGGCCCAGGACCCATGCCAACTTGGCTGTGGATGTGGTGTCCTAGGAGGGGAGTTAAGGGATGTGTGCGTGAAGCAGTGAGGAAGTACAGTACAGGTGAGGAATGACTTCTGGGGGACTGAAACAGACGGGGCTGCTGCAGCTGCAGGTAAACAAGGGGCCTGAGACTGGGTGGCCTGGACAGGGAGAAGCCAGAGGACATGTCTGACATAAGGAAACCTACCTGCGTGGAAGTCCAGAACTGGGCTAACTGGCATTGGTCACAGCTCTCTGGCACACATGAAAACTAGAGCTGGAGCATCTGCCTGGTAGGATGAGGCCACAGTCCTGCCAGTAAGTGTGAGGGCAGGTGGTGAGCCATGACACTGGCCTGTAATGAGAACTGGCTCTGGGAGAAGAGATTTGAGGGGAATTTGTGGTCTCATCCCTGTGGGACTACAATACCCACTGGTTTGTACAAGAGCTGGAGTTTTGAAGGCCAAGCTAGGCAGGACGAAAGAACTAACCAATGCTCATGGGAACCAGAAGTCTGAGCAGGCCAGATTGGCTCAAGCTGGAGTACCCGCAGGTGTACCCAAGAATTGGGGGTGGAGGCCAGCAGGGATGCAGCATCCACCAACATTCAAAGGCCTAGGCTGGGATGTGGACTATGCTGGGCAGGATCCTAGCACCTAATGACACCTGACATCCAGGTCTGGGAGTGGGCCTGGTGGGGGAACGTGGGGAACTCCCCTACTAGCCTATAGCTCCTGCTGGTGAGCACTTAAGTTGGGGCTGGATGTGGACTAGACCAGGAAGGTCTGTCCCACGTCTCAGCATGTGTGTGGGCTGGCTCTGGGGAGAGGAAGGGTGGTTGGGGGGCAGACCAGGCAAGACCAGACCAAATCATAGCACACATTGGCTTGCATGGGAGCCAGGACAGGGTGCCAGTCAGGCTGTGCTAGGCTTCTGTGCCTGACTATTTACATGAGAACTGGGGATTGGGGGCTGACTGGGCAGGGCTAGGCTACAGCATCCACCAGCAAGTGTTGGGACAGGGAGTGGGCTGGGCCAGGCCAGGGTGCAGCATCCAGTGGCAGAAGGAAGACAGGATGGGTCATGCCGGGCTGGGTCAGAGCAGCCACTGCCTATGCAAGATCTGTGGCTGGGAGCAGGTGTTTGAGATGAGGCTGGTGACAGAACTGACCAGCCAAGTATAAGCTGCAGTGTGTTTGTAGGCTGATGTGGGTGATGAACTGAGCTAGATCTCTCACTGTCTGGCACACACGAGAGTCAGATCAGGGTTCACCACAGATGAAGTTTCTTTGGGGAACCCCCAACTAGACCACTGGACTAAAAACTCTGGCCAAGAGGAAAATAGAGAATCTGTGTTCTAACCTTGGAATGCATGTATCAGAACTGGGCCTCCTCGGTTGCTGAAGCCCGTGCAGTGGAGGGCATGTCCAGGTGCACATGGGGGATGTGACAGCACCATGGCAGAGGATGGAAGACAGAGCACTGAACAACTCTAGCCAAGTTTTGACAGCAAGTATCTGGGCAAATGGAGACTCTAAAGTAGACTGTCAGCCAATGAACTTTGGAAGGATTTTCTCCTTCTTGGAGCTGCAAAACCAACAGCATCTCAGAACTATTGAAACCACTTAGCCAGTGCCCTCAGAGCACACTCCTCATCCGGAAGCTAGGCTGCCGGGAGTGGCCCTTTCCCCTTCTCTTGTCCCTCTCCCCCAGACAGCAGAAAAAAATTTAGAAGCAATTTTTTCATTGGCTTTTCTCCATACCTGGACCCTCCCTGCCCTAAGCACATAGGTATAGTGGTTTACATGGGCATACATCCTTTTCAACTATGTAAACATCTTGAAAAATAATTTACAAAACATGAAAAATAACTTACAAAAAAGTTCAACATGAAATATTCGTACTTTTTATGGAATGTAGTGCAGTGGTTTTTTGTTTGTTTGTTTTTAAAGATTGATTTTTATTGGAAAGGCAGATATATAGAGGAAGAGAGACAGAGAGGAAGATCTCCCATAGGATGATTCACTCCCCAAGTGAGTGCAACCCCCCTACGTGGGTGCAGGGTCCCAAGGCTTTGGGTCTTCCTCGACTGCTTTCCCAGACCACAAGCAGGGAGCTTCATGGGAAGTGCGGCTGCCGGGATTAGAACCAGTGTCCATATGGGATCCCAGCCCATTCAAGGTGAGGACTTTGGCCGCTAGGCCACTGTGCTGGGCCTGGAATGTCGTACAGTGTTTACAGCTGTGCTTACCATACACAGATTAAACCAGGCAAGTAGCCTTTCTATATTCCTGTTTCTATGGTTGTAGCTTACTTAATAGTTCCCCTCTGCCACATCTTTGTGGACTGTGACACAGTTTTGTGAATGTCCTCTCTGGAACAGTAGCATTTTTTAAGCTCTGTTTTGGTACCTGTTCTCCAAATTGTTTCCGTCACTGCTTTCTCCAGCTTTGGCAATCCTTAGTAAACATTATTATAACTTTAGACTGACTTTTAAACTGGTATAAAAGAGGACATGCAGTTCTTTGGCTTATTTCACGTGACATGATTTTTGTTTCCATCTTTCTCTGCACTTACCATGATTTCATATTTTTTTTGGCTGGATAATATTCCATTGTAGAGATACACTACATTTTATCAGTTTGCCCATTGATGGAAGGACAACTAATTTTATCTACTATTTTGGTTATTGTGACTAGTACTGCCCTTAATGTAACAGTGAAGGTACCTCTTTAATATTGTAATTTCATTTTCTTTTGCTTCGTCTTTCTCCAGGGTGTATTTTTGGCATCTTTGTCAAATATGTTGACTTTAGATGCATGGATTAATTTCTGGGATGTGTACTGTGTTTCACTATTAAATATGTGTTTTCATGATTACCATGCTGTTTTGGTTATTATAACTCTGTAATATGTCTTGAAACCTGGTATTGTGTTGCCTACACTTTATTATGTTTGTTGAATATTGCTATAGCTTTTGGAATCTCTGTGCTTCCACATGAATTTTAGGATTGTGTTTTTTGTGCTTGTGTGAGAAGTGTTGGCATTTTGATGGTGATTACATTGAATATCTAAATCACTTTGGATACTTTGGACATTTTAATACTAAATTAGTCTTTAGTGCCCAACGTAATAATGTGGTGTTTGGGGTCCTCGCCTTGAACGTGCTGGGATTCCGTATGGGTGCCAGTTCTAGTCCCAGCAGCCCCAATTCCCGTCCAGCTCCCTGCCTGTGGCCTGGGAAAGCAGTCGAGGACGGCCCAAAGCCTTGGGACCCTGCACCCGCGTGGGAGACCCAGAAGAGCTCCTGGCTCCTGAATGGCTCAGCCCCGTCTGTTGTGGCCATTTGGGGAGTGAACCAGTGGGCCGAAGATCTTTCTCTCTGAGTCGCCTTCTCTCTGTATATCTGCCTTTCCAATAAAAATAAATAAATCTTTTTAAAAAAAGTTTTCTGCGAGCTTATTATTGATGCATATAAACATTGCTGATTTTTGAATATGAATTTTTCAAGTTTCACTGAACAGACCAGTATCAAACGTGTTTTTTGTTTTTTATTTGGCTTGTTTAGGTTTTATCGTTCTGACCGTTGTGGTGGCACCTTTAATACAGCATATTTACTCTACGGTGCATCACTGCTGACACGGTTTCAGTTTTTCTCATCATAGATGATTAGAAGCATGTTATGAGAAAGGAGGGCACTAGATTGCTAGTGTAATGTGAGAATCGTTTGGTGGCCTACTATGTGCTCTGTCCTGGAGTGTCCCGCGAGGGCAAAGAGGATGTGCACCCTGCCGCTGCTGGCCGCCGTGCTCTGTGGGTCTCCACGGTCCATCTGGTCTCTAGTTGAATTCTGATGTGTCTGTCGGTGAGGGTGGGTGTTTTGGTACCTTGTCCGTTAATGAAGGTGGGGAACTGTCATGTACTGGCTTACTTCCCTATAATCAACTCACAGAATTGCTAACTGCTGAGTCAGTTCTTCTTTCGAGAAGTGGGTTTTTCCCCGGAGTTGTCTCTGTAGGCTCCCTTGGCGTGAGTTCTGGTTGGATGCTCAAGTATCATCTGGGATCGGTGGCAGGGAGCCACACCAGCAAAGGAGGCTCCTTCAGTGCCAGCAGGTGGATCTAGCGCCTGCGGACATCAGTCAAGGTCATGGCAGTACGTGGCCCAAGTCTGGGAAAGTCAGGTGTGTGCTGCTCTCCACGACCGTGTAGCTGTGGAACCAGGCACAAATCTGGAGAAGCCTGCCCTCAGCCCGTGACCCGAGGGTGAGGGGAAAACAGCAAACTGCAGTGTATCACAGGTGGCTCTCCCTGCTGGGCGGCAAGCCTGGCAAAAACGTGGGTCCTTCCAGTAGCTGATGGCTAATGTTATGTCCTTGGAGATGGGGCTACGGGCGCTCCTCTGCTTCACCCCCCTGCTCAGGTAGGACTACCCACTCCCTGCCCCTCTCACCTTCCCACCAGTGTTTGCCCGTGTGTTTGTGCTGTCTTCACAGCGACATTCCAGGTCTGTGTCTTACAGGATTCCCACGTCTGTTTTTGACCCCCAGGCACTTACCTTAAATGACAGGCATTTTCCTACTCAACAGCTCTGTCAGTGTAAACTGGCTGGGATAAATGCCTAGGACTGCTCCCCGAGAGGCCGTTACAGGTGCAGTCCACGAAGCAAGAACCATCAGCTCCTCAGGTGCTCATTAGGGCAGGTGCAAGACTGGCCTCCCAGGAAAGCCCACAGTGACAGCTTTTTCTTGCATCTGGAGTTTTCCCACTATGATGTAACTGTTGGGGCTACTTGTAACAGAAGTCCTTCACAGTATAGTTAAGGTTAGTACCATCCGGCTTGGTTTTTAAGGTAGGAAGAGCTAGCTTGTTAACCAAAGTTAGAGTAAAGGGTTTTCCTAACCTTTTCACTTCCAGCTGCTTAGAAAATACAACAAAAATAACACTGGTGGTATTTCTACCTGGTAGACAGTTGATCTGACAGAAAAAATGTGTTAAGCCTGTGTATTATCAGGTGCCCGGGGCGGTAGCCTATTGGTTAAAGTCCTCGCCTTGCACACCCTGGGATCCCGTACGGGTGCCAGCTCATGTCCCAGCTGCTCCACTTCCCATCCAGCTCCCTGCTTGTGGCCTGGGAAAGCAGTAGATGAAAAGCCCAAAACCCTGGGACCCTGCAGCCATGTGGGAGACCCAGAAGTTCCTGGCTCCTGGCTTCAGACTGGCTCAGTTCTGGCCACAAGGCAGCCACTTGGAGATTGAACCAGTGGATGGAAGATCTTTCACTCTCTCTCTCGTCTGTAAATTTTGACTTTACGATGAAAATGAATAAATCTTTAAAAACCAAAAAACCTGTGCATTATCGATTCGCTGGGCTCCAGTTACCAGTGGTGGTGGGGAATGGCAAGGACATGGATTAACAATATGAATCTGTTTCCTTGGGAAATGTGTGTGGGCACAGGAAGCCTTTCATTTCTTGGTCATTTCAGGACAAAACAAAGATGGGAAGAAAGGAGAAAAGCTGACAAGTAGGGCATATTTCCCTTTTTCTGGGTACCACAGGTCAGACAAACCAAGAGCGCTCTGCAGGTGCCTATGCAGATCCACACTGAATGTGAAAGGCTTTGGAAAGACTCCAGGAATTCTGTTTTGAGTCGGAAAGCTGGTGTGGCCTGAGTTCTGTTTAACCTCACCTGGTAGTACATGTTACTTTCTAACTTTAAATATGATGGGGGAGGGGTGGGGAGAGACAACTGCCCTGAAGCCACCTACACCTGCTAAGTCATACTCTGAGATGTCTCCACTGAACAATACTCGGTAACTTCGGTCACAGTGAATACAGCCTTGCAGCCATCTGGGTGTGTGACACTTAACTCTTCCCTCGCTCAACAGAAGCACTCCATTTGCAGACTAGTCACTTCACTGTGTAGTGTGTCATGCACGTCAGGATTCTTTCTACAGGTTCTGGAAGCTTGGACATAACCGGCATGCCTGCAGTTGGGATTTGGGAATGGAGTCTGCTCAGTCAGGTGCATCACTGACTTTACTGACCTTTACTGTGAATTCTGAATAAAAGGCAGAAACAATCTAAATTATTATGTAGAAAAATAAAATTTCTGGAAAGTAAAAACTGTATGGAAGTTAATTTGTATACCAGTATTTTCTGTATGCACTTCGCAGTGAATAATAATAATAGGTAACACATTCATAAGAAGTCAGTTCCATGGTTTAAAAAAAAGTTTAAGAAATTTACAGTACATATTGAAAGCATGATACAAATGGAAATTGAAATCTTTGCATTCATTAGGAAGCCCAGTTTTTGCTGAAAGTAGCATTAATATCATTCACATCAGCTTTTAATTTGTTATACATCTTTGAAGTTCAGCAAATGCCAATAAAATGAAAAACAAGAAGTGTTATTTACTTAGAATGAAAATAATTGTGAAGGGGGAAGAAAACCCAGAAGATTTTTCTATGATTATTTAATTCAGGTACATAGAATTTGAATGAATTTGAAAGAAATGAAGATATTTAAACACTAATAGAAAATCCTTAGTCTTAAATTTGTGTAACTTTTCAATCCATCTGGTAGTATAAAACTGGGATTTTTCATACAAACAGCAAAAGTTCATATTACCTTTTATATGTTCCTATGTATCAAACTGTGTTGATTTACTATGAATTTGAAGAACATCAGATTTAAAAAGTAGTGCCTGATTCTTTTAACTTCACAAAGACCTAACATCCCCCGGGTGACATGTAAACACGCCTCTAATCTGATCAATGAATTCTTTCTAATCTCTTCAAACCAACTAAACGGTGTTGGAGCTAATGTGACTTATATAAGTATGGCTGCCATTCACATTTTCACTGTTTACTAATGTAGCAAATAGGGAAAAATTTTCAACTATTTATTTGAAACAAATTGACAGGTTCAAGCACCTGTCTTCAGAAAAGCCAGCAGCATTTTTTTTTTTTTTTAAATATACTCAAAGTAAGATTTGGCTTAAGCCCTTAATACCTTCCTGAACAGCCATGCAGCTGAATGCCCTCGGGAGCTGTTTCGTGAGCATAGAGCATTTTTGCATTTTTTCCCCTGGATAATAAAGGGAAAGCAAATCCAGATCTTTTTGAAGGACAGCTGTCATGTTTAATACACTTAGAGCTCTATAAAACTAGAGCCACTATCATATATGCTTATAGATATATACCTCTTAGTTTTTAATAAAGTCTCTTGCTTCAAAATTTAAGGATGATCTTTTTCCTGGTCAGTCATTTCAAGGGAACAATAAATAAAGTAGAAAAAGATGAATGATTTTGCATATTTCTGTGGAAGAACGGAAAACATTTATACGTTTGAGAGGTTCAGAAAACTGTACAGAATGAACAGCTTATATATACTATCTGTGCAAGTCTTCTTGGGTGCGGCACGTCAATGCAAGAGCTCCTCCAAGCAGCCACATTCATTCTTGTCCAAATCCCTCTGTTTCTTCTATTGCAAAAAGTAGCTTTTCCTTTAGTTGTTCGTAACTCTTATATGGTGGGAGATCCAGGCGATTAAAACTGAGCAAAAACAAAATCAGAGGTTTTCAATAATTTTGAAAGGATTTCGAATCGTTTTTAAAGCATGCAATTGCTGCATATTAACATTTTCAAATTTCTTAGAGCAAGCTGTTTTACATCTATACATAAATAAGATTTTAACATTTCTCACAGAAACTGAATTGCTAACAGGAATGGAAGTGATAACTAAAAAGACAAGCTTTTCTATAGTACTCCTGTTATCTTGTTTCATGAGTGCCCTGCTAATTTTGTTTGGCCAAGAAAGCATTTCTGGCACATTCCTCTGTTTACCAGTTAGTTCTTAAGGATCATTTACATGGTAGACACTGTGCCAGGAGCTGATGATATGCTGACAAAGAACTCCAAGTCCTTTTCCTGGTAGAACTCAGGTTTGGGGGAGCAGGTCTTCCCTGGACCCGTTTATCATAAATAGAGTCTCTTCTAAACCAACTTCTGGGACTAATGAAAAAAACTAAAATATGGCAAATGGTTAAAGTGATGAGTGCTTTTCAACCTGCACAGGGTCCCACTTAATGACGAGCCGTGTGACTGGATGCCCGCGGCTTTGGTTCCCACCCTCTCTGTGACCGTGAAACTGCCTCTCAAGACAGAACCTTCCCGAATCCATCTGCTGATGGGGGGCATTGCTGTGGATTTCCAGGTGGCCCTGTGCCATGTCCACTTCTCATCTGGCCTTGTAAGAGTCAAGACATATGAAACTAAAAGCTTTTTGAACAAAACAGGCAATTAAAACAGTGTTCTCAGAAGACATTACCTTCTTTGTATTTTAAAGGATGGCGAAGGTACTAGGACCAATGAACACAGCGCTTACTGCCCTGCCTCTCAACTCCAAATAAAATCACTTCCAGTTATCTTAAATCTTTCATGTATAGCCTCTGTGAATTTTGTCTTTCTACCGACTTTTCTTCATTTTTTTCCCCTTTTGATCATTTTGGTGGCCAACACATCCTTGTATCCTCTGTCTCATCAGATTTTGTTATTTTCATCTTTTTTTTTATTATTATTTTTGCTACAGTTTATCTAGTCTTGCATCACTGCTAGGGGTACTCTGCCGAAAAAGAGATACAGCATTTTACTTTGGGCCATTCGTGATGAACGCGGAGCAGGGGAGTCCCTGGCGTGAAAGGTGCCTGTGCTCTCTCCTGTCTCCATCATCGAGATGCTCCTTCACACCTGCTCTCCTCCATGAACAAGCTCTCTGTGGCCCCTGGTCCCGAATGCCCTTTTATGCCGAAATCTGCTATTCATCAAAATCAGTGCAAATACTCCCAATTTCCTCCAAGCTCTCTTTGGGTGTCTTTGACATTAATTCACTTGATCACAAGCTTTTTTTCTTTTTTCTTTTTTTCTATTTTAGCATTCACTGTAATCTAGATCATTGAAGTCATACTATTTTTCTGGGCTGCTGCTCAATAGGACTTTCCTTCTATGAAACACAAGCCAAGTTTTTCTGATACTTATCAGCTCTTCCATTTTTTTCTCTTTAAAAGGTTTTTTGAGACTGATTTCCCTTTATGTGAAGGTTCTTCCCAAAGTTTAAGGAAATATGGAATTCACAGCTAAGTTTATCTTTTGGGAAAAACTCTGGAATGCATGCATCCTCTGAGAACTTTGGACAATCCCTTCAGTACCACGATACATCTCTAATTCCGTTTAACTTCTCCTGTCTCAGTAACCTCTCTCAGGTAAGGCCAGAGGCTTTCCAATGTTTCTGGTCACAGGACACTCTTTGTTCTTAAATGTATTGAGAACCCCAAGGAGATTTTATTGCATGAATTTCATTAAATTTATATGTTATAATATAAAATTATTTAAAATATGTTGAAATAAGTATAACTTCTCTGAAAAGAAAATGGCTACAAAATAGTGTATAGCGTGACTTTATTTTATCGCTTAGCAAGTCTATCTATTTGGGTTCTGAAATTAATCTATTTGTACTATACTGTTTTGGATTTAGTATATGAAATCCTAGCACCATACAGATATAAAAATGGAGATGTTTAGATTATGCACAAAGAGGGGTTTGAAGTCATATAAAAGAATATTTTGCATTTCACTATAAAATTTATTGGTCTCTCTTGCACTTTAAATGAGCTTTTTACTTATGTGCAATCGTTTAATACCATGCACTTCTTAGTCATTTAAGCATACTATTTAAACAACTTACAACGTTTTTCTAAATAAAATAGGGGAAAATTTTACTTCAATCTGCAACACCAGCACTATGAATCTCATCAAAAAGTCTTAGGACTTATAGTGGTATATATACATTTTTGAAAATTCCAAATTTTTGTTTGAAAATTTAACTATGGTCAACAAATGTCCATTTTCTTTTTCTTAGAGTAGAAGTGTTGCTTTAAAAGAAGAAGAAGAAGAAAAAAAAAAGCTAGTTCAGCTCTCCAGTCCAACTACCCAAGACTTTTCCTCCAAGTAAACAACCGTTCTCTGGTGAGCAGGAGTGCTCCGACCTGCTGTCCCAGCGCACAGAACACACACAGATGCACACTCACTCACACTTATGCATATTAACGACAAAGAACCATGGTGAGTGAGCGCAGCTTGCTTGCTTTCTTTTCTTTCTTTCTTTCTTTCTTTCTTTCTTTCTTTCTTTCTTTCTTTCTTTCTTTCTTTCTTTCTTTCTTTCCTTCCTTCCTTCCTTCCTTCCTTCTTTCTCTCTTTTTCTTCCTTTTTTAAACTTTTGTTCTTTCTCAAGGGTATAGTGTTGAAAATGAGGAACACAGAGAAAGGGGCTTGGTGCCATTTCCTTGGTTTGTGTTAAAGCATGACAAGCAAAGCTGCACTAGAAGTACAATGTCGAAACAGCACAAAGGTACATAACGGCTTTGGAATGAAAATACCCTTGACCTCTGCATAGAACCACTTATCTCTAAGCTATCACCTTTCCAATGGGTGTGCAATAATTCAGCCATGAACTTCCCTGCATTCATCCTTTCTCTACACTGTTGCCTCAGTGCTTTTCTTCCCTTGAATTCTATTTAAAGTCCTCCAAATCTCCTTAGAGTGAGATCCCAAATTCTTCTCAACTCCCTTGACTCATGCAGCTGTCGTTCATTTCCTGGAATGACAATCTTTTTCTTTTTGATTGGAATGACAAGCTGTTACTTCAGGATCTTTGCTTTAGCTCAACCTTCATGTTCAAAGGCAGCTTTTACTCTCTCTCCCCAGCAGCATGCCCTGCATCATCTTACTATTATCTCCTCCAGGAAATCTAGGCTTATGTTCTCTGTGACAGCACTCTTGTTTCTACCTAGTTTTCACTTCATATCCATCCCACAGGAAGCATAAAGTTCGTACAGCGCAGGGGCCTGAAGTCCAAGGGGTGCTCTGAATGTTTAGTCGGTGGATGTATTTCTTGAGCATTTCTCCTAAGCAACAAGAAGCCATTCTGAAGTGTTCGTAGAATGTTGTGTTAGTCTGTTCTCCAAACAACATCCTCATCACTTTAATAAACAAGCAGTCATACTGAATCTCGCATTTATACTTAAAAAAATGCAATATTCTTTCTGGCTTTGGAATTCCTATTCAGGGTTCTTAAACTTACCATGTATGGCTTCTTGGTAACCAGGTGTCTTTGCCCACTTTTTCAATGCAAAATTTTTGAGGCCCGTTACTTCCTAAATCAGAAAACAAGACAAAGTTTAGCTGGTCCTTTGAACTTGAATAAATGATACAGAAAAAAAAAAAAAGAAACAATTACAATTGAGAATAGATGTTGTTTGAGCTTGTCGAGGCCTCCTGCTGCAGACACCCCGCAGCAGGAATCCCAGGAGAGGAACAGCAGCTGTTCCCACATCCCCATCCGCTCACCATCACCCCAGGCAGGAAAGCACCGCTCTACGGCACAACTTCTAAATTTGTCCTACAAATGACTTTGATGTTAATTATTCATTTTTTTTTCACTCTGGTAGAAGCCCTTGATACAACAGAGAGTGCTAATCCTTCTATTCCAGTCTGTTGGCTGCCTAACGGTCACTCCATACAGTGAAACTCGCATTTACCCATGAGCTCAGCAAATCCTCCCAGAGGTAAGCGGCAGGTTCCAGTGACAAACTGCAGTAGTCGCATTCTTACTTCATTGTCTGTCTCTTTCACAAACTGTGTGACAAAATCAAAGCAAGACTTCAGTTGGTTCCAAAGGTATATGATACGAAATAGTTGTGATAATTCTCATTTATTAAGGCTAGACACTGATAAACCTGTTATGAATCCTACTTCAGCTAATTCTCACGGTAACACTGCAGGTGGGCCAGGAAATAAACAAGAGCTTTTGAAAGTTTCAGTTACCAGAATGACATCATACCCTGAAACATGTGAAGAAGATTGATGTGTTTTTGGGTTATGATATAGAGCAATGGCTGACAAGGACCCTGGCAAACACTTACCATAAGTGCTTTCCATGCATTTTGTTGTCACAACTCTTTGAGACAGAAATCAATTTTTTAAAAAATTTTTATTGGAAAGGCAGATTTACAGAGAGGAGAGACATAGGAGGAAGATCTTCTGTTTGCTGGTTCACTCCCCAAGTAGACACAATGACTAGAGCTCAGCTGACCCAAAGCCAGGAGCCAGGAGCTTCTTCTGGGTCTCCTATGCAGGTGGTGTCCCAAGGCTTTGGGCCATCCCCTACTGCTTTCCTACACCACAAGCAGGGAACTGAATGGGAAGTGGAGCAGTGGGGATATGAACTTGTGCCCATATGGGATCCTGGCATGAGCAAGGAACGGACTTTAGCCACTGAGCTATTGCACCAGGTCCGAGATGGGTATCATTTTTAAAAAAGATTTATTTTTTATTGGAAAGTCAGATTTATAGAGAGGAGAGACCAAGGGGAAGATTTTTTATCCATTAATTCACTCCCCAAGCAGCCACAATGGCTGGAGCTGAGCCAATCTGAAGCCAGGAGCTTCTTCCAGGTCTCCCACTTGGGTGCAGAGTCCCTAGGCTTTGGGCCATCCTCAGTTGCTTTCCCAGGCTACAAGCAGGGATCCAGATGGGAACTGGTGCCCATATGGAATTCTGGCACATGCAAGGCAAGGACTTTAGCCACTAGGCTACAGTGCTGGGCCCAATGGGTATCATTTGTAACATCCCTGCTCTGCATACAATAAAGTGGAGTCCTAGATGGACTACATAATTTGTCCTTCTGAAACTGTAAAATAAATGGCAGAACCAACATGTGAACTTGAGTGTGACTGAATTCTAAACCATTGCTATTTTTCCTTAGCTCAGTTGCTGTTCTCCATTTTAAGTCATAGAAAACAAATGAACAACGCCCTATTGGCACTCTCCATAAGCTGTGGTATCTTCTCCCAATGAACACTTTTCCCAGTACTTTGTGTTTTCTGGTACCCCATAAAACCAACTGTACATTCCTTGGAAAATTAGCTAATACATGAGATATATTTTTGAAAGAAGAACAATACATTGTAAAGTGATATAACACTGATTTGATTGATTTGAGTATTCTATAAAGCATACTTAGAAAGTATACTATAAAGTATGCTTAGAAAGCAGAAATAACATTAAAACAGGACAGGTTTTAATTATGACAAAGAACTGTGCCAAGCATGACAAACATTTCACATGAGAACTATGCTCAGGCACATATCAGCAGTCAGGGAACAGAGTCCATTACCAGTTTTGGCATAAATGTCATCATTTCTCTTAAGACAAATCCAATTTAGGAAATAGGTGTATCTGGGGCCAGCACCATGGTGTAGCACATTAAGCCTCAGCCGGTGGTGCCAGCATCCCACATGCATGCAGGTTTGGGTCCTGGATGCTCCACTTCCGATCCAGCTCCCTGCCAAAGTGCCTGACAAAGCAACAGGATGGTCCAACTACTCGGCCACTACATCCATGTGGGAGACTTGGAAGAAGCTCCCGCCTTCAGACTGGCCCCGCTCTCGCTCAGACTGTAACCATCTGGGCAGTGAGCCAGCAGACAGGAGGACTCTCTGTCTCACCTCTGTAATTCTGCCTTTCAAAAAAAAATCTTGTTTAAAACAAAAGTCCCATTTAAAAAAATATAAGAATCATATTTACATGACTCTAAGCTTAAGCTGTTTATCTATGCAGATAGAAATGTCCAAACGGATAAAGACCCCAAGAATATTGCAAACACCTAGATATATACAGTATATAACACAGATCAGACTTTAGGTCTAAATGGATTTATTTCTACCATGTGAATTTATTTATAATAGATAATCAACTCAAAACAACTACAGGGTTGGGGCATGGAAAGCGGCTTTTCCTGCTTGGCCTCCCAGGCTGAAACGTGCCCTCCGGGAACACTGCTACTGTTTTCTTGCTTGTTCAGAAGTGCTGTGTGTGTGTGTAATAGCATACACTTCACTATACGGAATGCACACTTCTGCTCAACCAAACAGCAACATGTTCACACGATTTAGTGCCTGTGGTTTTCTTCCTGTAATGAAACATATTCTCCAACATTCTCAATTTGCATTTTAAAAAGAATAATTAGTATAATGTACAGAAATATGAAATGGATATATGACTGTTGCTTATTTACTCAGTGCCTTCCTGATGGACATTCAGATCGATTCTAATCTCTGTTAATACATGAATACCACTGCGTTAAACGCTCTGGGATGCGCCGTCTGCATGTTTAAAGTGTACTTCAGCCAAACCTCTAAAATTGTCTACAGTACTTTAAATATTAAGCCATAAACTCATGATATGTATCCTTATGAAAGATGCATTTTTTTGGAAAATGTACAGTAGTACAAAACTCAGGTCCACTTTCCACCTTTGTACGTGTCAACCAAAGCTGAGGCATTCAGTTATTCAAATGAACCTGTATTATTAGAATATTTATGTAAAGGATATCCTTAAATAACAGATTATAAATTCTCAAACATAGAAAATCAGCAAAAAGTTGATTAAAATGAGCTAGATTGTCCCAGTATGGCACACTTGGGTTGTTCAAAGACCAGCCACCCTGTTACAATTCTAGACAAAATACACTAAAAATAAGGCAGTCATTCTTTCATATTATCCATTCCGTTTTCTAATTCTGTAGTGCACACCTTCTAAAGAATCAGATTAAAAAACGTGTTTCTGTGTGGGGAACCCCAGTGCCTATAAAACTGTGTCATATAATGCAATGTAATTAATTTAAAAAAATGTATTTCCCCATTTTACTTCAGGATTAAATGAAATATATAGAATGCTTTTGATACCTTTAAAAAATAATGCTCCACTAATATAGCCGCCAGCTCTAACGCATTCTCACATAAGATTCTACCACTGATTGCTTCATTCAGAAAGACACGTGTTCTTTTAATGAGCGCTCACACTATTCATTTCAGACTTAGAACTGGAAAGCTAAAAATTAAAACTCAGAGGGAGTCTCAACTGAAAAAGACTTTTCAATCATTGTATTAGACATGGTTTTCTTTGATACTTCCGTCTAAAAGATAAAAACCAAATACCTGCCAAAACCAAATGATTTGCTTGCTGTTTCTTGTATAATGTCGATAAACAGTATTTCTCTGCCAGTCTGCCAAGTCAACCTCTTGCATGCCACACAACATGACCTAGGAAATGAGCAAGGCATTGGGACACAGTCAAGCTTTCACAGAGATGACAGCTGGACGACCGTCATTCTACGGCGCAGCATCGGGCTGCGCGCACGGCCCACGGGCAGTCAGCGAGTCTCACCGGCAGTAACAACCGAGCGGGAAGGGGTCTCGGCTTCTCGTCCACGTTTACAGAGCTCAAGCTGAAACAACAGAGTGCTCATATCTCCTTTGTTTTATACACACACACAAACACACATATATATATACACAATGCATTATATAAATATGAAACCCCCTTGGGTACACAGATTGTTTGGTTGCAAACATCAATTTAGGCGTTTAAAAACGGATGCGATGTTACACACTTAAGAATCAGAAGCTTGTTGAGCTCATACCTATCACCTGTTTGGTCATAAAATATTACACGGAGGTGAAAGTTTGAAATGAACTTTGCTTATTATATATGGGATGAAAAAAACTATTTCAGGAAGAGTAACCTGAAATGCTTTCCTCTTAATCTTTTCATAAATGAACTATGTAGTTATAATTTGCATTCATAAATGCTTGGCTCTAGATCAGATCCAAGGGGCTGGGTGGCCTCCTTGAAAACGAAGCACCAGCACATCGGTCCCGCCTCCCTGCCCAGCCCAGGCCATCGCCCGGCTTGGCTCTGGCTGGTAAATGGTTTCTCCTTACACCGCACGTGCCTTTTCGGAAATCCACGTGAAGACACATCTTTGTCACACACACACACACACACACACACACACACACACACACCCGTACCTGCTGTTCAGTCTCCTGTCCAGCACAACGGTTTGGAGACTCAACCATGTTATTGTGTACTAGTATTTCATTCTGTTGTATTACTAAATAACAGTTCATGATGTGAGAATACAACAATGGAATGAGTAGCGTTCTGGTGAACATTATGTATCAGTCTCTTATATGGATATATGTTTCATCTCAGATCAACAGATAATAGAGCAACTGCGACTCCACAGGGCCGAGTTACATTCAGCATTTTAGGAAGGTTTTTGACACGTCAGGTAGGATTCACTTCGTTTTAATTTGCGTTTCTCCAACCTGCAGCAGGCATCTTTCCACGGGCTATCTTGTCTTCTATAATCTCTCCCCTGTGATATGGGTCTGTGTGCTTCAGAATGTTTTTTGTTTTTCTAGTATACAGGCCATCCTCAATGGTTTCTTTTTAAAGAAACTAATTTTTTGGTTTTAATAAAGTCAAATTTTTTAAAAGATTTATTTTATTTTTGTTGGAAAGTCAGATATACAGAGAGGAGGAGAGACAGAGAGGTAGATTTTCTGTCCACTGATTGACTCCCCAAGTGTCTGTAATGGCCAGTGCTGTGCTGATGCAAAGCCAGGAGCCAGGAGCCTCTTCCAAGTCTCCCACACGGGTGCAGGTCCCAAGGCTTTGGAACATCTTCAACTGCTTTCCCAGGCCACAAGCAGGGAGCTGGGTGGGAGATGGAGCTGCCGGGATTAGAACCGGCGCCTAGGGCCCAGCGCAGTGGCCTAGCGGCTAAAGTTCTCGCCTTAATGCGCCAGGACCCCATATGGGCGCTGGTTCTAATCCCAGGGGCCCCGCTTTGGATCAGTGCAGCACTGGTCATTGCAGTCACGTGGGGAGTGAATCATCGCATGGAAGATCTTCCTCTCTGTCTCTTCTTCTGTCTGTATATCTGACTTTGCAATAAAAATAAATAAATCTTTAAAAATAAGAATTGGCACCCATATGGAATCCTGGTGCATATAAGGTGAGAACTTTAGCTGCTAGGCTACTGCACTGGGCCCAAAGGTCAATTTTTAAATATTTTTCTTTTATGGTTTTTTTGGTCTTTTGTATTCAAAGGAATTTTTGTATATCTTTTTAACTGCTGTACTTAACTTTGTGACTGTCTTTAAATTAAATCTTTTGCAAAAGGAAATATTTATTTGTTTTTATTGTAAAGGTCAGACTTTACAGAGAGAAGGAGAGACAGAAAGATCTAATCCACTTCCCAAGTGGCTGCAAAGTCCTGAGCTGTGCTCGATCCGAAGCCAGGATCCCAGAGTCTCTTCTGGGTCTCCCATGTGGGTGCAGGGTCCCAAGGCTTTGGGCCGTCCTCAACTGCTGTCCCAGGCCACAAGCAGGGAGCTGGATGGGGAGTGGGGCTGCCGGGATTAGAACCGGCGCCCATATGGGATCCTGGTGCATGGATTACTTTAGCTACTATGTTATCATGCTGGGCCCAAAATTTCAACTTTCAAGTGTTTGTCACTAACGCACAGATAAAAAACTGACTTTTTATTATCAAATTGCATCTATGCCCGTGTAAGTTCAATATTTCTACTATTTGTTTTGTAGGTTCACTGGGATTTCCTGAGTTGACAATTATGTTGCCATTAGTGAATAAAACATTTTACTTCTAAGTCTGGCCTCTGTTTTAACCTGAACTGACTAGCTCCTTTGGTACAAGTTTACAATGAGTAGCAGCTTTCTCTCTGTTCCCAATGGCAGAAAGCTTTAACATGCATCTACTTAGAAGAGTAGAGTTTTTATCGTTTTGCTATTGGTTATTGATGAAGCCCTTCATACTCTAAATGAAACCTGTGACTTAAAAAAGACCTAATAGGGCCCGGTGCGGTGGCCTAGCAGCTGAAAGTCCTCGCCCTGAACGTGCCGGGATCCCATATAGGCGCCGGTCTAATCTCGGTGGCTCCACTTCCCATCCAGCTCCCTGCTTGTGGCCTGAGACGGCAGTCGAGGATGGCCCAAAGCCTTGGGACCCTGCACCTGTGTGGGAGACCCGGAAGAGGCTCCTGGATCCTGGCTTCGGATCGGCGCAGCACCGGCCGTTGAGCTCACTTGGGGAGTGAATCATCGGATGGAAGATCTTCTCTGTCTCTCCTCCTCTCTGTATATCTGACTTTGCAATAAAAATAAAATAAACCTTAAAGAAAGATCTAACAAACGTTACTCTAAAATATGCTTTCCATGACATTCTCGCCGCATGCTTCCACTATTCTGTGTAAATTGTGAGGAAAGAGGTGGTAACAGCGATAGTGAGGATCTAGCCGTCACAGTCTTCATTTGCATATATTTCCTAGGTAAGTCAACGTTGCCAGAACACAGGAATATTGCCATAAAAAATTTGAAGTGTTATTTATGCTGGATTCATGCATGAACTTCATCTAAGGAGGGCCCAGGGGGTCTACTGTTAAAAATCTACGCCCACGCACGCAAGCCAAGAGGAAACAGCAAGCACTGTCCTTCAAGGCTCCGCCTGTGGCTTCATCTCTCCGGGAACAAAGATTTCCAGGCTTCTTGATCACTAATCATTAGAGAAATGCAAAGCAGTGCCACATGGGATATGACCTGACACCATTAGGATGGTTACTTATAAAAAAAAAATAACAAGCGTTGTTAAGATGGGGAGAAACTGGAACCCTTGTATACCAGTGGTGGATATGTAAAATGGTGCAGTTGCTAAGGAGAATTGTATAATATATTCCTTAATAAGTATAGGATGGCAACTCTGGGTTTATATCCAAAAGAATTGAAAGCAGGTTCTCAAAGAAATATTCCTATACCATGTTTTATTAGTATTAGTCACAAGAGCCCAAAGTAGGAAGTAACACAAATATCTACTAAAGGATAGGTGGATAAAAAAAGGATATAAATCTACAGTGGAATAGTATTCAGCCTTCAAAAGAAGGAAATTCTGATTTGTACCACAGCACACATAAACCTTGAGGACATAATACCAAGTGAAAGAAGCCAATCACGAAAGGACTAATACAGTGTCAGTTCATTTGTAGGGGACGTTAAAAGTAGTCAGTGTCACAGAAACCGAAAGTGGCATGCTGCCGCCAGGGGCTCAGGCGTAGCGGAGATAAACTTCAGTAGGAAAAAGTTTCAACAACCGGATGAATAATGTGAATACAGTTAACATTACTGAACTATACGCTTAAAAACTATCAAGACAGTGAAATGTATGGGTATTTTAGCATGCACACGTAAAGTTCAAATTAACACCACTAAAAACTCATGGCTTAAAATCTGATCTTTGGGGTTCCGTAAGACACCAGTTAAGGGTGCCGAGGCCCCTCTGCAGAGGGCGTGCGTGCAACAAGCGGGTCTGGCTCTTGACTTCAGCTTTCTGCTAATGCAGAATTTGGAAGGCAACAGTGAAGGCACAAGTGACTGTGTTCGCACCGCCTGCGTGGGAGACCTGGGCTGGATTTTGAATCCTGGCTATGCTCCTCCACTCCCCTCTGGGCAGCGGCCACTGCGCGCATTTGGAAATGAATCACTGGTGGGAGAGCACTGGCCTGTGTGCGTACTCCATTTCTCTCCTCCCACATCAAAAAAAAGAAATCTCATCTTTAAGTAACTCACCACCAAACTGGGATTTCAGGAGGTTTTAAGAAGTATCATTATATACATTTTGTTACAAGCAATATATTTTTTCAATCGCAATTTATGACCCCTTACAGCTGGCACCAAATGATGATTCTTTGTTTCAACATCATTATGGCCCACAGAATGTTATCAAGTCTCATCTAATGTTAGTATTAAAGCCATCTAAACATTCAGAAAAACAAAGTGATCCAAGATTATATTTCGTGATTTAAAAATATGTAGCTAATAGTCTAACAAAAGCATAACCCACTTCCCCTAATTAGCATTACCTATAATACCACAATTAAAGGTCCTAACCTCCAATTCCTTTTCATCAAAGTACTGTAGCCACTGAAGGGGAACAACTTCATTAAAACCATCCAGGAAGGCTTTGGTCTGTTCTTGTACTCCTCGAGAAAATCGCCATTCCGTCATTAAACTGAAAACAAAAACAGATTTAAAAGCAGGTGTTTGGTATTTGATACAAGATGTAAAAACACATTTTAAAGATCCTTCTGTTTTTCTAAATACACCACACACAGAGGCATCTAACACAAGCATGGGTTTGTGTGGAAAGGTCCTAGAAGTATGCACACACGTAACTTCAGAGTTAGCACAAGATTTCACGAGGATACAGTTCTACTGGCACCCAGCAGTAGCTACCAAAAGGAATTTTTTTTTTTTTCAAAGTAAGTTCTTGCCAAAAAGATACAGAAAATCCTAGCACTAATTATTTCCTATTTACATCCAGATAGGTAATTCCAAATAGAAATGTGTGGATACGGGAAAGCAGTGGCTGGTCATTTAACAGTATCCCTTTCCACCACACATGAGCCAAAGATCCCAGGACTTCAATTCAAAGCCTTCCTCCCAGGGACGCAAGAGGCTGTCCCAACAGCAAGCAGTGATAACCTGTCATCAGGCCATGTGCTTGCAGAGCTCGTGGCTCGGGGAGGCTTAAACGTGGAGAACAGCTTGTTAACAGGCCGGTTTATTGAGGACTATGAAGATATCCTAACCAGAGAGAAGAAATAAAGGTAAAAAGGAAACATTCTGAGACATAAAGCAGCTGTAGGGAAGTTTTCTGGGATGAAATAGGAAAATCAGTTAGTGACAGAAATTTTGCCCAAGTGTCTGAAAGGAGATGGAGATGACCCCACGGAGCAGCTCACGCAGCCTGAGGAGGAGAGACCAAGAACACCACAGCTGAAAAGAATGCAAATGACCCATGCTTCCCCAGGGCTAACTCTTTTTTGTCTTCTACAGCCAGTTTATCCTACACTATTCTGAGACAAGCCTTCCGTACTTGCTGCCTTCAAAACTTTCGTTCCTGCTCAGCACAATACTGTAGCGGATAAGGTCCTCACCTTGAATGCCCGGGATCCCATATGGGTACAGGTTCCCATCCAGCTCCCTGCCTGTGGCCTGGGAAAGCAGTCAAGGACAGCCCAAGGCTTTGGGACCCTGCAACCGCGTGGGAGACTTGCAAGAGCTTCCTGGCTCCTGGCTTTGGATTGGCTCAGCTCCAGCCACTGCGGCTGCTTGGGGAATGAACCATCAGACGGAAGATCTTCCTCTCTGTCTCTCCTCTCTGTATATCCACCTTTCTAATTAAAAGTAAATAAATCTTCAAAAAAAACAAAAAACCTTTCCTTCATCAGACACTGACTATTTTTGTCTCATATTTCTTTCTTTTTTTTTTTTTAAAAAAGATTTATCTATTTTTATTGCAAGGTCAGATGTACAGAGAGGAGGAGAGACAGAGAGGAAGCTCTTCCACTGGATGATTCATTCCCCAAGTGACTGTAAGGGTCAGTGCTGCGCCAAACTGAAGCCAGGAGCCAGGGACTTCTGCCAGGTCTCCCATGTGGGTGCAAGGTGCCCCATGCTTTGGTGCCAGGGAGCTGGATGGGAAGCGGGGCTTCCGGGATTAGAACCGGCGCCCATATATTGGATCCCAGCATGTGCAAGGCAAGGATTTAGACACCGAGCCATCGTACTGGGCCCTTGATCCAGTCACTCTTACACTACTATTCTCGGTTCTCTCCTTGCCACCACACAGACCAGCTCCAGCTTCTCATCTACTCATCCAACCTATAAACCTTGGTAGTTTGGTTTCAGTATCGGTCCCCAAAGAATAAAAATCTTTACAGGTGTCACCAGAAACTTGTGCTTCTGGAGTCCAGCACCCCTCCCCGTTCATGCTACAGGAACCTCCTGCAGCACTGGCCGTCGGCCCTCCAAATTCTCTCGCACTTCTCAGGTATGGGAATGCCACCATTCCTGATTTGGCTTTGGTGACTCCTCTTCCCCTACATTGGTCTCACTCTGCCAAAAATGTTGGTGTTACCTCTGTCTGTCCTTCTTCGTTGCTCTTCTAGCTACTGGCTCTCTAAAGATGGTATTTGCAACTACCAAAGTTTGAACTATCACTGAAAAGCCAGGAAGTCCTGAATTCCCAAATCCTGTTTCCCTCTTGAGAGTAAGAGGGAGATAGGATGTCATTCCTTGGTATCCTGCCACAAAATCAACTGGCAACACATCCCCCACTACATGCAATCAATCCAATCACCTAAGTTGAACCATCCTATTCTTGTAACATCTTTAAGAGTCCATTCCCTCATTTTTACCTCTACAGTAACTGTCCTATTATGGATCTACATTGCCTCAGCACCACAGTACTGACCGACCAGCCTTCTAGTCTCACATCACTTCCCTTTACAATTGTCACTCGCAAATCACCCTGCACCTACGATGTCAAGGTTATCTTTCTAAAAGCAATTCAGATCAGTCCATGTTTGTCTGTGTGATGTTGGGAGAGGATACGCTGGTTTCCTAGATGTCCACATTTCATCAAAGCTCCAGGTTTTGAGTGCTGCGCTGCTTCCAATTCCAGTACTCCTACAGAGGCAGCAGGTGTTGGACCCGTAACTGGGTCCAGCCACCCACAACTGTGGGGCCATCCGGGCAGTAAATTAACACATGGGAGATCTCTTTCTAATAAATTAGACAAAAACTTATAAAAAGGAATATGGTGTTTTTACAATAAGGCAACATATGACTACCACTTCTAAACTCCTACTTAGTCAGTATTCCTGCCACCTGTGACCATTCTGACAAAAATAATAGTTGTAAATTCCCAGGATAAACGAATTCCTTCAACAGTTCAATGTCTCTGTACTTGAGGTTTTTCTTTCCCAAAAGCCATGCCTCCATCAGGCAAGCGCTCATGTATCTTTTGACATTTACTTTATTCTTAGCATCGTATGGAGAATTCTGTCTCTTCCAGAATCAAGCACTCCTTCCCCAAATTGCATTTCAACAGTACTTCATACATATTTATAAGGTATCTTAACTGAAAAAACGTATGACAAAATTTCCAACAGTTAGTCTTTTCAAGATTCAAAAATAAGCAGTTTGTTACTCCTTGATACTGAAACTAAACTTTGCATAAACTTTATGCAGGATTAGATAATAATTCTTAGATAGTAGGTACTACATGGATAAGATGATTTAAAAATAATAGTAAACTTAGCATACAGTAAAAAGCTCAAAGTAGCAAAGTAAATTTAAACTTTAGGATGATGTAACTTAAGTTGTTTTTTGTATTTGGGAACACAGCATATATGCTTCAGTTTGCCATCTGATTATTATTGCTGGACTTTGTGCAAAGACACTTTAAGCTTAACAAACATAAAAAGCCTATGTGAATGATGCCAAGGAACAGAAACGGCTAATCTGGGACCGATTCACCATGACTTATCTGGAAAAAGAGTTAGACCTATCACTACTGATCTTGAATGATACAGAAAGCAAACTACAGAATAATGTATAAGATGTATGTTTGTCTGTTGATGACATGTGTGCATATGCCTGTATATAGAATATGTAAAGTGAACTTGTATGTGTGTGTGTGAGACAGAGAGAAAAAAAATGAGAAAAATGATAGCTAAAATCCAAGTATAAAAGAGAATGAAGGGCCTGGTGTGGTAGCCTAGTGCCTAAAGTCCTCATCTTGTATGTGCCACAGGATCCCTTATCGGCACCAGTTTGTATCCTGGCTGCTCCACTTCCCATCCAGCTCCCTGCTTGTTACCTGGGAAAGCAGTTGACATGGCACAAAGCCTTGGGAACCTGCACCCATGTGGGAGACCAGGAATAAGAGCCTGGCTCCTGGCTTCACATAGGCTCAGCTCTGACCATTAAGGCCACTTGCAGAGAGAACAGGCAGAATATCTCTCTCTATATATCTAATTCTTTCTGTAAATCTGACTTTCCGATAAAAATAAATATATCTTGGGCCCGGTGCGGTGGCGCAAGTGGTTAAAGGTCCTCGCCTTGCACGCCCGGGATCCCATATGGGCGCCGGTTCTAATCCCGGCAGCCCCGCTTCCCTTCCAGCTCCCTGCCCGTGGCCCGGGAAGGCAGTCGAGGACGGCCCAAGGCTTTGGGACCCTGCACCCGCGTGGGAGACCCGGAAGAGGCTCCTGGCTTCGGATCGGCATAGTATCGGCCCATTGCGCTCACTTGGGGAGTGAATCATCGGACGGAAGATCTTCCTCTCTGTCTCTCCTCTCTGTATATCCGCCTTTCCAATAAAAAAAAAATAATAATAAAAATAAATCTTTAAAAAAAAAAATATATCTTAAAAAAAAAACAGGCCAAAATTTCAAGGGGAAAAGACCTGAAGAGGAAGTGAGAATAAACCCGATACAAACAGCTGGGATGCAGGCCAGTGCTGCTGCACACAACGCCCCGGCCCTCACACCCAGAACAGACTGCACAGTGCTGCACACAGCGCCCCGGCCCTCACACCTAGAACAGATTGCACAGTGCTGCTGCTGCACACAGTGCCTCGGCCCTCACACCTAGAACAGACTGCAGAGACCTTGGCAAGTTCTAGGCAGCATGCAAACAGCAAGTGGCAGTGAAAAAGTGAAGGTTATCATGCTCATATAGTCTTCTATTTGAAGAAAACTGGTAATGTGTAGAACTTCCTCAAGAAGTGAAAAAAAAAGGTTAAGGAGACATTCAGTATTTCAGTTATTTAATTTATTCCATAAGTTCTAAAATTAACCTTACGACCGTGTTTCATCTTACCCAATGTATTCATCTTTGTTCTCCTCAGTCACTAGAATATTGGAGCCTCCCAACTTGAGGTCGTGTGAAGTAACTTTTCCCAAAATTTCCATGTCAACAGAAAAATACATTTCTAAACCACATTCTTCAATATTGTTGTCTCTAAGAGAAATAAATACACATACTAATTAACAAGATGTGTAAATGGGTTTCAAGAAAATACCATATTGAAAAAATAAATCTCCAAACCTTATCCAGATAAGGGAGTTATAAAATTCAGTATCAATAGATTCCAAATCCTTAATAGTCAATTTTTTACTTAACATACGCTTGTAGAATGGTAAAGAAAAGCCAGTATCAATAAATTTTCCATGAAATAATGCCTGCCAAGACAAACAAAATATCTTATTTAAAATTCACAAAACAGTAATTCCTCATTTAAATTTAAAGCATAACGGCAACAGAATTGTCAGGCTTTACAAATAAAAAAGAATAGCTTCAGGCCCGGAGCGGTGGCGCAAGTGGTTAAAGGTCCTCGCCTTGCACGCCCGGGATCCCATATGGGCGCCGGTTCTAATCCTGGCAGCCCCGCTTCCCTTCCAGCTCCCTGCCTGTGGCCTGGGAAAGCAGTTGAGGACGGCCCAAAGCTTTGGGACCCTGCACCCGCGTGTGGGAGACCCGGAAGAGGCTCCTGGCTTCGGACCGGCATAGTATCGGCCCGTTGCGCTCACTTGGGGAGTGAATCATCGGACGGAAGATCTTCCTCTCTGTCTCTCCTCTCTGTATATCCGCCTTTCCAATAAAAAAATAATAAAAATAAATCTTTAAAAAAAAAAAAAAAAAGAATAGCTTCAATCATGAAAATCTGTAAAATCCTGAGCTTGAAAAACAAATGATAGCGTTAATAATTATTTTTTATATATCAAATATCTATATAATATGCCTACAAATTATAAATAGGATAGCAAATGATCTTTATTAATATCCTTGACTCTAGGGTTTTATGTATAACCAAATCAGATGCAAAAAGGAAGGGCTCTGTACACTACTGCCTGTTTACCACCACCAGCACAGGACAGCCCAAGCCCTCAGCAATGTCTGACTCCAACACACCTATTACAAAAATGCACTAAGAACAGGCCATTTTGTCTCTCAAGTCTGATGATGAAGTTATGCTACCATTACTCAGCTTAAATTCCATCACAAATCATTGAAAAGTTACTTCCCTGTGGGACCAGCACAACAGCCTAGTGGCTAAAGTTCTTGTCTTGCATGCCAGGATCCCACATGGGTGCCAGTTCTAATCCCGGTGGCCCCACTTCCCATCCAGCTCCCTGCTGGTGGCCTGGGAAAGCAGTCGAGGACGGCCCAAAGCCTTGGGACCCTGTACCCGCATGGGAGACCAGGAACAACCTCCAGGTTCCTGGCTTTGGATCGGCGCAGCTGTGGCTGTTGTGGTTACTTGGGGAGTGAACCAGCAGATGGAAGATTTCCTCTCTGTCTCTCTTCCTCTCTGTATATCTGACTTTTCAATAAATACATAAAATAAATCTAAAAAAAAAGTTACTCCCTTGTACAAAGGAACTTGGAAAAATTATAGAAAATGCATATGATGGAAAAAAATAACTGCATTGGCTTCAATTTTTTTTAACATGAAAATAAATCTGTTGTTAGTTCCTTTTTTACACAAACATTCTAAAGCACTACTGTTTACCTTCAAACTTTGCCTCACTGTTGTATTTTCAGCTTACTCAACACCTACACCCAGGCAGCTGACCGTGCTGGGAATGCATACACCAAGCTAACCGCTTCAGGACATCAAGTAGATGCTTCATGCACCTATCAGTCATTGATGCAGTCACTCTCCTGGTTTCCTGGACGACTGCTTCATCCCTACTCCTCTTCCCGCAGACACCATCTTCCCCATCACACACATGGACCTGATGATCTTTCACCAGAAACAGAAGTAACCAGAAGACAACTGGGTGTTGCCCCAGGACTACACAGTAACATCCTCCAAATCCACAGACTCTCAACAGGGACAAGCCTGCTCTTGCTCCTAGGAACACTAAATAAATCTCTCTCTTCCTGCTCAAGGCCATTGCTCCCACATCCCTTTCTTGTTGACCTCACAATATTCACAATGTTCTCTTACTCTCTAAGTGATCATCACCATCACCAATATAAACGTCTTATTCTTGACAATTCATTTGTAATTACTGTCCACGTCTCCATTATGCTTTAAAGCAAGCTTCTTTAATATTTTTCACATTTGCTGCTTCCAGTTTTCCTTCCATTCTCTACTGATTTCACACACATCAGCTTTTCCTTTCTGCCACCCAAGAATCTCAACTTGCCAGATCAAATGGTCAATTCCCAGGCCTTATCTTGCTCATCCTGTAAGTCACATGACAGAGTTAAACATATCTTCCTGTCTAAAACATACTTTCTTTCACCTTTGTGTCTGGGAACCACTCTTGTTGGATCTCTCATCTTTTTTGCTTATTCCTTCTCCAATTTACAAATGATCTTTAACTTCTTTATCCATGCATATTCCCAATCATAAAGTTTTTTTTAATACTCTCTATATGTCAAGCACTTCTAAATGCCTCTCTCTAATCTGAATCCCACTGCCAGACTCATATATCCAACTATCTATACTACATGTCAGTGTGAATGTGCACAACTATCAATCACTACAAGCCAAATCCCAAGTCCTGATTTTGCCCAACCTCCAAATTTTTCTTTGCTGTTTCCCTGCCCATATTCGGAAACAGCGATTGAAATAAGGCAAGCAAGCCATAAAATTTGGGGCCCTATTTGATTCTCTCATGCATCCTATATCTAATCTGTAAGAAAACCTTGTTCTGACTTGAGATTATATTCAGAATCCAAGCTGCTTCATGTTTCCTTCATAGCCATCTGGATTCTTGCAAGCTATCTTCCTCCTCTCAACTTGCTTTCCTCTCTCCCAGTTACAGATTGTTCTCCTCACAGCAGCAAAGCAATTTTTAAAATGTTAAGTCAGATTATGTAACCTAAATCATGCCACTCACTTTCCTACCAAAACCCTTGTGTACAGCCCAACCGTTCAACACCGGAGCTCTCAGTCTCATTTCCTCTCACATTTTCTCCCACACAACCAGTTCCAGCCATACGGCGCTCGGTCAATCAAGACGTGGGTTCAACTTTGAGCTTTGTCTTGTTCTTCCCTTACGATGTTCTCTAGGATATTTCTGTGATCAACCTCTAGCTTTATGTTTATATTCAGATATCATCCTTGAAAGACGACTCTCCCAACTTTACCATACGACAGAGCCACATCTTCTTCCTTCAGCAGATACGTGCTCATTACTTGTCTCCCTTGAACAGAACTCAGATCCCTGTGAGCAGGAAGTGTGGGATCTCTCCCTTCTCAGCGATTAGAATAACGCTTAGCATTAGAGCAAGCCCAGGATAAACACTTGTTGAATTAATTAACAGATTAATAATGTATAAATACAAACACTTCTCAAAAGATAGTAGTTCCACAAGTGCTTCTTGAAACACCTAAAAATTCCAAACATATCAATCCAATACAATTATTAGAAAACTCCGATTTTCCTGTCACAGAAAAAAAGTTATATTATAGTTAGGCTTTAATTTATGAAATGAACAACTTTAACAAACTAAGTAGCAAATAAGTGATCCATATTGTCATAATATTGATTTCATACAGGCAATATAAAAATTAAGCAAAATATGATGCTGTTTTTTTTGAGGCAAATGTTCTTGGTGACAAAATATGCAAATACCAAAAATCATGCTTATTTTTCTAAGGCCTCTCTAAGGTGATCTGGCATTAGCACAGTATTAAATAGATTTAAAAGGCAAAAACTCACCATTGCAATAAAGCGACCAATGAAACAGAAGTACGAAAGATGATCGGGATTAATGGTTGATGCTGGATTTATCTGCAAGCAGTAGTTGTTCTTGCCCGCATACTCAAACAGGCAATACATTGGATTCAAAACTTCATGTGAAAGCAAGAAAAACCACTCTCTATAAGAAAATGATGTTATTTTTTAAGCATTCATACATATTTGAATTGAAAATGAAATGTACCCATGTATCTATACATTGTATCTGTTTTCAACCTTTAACAGTTCCGATTCTTCTGTACTCCATTCAGGTTTTTTCCTATGTCCTGGCTCTACATTCAAAGTTGCCTGCTGGCACCTATGTTGGAAAACTATAAATTCAGTGTTCCTCAAATAAAAAATATACTTATTTCTACACCATACTTTGTTTTGGTAAAACTCCTCAAATTCAGTTCAGCAAAAACAGAACCTACTTTTCCTTAGTCTAAATGCAATCTCAGTCATTTTCTGAAGCCATTTTCAGTATCCTACCTGTACTGGCTATTGCATACTTCATGGTAACAGCCTCAAGTTGGTTCCTTTTATGTATAGGACCTGGCCCATCCTTGGATAGATTCTAAGCTTCTCAGACATGTGGGAATGGGTTTGGGACTTTGGTGTTAAAGTGCCGTTCATAATGCCAGCTTCGCACATGAGTGCAAGTTTGAATCGCAGTTGTTCTACTTCCAGTCCATTGCTAATGCTCCTGGGAAAGCAGCAGAAGTCAGCCCCCGCACTTGGGTCCCTGTCACTCAAGTAGGAGACCTGATGGGACTCTAGGCTCCCGATTTTAGCCTGGCTAGACATTGCAGCTGTGGCAGAGAGGATTAGTGGATGGAAGATCTCTCTCTTCCTGTGAATTTGCCTTTCAAACAAGAAAATAAAAATAAACACATACACAAATAAATGTATATTTTTCAAAAGCCATATTATTATGTCTTTTTTGTATGCTTAACTCTTAGAAGCAATTCTGGGATCTTTACATAGTAAATTTTTATATATATTAGTTAATAATGTAGAGACACACGGCTACTGTGTAAGTTTTAAATTTATTGTCAACTTAAAAAGGAACTAAAGCAAAAAGGTGAAATCTTCAAATATGATGAGCAATTTTTATCATTTATTTTGCCTCATTTAAAAAAAGTTCAATAGATAAAACCTAACTAGAGATTAATAATTTATATTACAAAACAAATTAATTTGAAAAAGGTTCTTTATAACGGCAATCTCCTCTAAAGCAGAGTTCCAAATTCAGATGCTTACAATAACTAACGAGTACAGGGGTTCTTCCTCTGTTTCCTGTCTGGGGTCTATGATCTCTGCTTAGCCATCATCCCCTATTTCTCATTCTAAACCTGCCACATTATTGTGTCCAAGAGGAAGAACTTCTAAGCACAGTGTCGGGCTGTGGGTTCCTGGGCAGTGGTAGGTGTAGTAAAACACAACGTTACTTCCCTAAAACACAAAGAGCTACTCTTTCAGCCAACTGGTGCCAAAGAGAAGGGAGCAATCTTCACAGAAAAGACAGAAATCTTAATCATCAGGGAACTGAATGTTACAACTTAAAAAATTTTTAAATAATAATAGAAGTCACCTCTTTGCAAATCTGGTGTGACAGTCTATTTACAATCATTTTGGTATAACTTTTAACACAATCCCTAGAACTGCCTGAAGGTAAAGAAAGGAGTCCCTAAAGAAAATCAACTAAGAAATGTTGAACACAAATTCATGAAACTGGAGCCAGTCCTAATACTACTGCTTACGCAATGACTTCACCCAATGCCCAGGCTACAGAACTGAGCGCATCTAGTGACTGTAAGTTTAGACACAGACACACAAATAAGGAATAAAATCTCCAGTTGCCTGAGATCCTCTGCAAACAGAGTCTGGAGAAAAATTAGTCCTGTTCAAAAGAATTCAAAAGAAGAATGGCTATAACATGGCACTAACCTTAATCTTTGTAATAGCAGAAAAAAGAAAAAAATTTCTAGCAAGGATTAACCTTTAATATAGCCTTCTCTATACTTTCAAATAAACTGAAGAGACACAAGAGGCTAAGAAATTAGTAGACAACAGATGAGCTAGCAGAGCCTAGAGAAGAAAATGAAGAAAACAGTAAAACCACTAATGAAGAAAAAAATCACATTAGAAGCAGCAAAACGTAGGGCAGTACTGCAAACAGTGACATGAGGACAGGCTGGAGAAAAATCAGAACAAAATGAAAAGGCACCAAGATAATAATGACCAGAGAAAAGATGACAGACATGTAAGACTGACAAAGGAGATTCCACATACCCATGATTGATGTTCCTGAAGAAAAATGGAACAAATGGAACAGAAAAAATATTCAAAGATATAATAGAAGAAAACTTCCCTGAAATTAAGGAAGATCTTAATATGTTCCTAAAAAAAAGATAGAACAATCAACAGCCAAATTAACAAACTTCAAGACAAGGAGTGTGCAGGCACCCAGAGGGAAAAAAAAATTTCCTGAGGGGGTGGCCCTGTATTTCTAAGCACTAACATTCAACTTGAGAAAACAGTGAAGCAATATCTACAGGAGAAACAACTGTTGAAAGAAATGCATATCTACTGAAGCTGCTGTTTATATGTATATATATAAAAAAAACCAGAAAACATTCTCAGACACGTTGAATGTTGCAAAGACTATAGGGATATATCGTGATGTCTTGAATAAACCCTTTGATCATGAATCTAGCCCATTATCATATGAACTAGATAGAGAATTCAGAAACAAAACAATTACCATAGGAGAAACTGGCTTTAATGCATTAAAACACAAAAGTATAAGACTAGAACTAAATAGCTGAGGTAAATAAAAAATCAGATAGAAAATGAGGCTGTTATAAAGTCAGACATTAGCATATTTCCTCATTTCTAAGATGTACTTTCACTTTTAATGTCTACAAATATTTCTAAAATCGAGATAAACTCGCAATAGATGCAACACCTCTATTGTGAGAGCTGATATTTCTTTTCTGAAAAAGCATGATGATGTCCTGGATGAGGAAATATGTTAATATAAAAGCAACTGATAGTTCTGCAAGCATTGTCTTTATCCTATCAGGTAGACTTAGTGCTGCTTCTCTATTTGTCAGTTACAGGATAATTGTGAATCTGTAATTCTGTACTTATATCTGTGAAATATGAGTGCACAAAGAGGGTTGTTTCTATGAAAAGCAATTTGAATTCTTTGGAAAGATTTAATGAAAGTTTTCTGCTAGAAAAATAAATTGGTGCCAAGTTTGAAAGTTAGAGGATTCTCCATTCATATTGCTTCACAAGTCTACTTTTGTTAGCAAAATTATGAATAGATTTGGAACACTCTATTCTTAAGTGAGAGACTGCATTAAAAATAGACATAAAGCTAACACAATGTTAAAAGAGCAAAAGAAGTGACCTTATACACGCTGACTCATTAATTAAGACATCTTCACATGAGTTATTACTCAGCCATTTTAGAAAGAGAATATTAGCCCTTGATATATACCAATACAGAAAGATGACCACTGCATTTAAAAAATAAAATCAAGTTCTTTCATATATTTTACAACAATTCTATTTTAAAAACAGCAACTGTGTACTATATTACTTATATATATGCAAAACTACTTATATATGCAGAGAACATGCAGAGAAGGCTAATTAAAGAATAATAATAACTATGTCCAGAGTTATAAAAATGTAAATGTTTTTTAAAATGATTCTGGATTGTTACTGAACATGCATAATATATTATCTCTTCATAAATATATTCATTTTATATTTTGTGATAAGTTATATGGAAGCATTTAAAAATTTTTTTTAAATTTTTTAAAAAAGTTTTTTTGTTTTACCTTGCGAGGCCACCATAATCTAGTCCTTCTTCTCCTCTAAATATTACATACAATCGCCTCCTCAGGTCATAGGGCTTTAATGCCATGATCTAATCAAAAACAAAAACACAAACATTCAAACACTTTAGACATCATAAGTTTCTCCCCCCCAAAATGCTACTCTTTATTTTCAAAATAAACATTTCCCTATACAATAATGCTTTAGTTTAAGAAATCAAGTGCTTGTTCTACAAACTAAATAATGACTTATACACCTCTAGAGAACTTTCTGTGCCACTTTCCCTTATTCTTACCCCCTTTCCAGCATTCAGCTGATCTGAGTGAGTGGCAGCAGAGCAAGAATCTGACACCTAAGTCTTTACAATTAAGAACAATCCATTCTCCAGTACTAACTGTACCAGAATCTTCTAACACATACAATATTTTCTCATTTGCCAAACTTACAGGTAGAGGTTGTTTTCTGCTTATACTATACACTCCATTTCTTAGTAGGCAAAGCATTTAGGCATAATTATTCAAAAAGATAATGAAAAACAATACTTACACCGATTTTCATCCTTCTTAAATTAAGGTTACTAGTAAGTAGAATTCACTTTTGGATAACACTAAATACTTGACAGCACTCATACGCCAGTGCCAGTATGGCGAGTCTGGGTCAGGGCAGATCACCCACAGTTTGCTGTTTGACTTAGCCTAACACTAAACACACCATGATTCTCCAGTCAGTGAAAAGCAAATAGTCTACTAACAACTTAAACTAAGAACTCAAGCAGCCTGGATTGAGTTGATCAATTTGCATTTACTTCCTTTAATGTAATTACTTTTTAAAATATATGTTTTATTTTGAATTTTAATACAATTTTGTCTAGGCTGGGATTATCCCCCAAACTACCACCCCCATTAGATTTTTCCCGTTTTGTTACAATAGCACAGTCTTTCATAAGGAATCATAATTGTATCAGTCTCTTATTTAAGTGTATCCCGACATTGTTGGTACAATGTCAGACAGCCCAGCAGCCCACTGTCTACACATGTCCAACAGTTTCATTGGGATTCCATCTTTCGTCTGGATGCAATGTGCAACCCTCCATTCTAGGTACTAGATAAAATATTGTCTTTTCACAGAACTTACATTGCAGCTAGGGAGAGAAGAAAATACAATATGGTAAGAAGTGATATGAAAAAGGATAAATGACAGGATGTGAGGAGGAAGGGGGTGAGCAAGATTATCATTTTTTTAAAAAAAGGATTATTTATTAATTGGAAGAGTTGAGAGAGAGCGAGCCAGTCAGCCAGCCGGAGAGGAGAGAGCTGGGGAGAGAAAGAGACAGAGAGATATGTTCCATCCACTGGTTCACTCCCCAAAAGGCCACAGCACTAAGGTTGGGCCAGGTCAAAGCCAGGAGCTTCATCTAGGTCTGCCACATGGTGACAGGTGCCTAAGAATGTGTGGCATCTTCTGCTGCCTTTCCAGGCCATCAGCAGAGAGTTGGACAGGAAGTGGAGCAGCTAGGACATGAGCTGGTGTCCGTATGAGAACCTGGCATCACCAGTGGCAGCTGTCCCTGCTGTGCACACTAGCCCTGTTACCATCTTAAACACCATGCTTAGACAAGGTCATTCTGAGAGTATGGCATTTAAATAGAAAACTCATTATGAGAATAAATGATTATCACACTATTCAAGTGAAATACAGTATCCTCTACTTGTTTATTTATCTCACTTCTGATGGCTACCACAGTAACTGGAGAAGGGCGGAGTTTGCCTCCAACAAAACCCTGAACGGATGGCAGAATTCTGGCGGGCCCCTCAGGCAGTGAGACCACCGTTGCACCAATGAGGGACACAGTCCGATATCCCCCTACCAATAAGGGCTGAGGTGACCCCATTTGGCATCCGTGTCAGGGAGAGTTTAAAAGGGCCTCTTCCCCGTCTCTTCCGTGCTCTTCTTCCTCTACAGCCCATTCCTTCGCATCTTTCTGCTGCACAGGGAAGGGAAGCCCGTGGTTCCCTGAAATAAAGGCCATCTAAACTCTTTTCATATATTTGGCTGAGTTATTCTTTCCCTGGTTGTCAGCAAATCTAACATTTGGGCAAATGGTGAATCTGACAACTCCCATTTATGAAGTCCTCCAGGAACAGAGGACCATTTTGCCCATCAGGATCCCAGCCACTGAAGGCAGACGGGATTCTTGCCAGTGATAGAGGATCTGGGCTCCTGGGCAGCCCATCAGGCACAGAACCCTCACTCCTGCTGGGCCAGGACTCAGCAAGGCCTGCTGACTACAGCACACAGCTCCAGAGCCAGCAGGAGAAAAGGGCACAGCTGCAGGCACCGAAGGCGCATGTGCCCAGCGCTAAGACAGCTGTGGCGATTGCACAAAGCATCAAGCCTGTCCTCCGGTCAGAAGCCACCTGGCTGCTTCCTGCACTACCCAACCTGGAAGATGTCTCTCCCCTCCGAGGAAGGCTGGGCCGCTCCAGCTCTGCCCGTCTCTTCTCGGCCGGGACTGTGTCAACAGTAGGCCATTGCTCGGGATAACTATGCAGTTATTTCCATTCGCATGCATCACCTGGTGGCTGCTGGACCCTGTGTCCACATAACGTGGTGCTCGGGCCCAGCAGGCACAGATGGGCCGAGAACCTCAGGGAACACCTGGCCTTGCACTCAAGACTCCTCCAGAACTCCAGAGGGTGCTAGTCTTAGATTCCCACTGTTATCACATCCTTTCAAGATGACCTTGAGAACTTAAAGCTCATCCAGCTTGAGAGAGGGTCCAGCCTAAAGCTGTTCAATTATGTACTGGCGCCTTTAAGAGGTGGCCGACCTTCTCTTTAAGTTGTTTCTCCAATTTCTCTGTTTCTTTATCCACATTATCCTCTTTTTCAATCACTTCCCTGGCCTGAGGGTGCAATGGCTGGATAAACATGCACCCCAAGTAAGGCATCCCCTCTTCAGAGAGGCTGAGATCCTTCCAGAGAATTGAAAGCCTGCCTCTTGTCTGCCAGCTCCTGACTTCCACCAGCTACCGCAGAACAGAATGGCACCAGAAGCTGAAGATAACGCCGCCCCAGTAGCTGCCAATTTCATTTTAACTCAGAAGATTTATCAAAAATGGTTTTTGTCCTAGCCAAGATGATATATGTCAAAATGAACCAACTGGTACTAAAAGCTGCTCAAGTTTTTAAGTTTACAGCGAAATCTAAGAACGTTTCTCTCAGTCTCAGAACATTTATGTGTGAAATATACTGATACAATAGATAAAGTATGAAGGGATGGAATGAAATGATAACCACAAGATGGTATCTATTCAACAAAATGAGGCTTATCATAACTATTATTTAAATGTCTGTTCAGCAGGTGGTGGCAATGATTGTAGCTGTGTTCTGGAAGGGTTAAAATGTCCAGAACCTTTGACTCTCCTCAGAGACACAGAATAAAAGGAGAAAATATTATTATTTTAGCTTGATAACCTGTTCCTTACCTGTTGGAAGGAATCTTCAAACAATGTCTGCCGGGACACATTGATCTTAACATGACTAGGTAGTGCATTAGACTAAAGAAAAACAGAAACAACATCACATCACATAAGCTACAGTGCATGTACTGTGTGAAGATAAGACTAAGTGATTATGAACATAAGATTTATTTACCACTGTAGTACCTGGCACAAGTAACGGAAGTGAGCAAGTTTCCACCGAAAGCTGCGTTCATAAGCTATCTGTGGACCGCCTTTAGTTCTACAGAAAAACAGAAAGAAGCTAAGTATTAATTGAGAATAAAATCGACTATTTAACATTCAAGAAGAAATGACAGTGCAGCAGTATCCTACAAACAGCTCTGTGGAGGTTATTTGCACAGAGACAAGCTGATGTATATGTTATGGGTAGTAAACTCTTGAGCAATGAAGGCAGTTTTAGCAACAGGACACACACAGGCAGGGGGGCTGTGCATTACGGAGTTAGTTCAATGCAAGCCTTTGATAATCCTTAAGTCCTAGTTAGGACAGACTCTGGGTGGAACGCTTACAAGGGAAATCCTACCTGTCCTTAAACCTAACCTGAAACCAAAGCAGATACTGCTGGAGAGATGCAAAGCACAATCTAACTTTCCAGTCTAACTAGTAACATTCAGGCCTCATGTGCAGACAGTCAGAGAGAGATGTGAGAAGGCGGCATCAGGAATGCCGGGTGTACAGTGTGTCTGACTCCCAGAGGACCCGGGTCTCTTGCCTGTAAGTGAGGGCCTAAGAGATAAGCACAAAACTTTCACAACTGTAGGGAATATTCTGGAACAAATGGAAAATGGTCTCTTGTTAAATGAGGTTCAAGAATTTTCTAATGCATTTATTCAAATGTTTACTGAACGCATAGCCTGTACTGGCATTCCTTTAGATCTGGGATAGGGATCCTTTTATCTGCCAGGGACCACGTGGACATTTATGACATCACTCATGGACCATACAAAATTATCACCTTAGGAATTAGCCTGTTATAGGCTTACTGAAAATGTGGCTGCCTTGGCAGGCCACACTAACACTCCCCACTTATTCCAGACAACAACATTTAATAAAACGTAGCAAAAATTTGCCCAAACAAACCAGAGACAGAAAGATGCAAGCTCCTGTAGTGACTGAGGTCATGAATAAAGAAGAGATAACATACCACGCTGCCTTGTACAGATTGTCACTGAGAGAGAAACCCGTCACAGGCTTCTGTGTAAATAAGTGACTTTTATTTAGTCTAGCCTCTTTACTGCATGAGGACAGCAAAGTGTCACATGAGGTGAGTGTAGATGGAAGCTAAGAAATGAAGGATGCTGAGAGCGCAGCACGTGGGAAGGCAACGGTAGGTTGGACCAAGCTGATCGCAGTGTAGGTACTGAGTTGTAGCTAGACTCAGTATGCTGTTTGAGGTAATGAGAATTCATGATGCACTGTGTGTCCGTGTGTGTGTGTGTGTGTGTGTGTGTGTGTGTGTTGGGGGTGGTGGTGGAGAATGGTGCAGGACAATTCCAAGGTTTTTGGCCTGAGCGTGAGTTAAACTGGAGTTACAATGAACTGAATGAGTTGGGGGAATACCCCAAGCAGCACAGGTTTTAAGGGTGCTACCAGGAAAGAGTTACAAGTAGTGACATCAAGTCAGCAGCCGACTATGTGAAGCGAAGTTTGAAGGAACAAATCTGAGTACGTATATATGTGCACATCTGTATACGCATCATCAACATGAAGATCCTTGTGAAAGCATGAGGACAAAAGGAAGGCTCGACAACAAAGAGAAGAAATCGGACCAGAGAGGCCGTGGGAAATCAAGAGTGTGCTCCTTGTGTTGTGTGTATTACATGTCCAGTGAGGCAGAGTGCAAGCCAGTTCCTGCATTGACAAGGTGGACTTCACGATGCCCTTATCAGAGGAACTTCCTTGGAGCCGTAAAGACCAAAATTAGCAACAGAAATACAGGGCCACTCAGATGTAGTTTTTCTATGAAGGGCAGCAATAGGAACAAACTGTTATCAAATGGATCAATAAGGTAAGTGTCATGGTAATTTAGCTTTTTAATTTTTAATCTAAGAGAAATAACAGTGAATCAGAATTTAGTGAAGAAAAACTTATGGCATAAAATAGATCATTGCTACTGCAATTAAGTGTGGTTATAGGTTGGGAGATGGAAATAATGAGCCAGCAGAGGCACTGGCCTTCACCAGGAAAAACGACACTGCATGTAGAGGCAGAGGAGGAGGACAGACACCTGTAGGGAAGGAGAGAGTGGGAATTTCCAAAAGACCTTTCATGACTGCTTTTCTCAGCGATACAAAGACATTACATCTGGAGTAGGGAGGAAAGCGAGATCTGTCAACTGCTTCATTAAGGGATCCTTATGCAGAAAAGTGAGCTCCACGGTACAGCTCATTTACTGACACTGCAGCAGGATGCTGTGGCAGATAGAAAAAACACAGACTCCAGTGACACACTGCCTTTGTCTGCAATCAGCTTCAGTTCTTTCCTTACGACTCTCCTACCCACTGCGCCTCTGCTGTCTCACTGAAGTGGACAGGAGTACCTACATCAAGGGGTTGTTGGGAGATAAGATGGCTTAATACATTTAAAGTATTAAGAAAATCCTTGCCAAGGAATAATCAGTAAATAAATACCTGCCATTGTGAATAAGAAATTATGTGCTACAAATTCATTTTGAGATGAGAGCAAAGAGAGGTACACTAGGATATTACTTACACAGGCTTAGAGAACAAATAAGGAAGATCTGTTGCTGAACCTGAGGCTAATTATAGATCAATTATCATGTTCTGCCTGGGCAATGTTTAAGGAAAAACTTCAGGTGTTCTACTTACACAGAGGACTTCCCATTGCGAGGATCTTTGAAAGTTGTTGTTCTTGTGTTATGATCAACAAAGTACCTAACACCTTCCCGAGTATACCTAATTTCCCAGCCTTCAGGCAATGGTTCTTCATTCTGCAAGCTAAAAGACAAAGCAGTCATCATAAGATGAGTTTAGTCTTCGCACTGGAATCATCTGACACAGGTTTACTGACTCCCCTGCAGAGAAACCTTCAAAAAGTTCATTTAGAGTAGAAAGAAAAGCTGCTGACTGCGACTTGCCATGGATTTCTCAGAAGACCCCTATTTCTGCAAGCTGACATAGGCAAAGCTAGGTGGTCCATGCATACCCTTGAGTTCTCGGATCTTCCCACTGGGTTGTTTTCGTGTTATGGTTCACAAAGTAGACCCGGTCTGTTGAATCCACTCTTTTTTCTAAAACACAGAGTGAACATAACATTTAATAATTATTTTACATATGCATATATATGTGTATATATATATATATACCTCATAGATATTTCTACCAACAACAGTTATTAGCTTACCCCAGCCTGGTGGCAAGGGTCCATATGGGTCATTTTCTGCAGTTAACATGGAAGCCTAATAGGACAAAGGAGGGGAGACAGGGATAAAAAGCATTTTCATATGAAAGTAGAAATAAACTAAGTATTAGATCACATCTTATAATCTTTAAAAACATAAACACACTAAGAATACTGCAATATAAAGTTCCCAAAATACTGTAAGGTAAGAGCTCATGTCAATCACTTGCTAAAATTTACTAAAATGATCAAGAATAATATGTTGAGAGCAATATTTTAATCTGCCAGCCCTTCCATAATAATCTACAGTGGTTACATGAGATGGACAAAAAGCATGTAGAAAATTATTTTTAAATGGACAATACTGTTTGGTCAAAGATAGAGCAAACATCAAAATACTCTTTAGAAGAAGTCGTCCTAGCAAAACCAGTAACAAACTTTTATCATCTTTACAGAAATAAACTTTTTCTAATTAGTATCCTTGTATATTCACACATATAAACAATTTTTGCACATGCTTATATATTTTATTATAAACTACAGATATATTCTGAGGAGCTGGAATTGTGACACAGTGGGTAAAAGCCATCGACCCAGCCAATGCCTAGTCATTTGGAAAGCGAACCAGTAGACGGAGATTTCTCTTGCCATCACTTCCCCTTTCTCTGTAACTCTACCTTTCAAATAAATTAAATAAATGTTTTCAAGAAAATATATTTTTGAGGAACATATATATACTCTATCATAAATTCTAAAAGAATATAAAAATTACCTAAAAATTTCTAACTGATAAAGCATATGATTCTTATAGTTTATAGTCTTATCACGGACAATTCCTTACTCTTTATTGATGATCAATATTGATTCTGAAATTGCAAGGCCCATAAAGAATACTTTCTCCCCTGGCCTCCTGGGCAGCTGAGTTAGTAGTCGGTTCCTACATAAGGCTATAGTTAGAGCAAGCAAGCGTCAAGTTGAAACACAACTAGAAGAAAAGTTTTCCCCTTCAAATTTCTCTTTCCCTGCACTGAGCAAGTGAGGTCATTCGGTCAACGTAACAAACATAAAGCACATGAAGACAGGAGAGCAATGAGGGTGTGAAGGACCTGGGTACTTGGTGCTGCTGAGCCAATAATGGTGCTCATTCTAGACTCACCCCAGACGTCAGTACTGAGGTGACCAAGCCTCTGTCAGTCTAAGGAGACTGTATTATTTAAAGGAGAACAGACTTCTGAAACATCTAATATGTAATTCTACTTATTTTCTCAGAGTATTCATGTGAGCAGCTAAGTATCACATAGGAACTAGACACAGAGCACCTGATTTCCTGTTTACTACGTAAAGAGCAGAAGGCTGAGCATCCTTAATCTGAGCTCTCAACCGCAAATGCTCCCAAATCTGGGACTTTTTTGGTGAAGATACACACTTTCCTTCCATTTTTACCCAGAAATATAGAAAGTATGAGTATGTGTTGTGTTGTGCTGACGGCTAGTCCACACCAGCACACGGAAATCCAGAGCTCCTGTCATCCATAGAGAAAGGCAGGCCCAGAATACCAGGGCCCTAAGGAGAACAAGACCATGTCTCTCCCAGCACAAGCCCAAGTCCTTCCCATCTGAATTCTCCTATTCAGTGGAGGACAAACACTGTAAATTCTTAAAACTTACCCAGCAGCACAGTGCGTGGCGCATACACCAGGCAGCTAGCCCCTGCTTCTTTCTTAAGAAGAATGTGGTAAAACTTAAGTCTCTTCCCCTTCTATACTCTCCTCTTTTTTTTTATAAACATTACTGTTTATTGTAATAATCTGGTAGTTTCCAGAGAGCCATGTAGGCCTGAGTCCAACAACAGACAAGAGCTTAAGATGGCTAGAAGTGAAAGTTATGCAGACTGAACATGAGCTGGTAAAACAAAAAAAAAGCTGGCCACAGTGATTGTAACCTGGGGCTCATGTTCTGGGTCACAACTTCCACGACATTACAGAATCCAGACTTTGGAGCATTTCAGATTTCAGATTTGGGATGCTACACGGGTAAAACCCACACAAACATTCTAAGTCTGAAAACTGAAATACCTCTGGTTCCAAAACCCCCAAGTACTGGTTGCTCAGTCCGCACTGCTGGATGGAGCATAGAACCTCGTGGAGATTTCTGTACAGTCCACCATGCAACTGGCAGCTGATGGTAGACTCCCTCCCCACTGGCTACAGAGAACCGTCAACCCAGGAACGAAAACTCACTATTTAATCTCGGAAAGAAACAACACTGAAAGAGACAGCCTGAAGTAGGATTCTGAAGTTAAGTTTTTCGTTTTTTTTTTTTACATTTTTTAAAATATGCTTTTTCCTATTTCTATGAATCTGGCAGGCTCTACGTTTTGGGTTTCTCCAGAGCTGCTTCAAAAGGCTATCAAGAATTGCCTAAAACATAAAAATTTATCCATCTGATCAAACAGTTGTCAAAAGCATTCTTTTTGCTTTGCTTTCTCCATTTCTCTTATGGACGTCTGATTAAAATAAATGAATCAATGACTAGTAACATTTACAAACAGGAGGTTTTCTGGATTAAGCTATTTCACATCCCAGGAATGACTTTGGTTGAACAAAACAGATCAGCATTGTCTTTTAGAATCTAGGATGGAAATAGGAATAGCTGGAATGCTGGAAAACTGGCCCTAAGTAAAATTACGAGGTAGCTGGTTCCATTTAAAACAAACATTGTAATTAAGTGTAGAGGACTGACAATTGGTAGATATTATTATATCAAGACATCACATTTACAGAGCTAACGCTTCAATAAGAATATCAAACTGAATTAATTAGGCAAATAAATCAGAATAATTTAAAAATAGAATGGTTATGAACGTGAAGAATAGTAATTGTTATCGAGAAGACAGACATTGTATGTGCCCTCTAAGCTTCTACGCCAAGTACACTGTATGCACTGTGGAAAAATGGGGAGGAAAGGGAAGAATGAAGCCTTCTGCCTGGAAAACTGTATGACGGAAAACAACAAATACATAACTAAAAATAGTAATTATTTTTTAAAGATCAAACACGGTGTAATGCAATTCATAATAGTTTAAAAAAATTCACCAGCGTAGTAATGAGCAAAAGCCTCGAGAGGAAATATACAGCAGCATTTGAAAATGTGCCGGTTACCGAGTAGAGGTACCGCTGGTTGAACTGCTGCATGGCTCCCTGCAGCTGGTTCCGCTGGGACTGCCACTGCTCAAAATTCCGCACCGACTCCATGGTCGGCCGCTGCCACGTGGTGGTCCTGGTGTTGTGGTCCACGTAATAAACTCTCCCACGGTCATCAACTCTTCTTTCCCAACTACGGTAGATAAAATTTGAAAATAACAATATTAAAATGATCTCTCAATATAAAAAAAAAACTGAAAAGAAGTTACTACTTCAGAGAATTAAAAAAACCAAGCTCCAGATGTAATAACCTTAAAAGGACATAATTATTTTCATACTTTAGGAAAATCTGGGAAACCATGAACGGTTTGTTTCAAATAAGTTACCTTCCTGTTCTAATACTCACACAATTTCCAAAGACCTGTATCAGTCTGCCAACCTTTTCCCATTTCTTTAACATTCCGGCTACTGAGAGTACTTACTGCATATGAAGCAATGTGTCCTACCAACACTGCCCACATTTCACATTTACTTAACTCCTCCACCTTTTTTTTTTTAACTCACCTTCCTGTAGTTAAGTTCGGCCAGCCCCTGAAGTGAAGGTGGAATCACGTTATTCCACCAGTCACAGCCTCTGGCTTGCACAGGCATGAACTCCTGCCCCTGCCTCATCTTTGCGCTCCTTCAGCAGAGCCAGAGTGACCCCCTGCTGATTCCCAGGGGATCATGCATTCTATCCCGGCATGCTTTGCTTCTAACAGTCTCACAGAATCCACTGTCCTTCTCCTGTTTTCCTATCAACCAAAATTCTACTCACCTTCCAAGGTTCAGTTAATCTCTAATTCCTTCTACATGGCCAGATCTATCAAACAAATCTTGTCAATTTACTGATTGACTATATCAGATCTTTTCATCAACCAAACCTAAAGTTTTTCTATAAATTGATTATTAAAAATACTATGGGATCAAACAAATTATATGTATGGTTCTCCTTAGAGATCTAAACTAGGTTACTTAATAAAACCTAATGATGTAAGGTTAGAGTAGATCAAAATAATGATCTACAAAGATGACAGCATGTAAACCTCTATTACATTATACCTAAAATAAGAGAAGTTTTAATTAATAAATTGAACATATTACATACTAAATAATGCTTAGCTATTAGACTGTTTTTTAGAACAACTCATAAACTTATCTTCCTTTAACTTTGCGTTAGTAACTTTTTATACTTCTTACACTGATATCTAACCGAACTATGCTATTTGCTTTCGTCCAAAGCAGCACCTAGACCTGAAATGTTTATTATCTCTGACACCCAGAGTACCTACCCTTCCAAGTCCAATGCCAATGTACCGACATATAACACAACGCTTGGAAAACTAAAAGCAGCAGATGTGTTATTCTGGTGAAATATTTCCCTTTTGTGGAATCAAGTAGCAAAGTCTCCTCAATACAGCACATGAATCAGACATTTCCATACAGCAGTCACTTCAGCTCTGGCAGGCTCACCATGTAAAACCACTCACTTAACCCCCATTTATTCTGTTTTCACAATTTAAATATACATATATATATATATATTTGCATAACACAAAGATACTGCAGAAAACGCAAGGGATCAGTTAAAACTTGGAAACACTTGTGTCACATCACAGGCAGCTAACCTCCTTACTGTACAGTCTCTCCTGGACTTTACCCGGTTCTCCCACGCGAGCATTCGGGTTGTCACGCTGTTTCCCAGCTACACTAGCACGAAGCTTGATGCAAAGTAGTGTAACGTGGGGCTCATCCCAGTACTTCACCAGTGTCACAAGCAGCAAATTTAACATAACAGTAATACAACTCCTAAAATAACTTCAAAAAATTTAAACTTTTTCACTTTTCAGACCAGCAAAGATCTAAATCATGATAACCTTTTTTCAGTCAATGCTAACAGAAAATAGGCACTGTCATATATTGCATGGGAAAAGCAAAAATTTGGAGGAAAATCTGACAGTATTCCAAATGTTTTACAGATACACAAAAGTGCTTCAAAAACATCATGGAGAAATGAAATTATTTTATCTGATACAAACCATCTGAAATTCATGCCTAGCTTTAAGCTGTCGTATTTGAGAGAAAACAGGCAGGATTGCGCTTTTCTGTCTGGCTTAATTCACTTACTGCAAAGCTGTCCATTTCCACCCACTTCACTGTAAATGTCAGCATCTGCTTCCTTTTTCTTATGGCTAAGTCATCCTCCACTGTCCCTGTATATAACACATTCGCCTTGCCCATTCTTTCACTTCTGCACATGTATGTCAGTCTACATCTCGGCTATTGTGAATAATGGTACAACAAGCGTGGGAGTACACTTACCCCTCTCATGCGCTCATTTCATTAAACAGATAGTATACAATATTAGAGAATGTAATATACACATGCCTACAGTATGTGCAATATATACACGTATAATATATATTACACACATACATCTATAGCAGTATATATTGTCTATATTATACACACACATATACATACACAGACACATGAACACACAGATGTGGGATCGGTGGACGAGACAGATACATTTTTAGTTCTTTGATGGCCCTTCAGTGTTCACAACGGCTATACTAATTTGCCTTCCCATTAACTGTGCAGTACGGTTCGTCTTCTCTATACTCTCCAAAGAATCTGTAAGGTTTTTTGTCCTTTTTGATAACAGCCATTCTAAGTGCAATAAAATTATAACACACTTCTTAAGTGACGTAATACAGAACTGATTTTGATGAAACTGCCGTCTAAAAATTATCTTAATTTTTAGAGGCCAGCATGCTTTCCATACTGTATTAAATAAATTTAAGTGGCAAAATACACCGGAAATACGTAAAGACGTCGCATTACCCTGGAGGTAAAGGCTGTGGTCTCTCCCACGTGGTAGTTCGAGTGTTATGATCCACATAATAGGTTCTCCCGTGAGGATCTTTCCTCTGCTCCCACCTAAAATCAAAATACAAAATAAATGCAAAAGAAAAAAAGTTGGAAAATTCCTTCTTCCAATCAGGATACGGAGAGGTAAGCTCTACTTTCAAAGGTCACAGATACAAACGACAAAGACACTTGTTTTCTCAATTACAAGTGATTTTTAGTCTCTTATGCCTATTGCAGCACTAGAAAAGCAAAACAAAATAATACCTACAAGTCTCAAGTTACTAATTCACAGATTGCAAACCAACACAAGGAAAACTGAATCAGCAGAAGACTATTCGCCTAAATTAAGTCCAAGACACAAAATGTCACCTGAGATCTAAAAAACGGGGCCTGGCGTGGTAGCCTAAGTCCCTGCCTTGCAAGCGCCAGGATTCCCTATGGGCGCTGATGTGTGTCTAAGTGGCCTCACTTTCCACCCAGCTCCCTGTTTGCGGCCTAGGAAAGCTGTCAAGGATGGCTCAAAGCCTTGGGACCCTGCACCTGCACAGGAGACCTGGAAGAAGCTCCTGGCTCCTGGCTTCAGGCTTCAGATCAGCTCAGCTCTGGCCGTTACCGCCACAAATCAGTGGATGGAAGATCTTCCTCTCTGTCTCTTCTGTCTTTCCAATAAAAATAAATAAATCTTTATAAATAAATAAAGAAGTAAAAATTTTGGAGGAGGTTTAAGGACGTATGCGTTCATATGGCTCAGTGAAAATTCTTTCATAAGCGTCTTCTCATAGGGTATCTCTACCCTTTCATTGGATTTTATAGGCTTCTGAATTAATACTAATCATGATTTATCTTTTGATTGCTGTACAATGGCACTACAAAAACTCTACGTAAAAATAAAAAGATAAGCTTACTTTGGTGCAAAAAAAAATCTTTTTAAATTGTTGCGATTTTTTTTAGAATACACATTTTTTTCCATGAACTTTCTGAAGACTTTTTATATTCTGAAGACTCTCAAGCTATGCATTTCCCTACTTTTTTTCTCATTTGTGACTCCATATTTTTTTCCTTTAAATTTTATCTTAACATGGTATAACAGGACAATTTAAAAAAAGTAAAAACCTGGAATTTCCCAATTTAATACTCTTGATTTCACTTATAAAGTAAAATAAATATTTCTCTTCAAAAATGCTAAATCTGTGATTAGAGGTCTTCGATTATTAAATCACCGTCCTCACTTCCACACAGAGACCACAGCAGGATGTACTAAGTTTAAATTTATTTATTTTTAAATTACTTTTATTATTTTCTATGATACACTTTTGTAGGTATAGGGATTCTGCCTTGCCATCCCCACCCACCATTTCCCCCATAGTATTACAGTGGTATAGTGGTATAGTCCTTTAGTAACAGTTATAAGTTTAATAGTCTGCTATTTAAGTGCATCATGCATTGTAGGGATAGACAAAGACAGAAAATCTAGTATTATATAGTCAAGAAAGAAGTGGTGATGAAGATGACACTAAGCAGCCAGACTGATGACCATCACGCTAAATAAGCCAATTCCAAAAGGACAAATACCATATGTTCTCTCTGATATAAGACAACCTCCATGCAAAATCCAAAACAAAAAACATATAAGTAAATTTGTATGTGTACACACACACACACTCTCACAGATGAACTGCATAATAGGGACTAGAATACCAACAAGTGAAGTACCCATCTCTACTCCCAAATCAAAGATGGACTCCCAATGAAACTGTTCAGTATATCCTGACAATAGGATGATGGATTTTATACCATTGTCTATACCTACAATGTCAGGATGCATTTAACTAGCAAAATGATGCACTTGTGACTGTTGTGGCGGGACCATACTATTTTATAATATTATAGCAATGAGTGGGGGGAAAGGGGAGAGAAGGGGAAGGGACACCCCTGAGCTAGGGTACTGTGTCACGAAAAAAAAAATCACTTAGTCTGCAAGGCTCGGAGGCTGTAAGAAAAACGATCGTGGCCGCTGTCTCACTTTGCCTTCCTAAAAGCAACATTTTCAACTGTTTGGTCAAATCATTTGGCATTATCTTCTGCTTATTTTTTACATGTTTATCATTAGCTTTACCAGAGATACTTTTCCAGTGACATAAATCTCCCCCCGAAATGCGTGAACTCTTTCAGTGATTATCACCCAGTCAAGAACAAGCACGACACTGCCCATCCCCCCCAGGACCTGCCTTTCCCACCATGCTCATATCCACTTCACTCCTGTCCTAGCCATCCCCGGTGCCCACACTCCACACATTTTATTTTCTCACCTACTTTTGAAGAAACAGGAAATCCTTCCTAAGAAAGGCACAGGAAACCAAATTTTGGAAATCTAGGATATGTGAAAATATGTTTACATATTCATCCAAGTGGTATTAGATGCAATTCCAGCCTGGGTATAATCTCCCTCAGCGTTTAAGGCATTGGCCCATCCTGTTCCTCCACCTGTCGGTTCATCACCCAGATGGCCCCAGTGGTTAGGGCTGGACCAGGCAGAAGGCAGGAGTCGAGGAGTTCCTGTGGGTCTTCCAAGCAGGTCAAGGGGACTCTTTTCTGAAATAGCAGGGACTGCTTTGGAAATGGAAGAGTGGGAACATGAACCAACATCCATATGGAATGGCAGCTACAGGTGGTGAGTTCAGAGCTAGCTTCAATGTTAGCTCTTGAAAATGTTCTTATTAAATCTTCTAATGTATTAAATGTCTAAGATTCTTCTTTAGTTTTTTTTTTGATAATTCCTTTTTCATAACACCTGCTTCTAGTTTTTGTTTTGTTGTTTAAAGATTTATCCAATGTTATCTGAAGGGCAGAGCAGAGTCAGAGAAATCTTCCACGTTCAGGTTCATTCCCCAAATGGTCTCAACTAACCAGAGCTGAGCTGACCCAGAGTCAGGAGCCAGAGGCCTCCTCCGGATCTCTCAAATGGGTTCAGTGGCCAAAGAGTTGGGCCATTGTCCACTGTTCTCCCGGGCCATAGGCAGGGAACTGATCGGAGAGGAGCAGCTGGGACACGAAGTGGTGCTCATATGGGACATCGGCACTACAGGCAGATGAGCAGTCTCTACGCCACCATGCCAGCCTAAGCTTTTTATATGTTATATTTACTTTTATTACTGACATTAGTAAAATAATGTTTTCTTCAAGCAGCATATATTATGTTGTTTTATTATCTTTTACATTATGAGGCTCTTTTTGTGTATCTAATGAGAAGGTTCCAAAAAATATATAGTAGTATTATGTGTTGGTGGGGTCTATGGGTTGTGAGGTTAACCATTATCAGCATTTGCAGCCTGCCAAGAGGGAGTCTGTAGTAAGAAGATGCTTCTAGTCTCCTGGGTAAAATCCTAGTAGTTAAAATCTTGAGATTCTGTTGGGAGAAGGGTCTGTGTGTGAAAATTAACTTTGCAATGTTTCAATTATTTAGTCTTAGAAAAGGCTCCGCTATTTAATCCAGCCTCAGGAGCCCTCCCAGGTGTCTGCACCCCCAAGCTCCCAGCACTCTTAGGAAACACAAGACGCTGCAATTCTGGCTGGGGGGATACGGAGCTCCATTTCGAAAACTGGTTTTTGGTCAGTCTGGCTGAGTTGTGTCATCTTCACCACCAGTTTCTTCTTTTCAAAGATGTATTCGTTTATTTGAAAAGAAGGTTAGACAGAAGGGGTAGGGGAGGAGAGGAGAGGCAGAGAGATCAGCCATTAGCTGGTTCGCCCCTCAGTGTTCGCCATGGGCAGGGCAGGGGAGAGCCGAAACCAGGAGCTGAGAACTGCTTCCAGATTGCCAACCTGGGCACAAGCGCCACTTGGGGCTGCTTTCTTCAGTGCACTGATCAAAAATCGGGTGAACGTGTCAATCTTCTTGTACTCACATGGAATTTTTTTTAAAGGAAGTGAAAAGCAATAATGCTCAGTGTGATCTCATTTTCTAGAAATAAGTTATGCAAAAGAATTGATAGAGCTGTTCTGTATCCTTCTTACCTATTAGAACTTGTTACTAATGCTACCTAACTTGTCTGATGCTACCAAATACAGTTTTACAAATGGCGCCATCTGCCGGCCTGCTAAGATGCAAACTCCACAGCATCAGAGACCCGGTTGTTTCTGCCCCTCTTTGAACAACATTCCGCAACACCCAACACAGAGATGGCTCACAAGTATTTACCAAAGGAATAAAATGTGGACATTGTTCAAGAAAGGGAGCTTTCTGTACGACTTAAATATTTTATTTGGTCATATCCTTTTACACACACACACACATATATATATAATTTGGAAAAATTTTAAGCTGGGGTGTGGGGAATAAACATAATGAAGATTCCATTTATCACCAGGCTGTGAAAGCCCTTTTCTAATCTAACTGAAAATATTTCTAATTTAACATGCAACAAAAATTCAGCGAGCAGTCACATCCCAAGGATACTTGTCTCCAAAACAGAAGGTCACTTTCAGATTTCAATGTCTGCCTTCAAACAGAATCTCTGTCTCTCACAATACACAGCGCAAATATTCCTGACCATTTTCTGCACTCAGTGCACTAGATCAAGTCAGACAAATTGCTGTAAAGGGCCAAAAGGTATTCTTAGTTCTGTGGGCCAAGAAGCAAATCATATGTAGATACTTACATAAAGCAAGAGGAAACTCCCCCATCATTTGGCTGATGAGGCAGCCCAGGCTGTGAGCGCTCTGTGTACCCTACTGCTGGCAACAGTGTTAGGACACAGGCCTTCCGGTTCTCCAGGGAAGGGCCAGGTAGATCTAACCCTCCCTCGGTGACTCCTGGACCCTACTGCAGTCTGCTCGTCCTCTCCCGAGCAGTGAGATCCCACTGCACAAGCCCTAGAGCTTTGAGGGCCCAGAGTGCATGCACAAAGCTGCTCTTCACACAAAGTCATGAGATCTACTCGGGAAAGCATGCAGAGGATCAGAAGACTCACGATACTGACAGCAGCCAAAATCAGACGGGCCAGTGAAAAGCACAGAGAAAAAACCAATTCGGAAAGTAAGCAAGGAGGATGACTGCAACAACAAACACAGCAAAGGAACCAGACCCTTCCAGAAGTGTGGTTGACGTTCTGACTGCCACAATCGCTAAGAAAGCACCACGGCCATAGTTTTATCATAGACCTTTTCCAGTCTGCTTCAAATTATATTTATGTATTTACAATTCTGAACCCACAAGGAAGCTATCTGAAGACAATGGTGATGAACCAGTATATCAGTAACATCGGTGCCAAGTAAAGAGTCTAAAGCTGGGGTGGAGTGGGGTCACTGGCATGGCAAGCATTGTGGCATTGCGGGTAAAGCTGCTGCTCCTAACGTCAGATCAACCATGGGTATCGGTTCAGATCCTGGCTGCTCTGCTTCAAGTTCAGCTCCCTGTAAAGGACTGGGAAAATCAGTGGGAGATGACACACTGTCTGGGCCTCTGCCAACCACGTGGGAGACTTGGAGGGAGCTCCTGGCTCCAGGCTTTAGCCTGGCCCAGCATTGGCATGTGGACATCTGGGGAGTGAACCAGTGGATGGAGGATCGCTGCCATGTGCCTAACTCTTTCAGATAAATAAAGTGATTTTTAAAAATTAAGTCAGTATAAAGTAGATGACCAAATGCAATAGACGGAAAGGAATACTCTTTAAGAATTACTGAATAGTAATGAAAAGCTAAGTCAGTTCATGGACCTAGCTGGCGGGGAGAGATGATTTTCCCAAGGATTCAGTATTACAACACTGAGGAAAATGACAGCGACTTGTCGAGCGTGAGGTCTGAGGAGCAGGCCACAATGGGACATGGAGAGCCCAGAGTATTACGTGGGGTGTCCTGGTCACTCCTAGCAAAGCAAAGCAAAGCAAAGCAAATTCAAACTGACAGTCTTGTGAATGAACACCAGATGTTCCTCCCTTCAGACCATTCATAATTCAAATGAGCAATTACACGGTTCCAAAAAGGTGCTTGTTCTGTAGCTAATGAAAAAGTCACAGAAATGATTAAAACTCAGACTTCAATTCTCAACACTGGAAACGTTTTCTATACATATTGAACATGAGCAAAGCTGCCACAGAAATGCAAGTCAAATGAGCAAAAACATCTTTAACATACCCAGATGGCAAAGTTTCTGCGCTGGCATTTCCAGACTGTTGCCGTGCAGACTCCGCGCAGCCCTCTGGCTGCCTTGATTTGTCAAAAGCAGAGCTACTTGCAGCGTCAGGATGATCAGGATCCCCCACGCTTCTAGCTTCAGTTCCCGGCTGTGCGCTGGCAGAGGCCACACAGTCACTGTTTTCCAAGGAAGGCCGTGACTCTTGCGCGGGAGGATCTTGGACAGCCGTGCCCGTGCAGTCTGCAGGCAAAGCGGCTTCCTCGGTGGCCCCAGGAGCAGCACCGGCGGGAGCAGGATCCGCTGCTGACGACGAGGAGGGCTCTCCATTCACTGAGGGGGACAGCGAGCACAACCGGTCAGCAGCGGCAAGGCAGCCGATTTTCTGATCGATAGGGGACACTGATTCAAGCCCAATTCAAACTGAACAATGTACCAGTATTCTCAGTAGAATATGAAACAAGATCAAGATGATGTTTTCATCGTGCACAGTTCAGGTGTAAATCTATATATAACACAATTTTAAGTATATGCACTATTAGCCTTAAAGTAGGAGAAACCAACATTAGAATATCAAGTGATCAACTCTAAGACAATGCGGGCCTGGGCCACACCAGAACTGTAACATGGCTCCTGTCACTCCTCCTTCTCGTGCAGCTAGCAGCTGGCAGCCACCCTCGTGTCAACAGTGAGAAACATATGACAGTACTAACCATGCCAGTACTAAAGGGAACGATACAGATTCAGGAACCCACTCGGCACCTCCTGAAGAAATAACTTTAGATTGGTGACAACAGTTTTATTTTTTTTTCTTTGAAAATGTATTTCTTTTGCTTAAAAGAGAAGGAGGGAAAGACAAAGGAGTTTTGCATCCACTTGTTCTCGCTGCAAGTGGCTGCAACAGCAGGAGTTGAACTAACCCAGAGCCAGGAGCTTCCTCTGCATCTCTCACATAGGTGCAGGACCAAGGACTTGGGCCATCCTCTGTTGCTTTCCCAGGAGGATTAGCATGGAGCTAGATAGGAAGTGGAGCAGCTAGAACTCAAACTGTTACTCATGGGATACCACTGCCACAGGCAGAGGTTTAACTGGCTGTGCCACAGGGCTTGTCTTAACAGTTTTCTTACTTTGCACTGTAATATGGTTGATTTACTTCAACTATGTGGCACTATAAAAATGAGTAAAAGGGCCCCGTGCAATAGTCCAGCAGCTAAAGTCGTCACCTTGAACAGGCTGGGATCCCATATGGGAACTGATTCTAATCCTGGCAGTCCCACTTCCTATCCAGCTCCCTGCTTGTGGCCTGGAAAAGCAGTCAAGAATGGCCCAAACTGTTGGGACCCTGCACCCGTGTGGCATACCCGGAAGAAGCTACAGTTCCTGGTTTCGAACTGGCTCAGCTCCAGCCGTTGTGGTCACTTGGGGAGTGAACCATTGGACAGAAGATCTTCCTGTCTCTCCTCCTCTCCGAATATCTGCTTTTCCAATAAAAATAAATAAATCTTTAAAAAAAAGAGTAAAAATAAAATTGCAAGGCCTAGGATGGTACTCTAGTGGCTAAAGTCCTCATCTTCCATCACTGGCATCCCATATGGGAACGGGTTCATGTCCTGGCTGCTCCACTTCCCATCCAGCTCCTTGCTGTGGCCAGGGAAAGCAGTCGAAGATGTTCCAAAGCCCTGGGACCCTGCACCCATGTGAGGACCCAGAAGAAGCTCCTGGCTCCTGGCTTTGGATCAGCTCAGCTCTGGCTATTGTGGCCACTCGGGGAGTGAATCAGCAGATGGAAAATCTCTGTATATCTGACTTTCCAATAAAAATAAATCTTTAAAAAAATCAATAACATAAAATAAAATTATAAGCAGAAGAGATTATTGAGCATAGCATTTTAGAAGACTACTATCACTCCATCACTGAATAGTAATCTATAGCCATTTTAAGGTGTAGAGAACCCAGCTGTATATAAAATAATAATTGTAATGTCAATGTAGAAGTCATAGGATGTGGTTCAGAACTTGTACTTTTTGTTGTTGTTATTGTTCTCTCTCTCTCTTTGAACATGCTAGTTACACAATACCATGTCAACTAATTCCATTAAGTTATAAATTGTTACTGATGTAATGTTGGGGCTTTCAATTTATTGGGATGATACTCTTTCGGCTGTACCTTCAGACCAGAGACTGTCTCCCCATGAAACTGTTGAACTTATCTGCACAATAAGATGCTGGACTCTATGCTCTGTAGATGCTTGCAAGGAAAAAAATCTCAACTGAATTTGACCTGTGGTAATGCAACAAGTTGGAAGAATCCACCATGGGGGGGGGGAGCAGGTTTTGGGGAGGGGAGGGAGGAATCTCAGTGCCTGTAAAACTGTGCCGCATGATGTAATGTAATAAAAAAGAAAAAAAAAGTAAATAAATCTTAAAAAAGACTACCATCAAAGTTACCAAAGTTTAAAGAAAATGACATAAGAAGATATAGAGTAATGCAAGGTTTATTTTTATTGGAAAGGCAGCTCAGATTTATGGAGAGCAGGAAAGACAGAAATGTGCTCCATATGCTGGTTCACTCTCCAAGTTCACTCTATAATGGCTAGAATGGAGCTGAGCTGATCTGAAGCTAGGAGCCACGAACTTCCAGAACAGGGAGCTGGGTGGGAAGTGGAGCAGCTGGGACACAAACCAATACCACATGGGACGCCAGTTCTTGGAGGTGAAGTATTAGCCAGTTCAGTCAAAGCGCCAGTTCCTAGAAATGTTCAAATTTAGAAAAAACCTCAAGTACTACAATTTTGAAATTTCTTTTAAAAAAAAATTATTTTATTTTTATTGCAAAGGCATACTTATAGAGAGGAGGAGACAAAGATCTTCTACCCACTGGTTCACTCCCCCATATGGCCGTAACGGACAGAACTGATTTGATCTGAAGCCAAGAGCCACGAGTGTCCTCAGGGTCTCCCATGTAGCTTCAGAACACCAAGGGCTGGGCCATGCTCTGTTTCACGCTTTCCCAGGCCACAAGCAGGGAGCTTTGTCAGAAATAGAGCAGCCAGAACACAAACTGGTGCCCATGTAGGAGGCTGGCACTTATAGGTGAAAGGTTATCCAACAGAGTCATTGCACCAACCAATTTTGAAATTCCTAACACAGAAGAACGACTGTACAATATAAGGAGCACAGGCTTAAATATTTTTTTTTCAGGCATAAATATTTACATTTGATTTTGTTTTTACTTAAATAATGTGCCAAGCAGTCTTTCTCACCAGCGTCATTGGCATGCTCAGGCATGAGTGGTTTTGGAGCTGGTATATTTTTGGGTCTGGCAGAAACCTGAGATGGAGGAGAAGGTGTGTCGTCTCCATTAACCACACACGAACAGCAAGAGTCCTGGCCTGCAGCATCCGCAGCTACGTGATTATCTATTCCAGGAGTACCTTCAGCAGCCAACCTGTGAATGTATGCAAACAAGAAAGTCTTCACTTTAATGAGTTAGGTACAATTAAACGACTTTGTCATAATTTTCTGAAGAAAGATTTACTGATTTTTTTTTAAGATTTTTTTTTTTTTTTTTTTTTTTTTTTTACTTTTATTGGAAAGTCAAATATACAGAAAGGAGGAAAGACAGAGAGGTCGATTTTCCATTTGATGATTCACTCCCCAAGCGGCCACAACAGTCAGAACTGAGCCGATCCAAAGTCAGGAGCCAGGAGCTTCTTCCAGGTCTCCCATGCGGGTGCAGGGTCCCAAGGCTTTCCCAGGCCTCGACTGCTTTCCCAGGCCACAAGCTGGGAGCTGGATGGGAAGTGGAGTTGCCAGGATTACAATCAGTGCCGATATGGGATTCCAGCGTGTGCAAGGCGAAGACTTTAGCCCCTGGGCTACTGGGCCCGATTTCCTGACTTCTTAATTTCAAGCACTAGGTATAAAGAGTAATGAACACAGACACAATACTGCTATTATTCTAAATATCTAAACTGACAAATGAAAAAATATTGGGGTATATAATCATATCCTAATTAAAAAATGAATCCATATATTAGAATATTTATCTAGGAATATGAATCTGCTCCAGGCTCTGAAAGTAGTTACAAACAGCTCATGAAATTCATATGGAATTTATAATAAAAAAAAACCCTTTAAGCTTTTAATTTTACTGAATACTAAAACATAAGCCAAAAAATTTGGCAAACATTGATCCTAAACTATGTATTAGGCAGTAAAACTAAAAGTACACAATGACAGGAAAAGCTAATCAGCCTAGAATTAGAAGAACTTACAGGATAGGGGCAGGCATGTGTCCTGGCAGCTACTGTGCCAGCTAACATGGCTTCATCCCATGGTGAAATGCCTCACCTTGGAGTCCTGAGACCTGTCACTGCCTCCAGCTTCCTGCCAACACATGACTTGAGACGCACCAGGTGACAGCCCAAGCAGATGCGTCCCTGCCACCTACACGGCAAATCAGGACTAAGCAGATGCCTGCTCCGGCCAAGGCTGATGTAGGCGTCTGGAGACTGAACCACTAAATGGTAACTGTGGCTGTTTCTGTGTGTCTCAAATACAGACACACACACATTGATAAAATAATTTTACAAGAATTTATAGTGTAAATTAAGTGCAAATAAATACATAAACAGTACAATTAAGAAAAAGATTTAACTCTTGTTAAATGATCAGAAGAGCTCTTCCAGTCACAGAGGCTAGCCTATCTGTGTTCTCCACAGAGCAGCCTGAGTGTCCTTTCGAATGCAGAAGTCAGACCAAGTTCCTCCTCTGCTTAAAGTCCATTATGCTTGAGAAAAAAATCTATACTCTTTATTTTTAAAATTACTTAATTTTTGTATTTATTTATATTAGAAAGTCAGATTTACCAAGAGGAAGGGAGACAGAGAGGAAGATATTCCACCTGCTGGCTCACTCCCCAAGTGGCTGCAATGGCCAGAACTGAGCTGATTCGAAGCCAGGAGCAAGGAGCTTCTTCCAGGTCTCCCATGTGGGTGCAGGGTCCCAAGGCTTTGGGCCATCCTCGAATGCTTTTCCAGGCCACAAGCAGGGAGCTTGGATGGGAAGTGGAGCAGTCGAGCTATGAGCCAGCGCCCATATAGTATCCCAGCGCATGCAAGATGAGAACTTTAGCTGCTAAGGCTATCATGCTGAGCTCAAAAATTTAGATTCTTAAGAAGTAAGCAAAGCTTCTGAAAATCTGTCCCATTTCTCTGACCTAATTTCTTTCCAAATTTCTCTTTATTCACCTTATAAGAGATAATCTGTTTCAATCTTAGTAATATGAAAAGCATTTAAATGTTTATTACCAATTTATGCATTAGGCAGTAAAATTACAATGAATACAAGATGTTAAGAGAAGGTTAAATACTATATTCTAGAGTCAGGAGAATCTGCAGAACATGAATTTCCTGTAAACATACATAAGGTGTTTTTATTTACGTGGCCTAGAATTCTTCTCTCTGACAGTTCTCTGCAGAGATCTGAGAACCCGGTGAGTAATGAATCCGGTCTCTTTTGGCGAGGACACCTGTGTGGGAAGTCTGGGCAGGTGTTGACTGAACATCCTCCCAAAGGATTCTGATTTGTGTGTCCCTCTCCAGGCATGTGGTGAATCCGCGATACGGAAGTGTAGGTTAAACAACCCATGTGAAGGCTGTTACTACAGTCCTCATCTTTGACTCAAGATGTGTGATTTATAGTGAATAATTTCAGGTTAGTAGTTATTCACGTCCCTTTGTCCACCTAAAACTGCATTTTAAAGATCAGAAAAGCCTGTACACATCCGTCAAAAAAACACACAGTATCCCTGAAACTGTAAAATCTTTATGTATAAAGTTAAAAAAAAATACATCATTCAAATGAGAAACCAATCACAAAGGTACATATACACATACTAATACATTTTGATCAACTCAACTGTATCCTTTCGGTCCTTACTTTTCCCAATGCTAATCATAACATGGATATTCAACATATTTATTTAAGTCAAATATACACGTTGAAGGCCAACATCTATTTAAGTGCTCTGGTGAGAATTACCACTGAGTTAGGCATGCTATAATTATTAATTTGTTTGGATTAATAAAAGTCACATTCTTGCTTACTTTTTCAAATGTAATATGCCAATTTTATAGCAGTATATGTTTGTATTTTAGGTGTTAATTTCATTACACTTAATTTCATTTACAGTTTTATACCTGCAACATGAATAGCAGAGAGCTTTTCAGAAGGCAGGGTGATTTCTCAGGGAAGACCACAATGAGTGGGTCATCTACCTTCTCTTCTACAGGATCAAAACATCTAGGGCAGCACGAAGACTTTCTCATAATTCTTAACTCTTTCTACCAACAAAATAAACCCACATAAAAAATTTTTTTAAAGTCACATTTAAGCCTTACAAAATGAGGCACTGTTTTGATAACCACTGCTCTATAGTATGTCCAGAGGTCCGGGATTGTGATTCCCCCTGCTAACTTCTTATTCTTCAGGATGGTTCTAGCTATTCGTGGTTTTTTGTGTTTCCAGATGAACTTTTGAATCATTGTATCCAGTTCTGTGAAGAATGTTTTGGGCAGTTTAATTGGAATTGCATTGAAAATGTATATTGCTTGTGGTAGTATAGACATTTTAATGATATTGATTTTGCCTATCCAGGAGCATGGGATGTTATTCCATCTTTTGAGGTCTTGTTCAATTTCCTTTTTAAATAGTTTGTAGTTTTCTTCGAATAGGTCTCCTACGCTTTTGGTTAGATTTATTCCCAAATACTTCATACTTCTCTCTGCTGTTTTGAATGGTATCCTGTTGGTTAGATCTTCCATCTTGGTGTTATTTGCGTACACTATGGCTGTTGATTTTCGTTCATTAATTTTGTACCCTGCCACTCTGCTAAACTCTCGTATAAGTTCTAGTAGTTTCTGTATTGAGTCTCCTGGTTTTTCTATGTATAGAATTATGTCATCTGCATATAGTGAAAGCTTGACTTCTTCGTTTCCTATACGTATGCCTTTGATTTCTTTTTCTTGTCGTATGGCCTCTGCAAGTACCTCTAGGACTATGTTGAATAGCAGTGGTGATAGCGGGCATCCTTGTCTTGTTCCAGATCTCAGTGGGAAGGGTTCTAGCTTTTCTCCATTCAATATGATACTGGATTTGCAGAATGACACATTTAGACAAAGGGCTTTTAAATTCTGTGGCAAATTCTGAACTAAGGTTAGAATTTAAAACTTCATAAGTGAGAAATGATGCATCGTCTGGAGACAAAGTAAAACACTCTACCTGGTAGTTGTCCTTGCTGCAGACTCTCCATTTTCATGTAAGGCATCACCATTTTGCCGTATTTCTACTAAACAACGAGAAAGAAACAGAGTAGGTTTGGATATGCTTCTTGGTTAATCTTTTTCCCCCTTTAAAACATAAAAAGGTATCAGCTTAGCTTACAAGTTGGAGATGAGCTGCAGTTTGCTAGGTTTTCCTGCTCAACCACCAATCCATCAAGCACAATTGTCAATTCACCAGTTTGCACTACGCCATTCTTGTTTTCCAAGGAAAGTTTTAATTGTTCTTTCACTCTTTCCACTACAAAAAAAAAGAATATTTTAATTTAAGGGCTTTTGCCACACACAGAAATATGAGCCACAGCAGGAAGGAATTCACTGCATTTCTATCTTCAGACCTTCCTTTCCCACACCAGGATCAATCCTTTTTCACACCTAACTAACTTCTTTCCCTCAACCTCAGGTTTTTCACAGCATTTTTAATTGCTTCTGGATATTTTATAAACTTCAGGTAACATATAAGCGCACCAAATAAACGTAGCTACTGCCTAAACTTTGATCTTCTGCTCCTGTTTTCATAGAGGACTCTTGGGGCCAAGGCAAAATTTCTGCACACGACTTAAGTGGTCCAGGTATCAAAGCCAGCTCCGCTGCTCGCTAGCACTACTTCTGATAAGTTACATGAAACTTCTTGAGCCACTGTTTTCTCATTACAAAATGAAAACTGAAGTCATATGGACCCCATGCAAAGCCAGACAGAAAGCTGGAGTACCACATCTGATACACAGTCAGTGCTCAGTAAGTGCTAAGTACTGTGATGGTTTTTAAATACAAGGCCAGGTGCTTGCCGTTTCTAGGGCATCAAGCTCCTATTTAAACTCAGAGTCACTGTGCTTCAATTCTATCACATAAAAGATACGATAATGATATTGGCAAGAATGGGAGACGACAGCAACAGGGTACAAAGACAAGAGGGAGAAGATTCTTCCTGTGTGTTTACACAGCAGAACATCATTCTGTCCCCTATAAACAAATACAAGTATAATTTGTGAGTTTATACTTTAAAAAATAAAAGCTTAAAAAAGTTATCAACGATCACTTTATTGTTTGGACTGAGTTTGATTACTTCGATCTGCCTTTCAGTGGCTTATCACAGCTTTTGGAATCATGAGGCTGTGCATTTCTGTACAGAAACACGAAACATCCAACATAAAAACCCATGAACTAATCACTTAAATGCAGAAAAAAGGACAAAGCCAGTAACTAGAGAGCAACTACGAGGAAAGACAGAATCCCTGCTCCAAACATCTGCAGCACCATAATTTCACTTCTACCCCATCTCAAAATGAAGAAACAATTAAAATAGTTAGAAATTTCAGAAAGCTATACTGACCTACACTCTATTTCAAATTTGTCATCTCCCTGCACCTGAAGTGTCCAGAGTTTAACTAATTTTTTTTCTAAAATACTTCACTTTTGAATAGATTCCCAAAGAACAGATTTCTAAAATTGCTTTTTTTTTTTAGAATTTATAAATGTTTGTTTTCTGCTGGACATGAATTTTATTTTGCCAATGATCTTCACTCAACTCTTTGAAGAAATTTTTCCCACTATCTTATTACTGCTATCCGTACAATACTTCTTTATACATCTATGTAAGTGACCTGTGTTTCTCTATGGCTGCTTTTAAAAACTATTTTTCTTGCAAGTTGATGTACGTCTAAGTACAATTATCCTCTTTGGGACAGTATGCAACTCACGTTTATCATCAGTGTGGATTTATGCTAGTGTTAAAAAAACGGCAGCCATTAAACTCTTCTTAAAAGCACAGTGAGAGCCAGGGAGAGAGAGAGTCATTCTATCCCCTGGCCCACTGCTCAAATGGCCACAATAGCTAGACTTGGAACAGGTGGAAGCCAGGATCCAGAAGTTCCAACCAGGTCTCCCATGTGGATGGCAGGAACTCAAGCAAGGGCACCTTTATCCACTGCGACCCAGGCACATTTTTTTTTTAAAGATTTTATTTTTATTGGAAAGGCGGATATACAGAGAGGAGAGACAGAGAGGAAGATCTCCCGTCCGATGATTCACTCCCCAAGTGAGCGCAACGGTCGATGCTATGCCGATCCGAAGCCAGGAGCCTCTTCCGGGTCTCCCACGCGGGGAGTCCCAAAGCTTTGGGCCGTCCTCGACTGCTCTCCCGGGCCACAGACAGGGAGCTGGATGGGAAGCGGGGCTGCTGGAATAGAACCGGTGCCCATATGGGATCCCGGGCGTGCAAGGCGAGGAGTTTAACCACTTGCGCCACCGCGCAGAGCCAGTCTGTCTTAAAGCATGTCGTTGACTCTGTCCCCTGCAGGGGTCAGCAAGCTACAATATCTAAGTCAAACATGATTCTTTACCCATTTTTGTAAATAAGGTTTTAACACAGTATCATTCATTTATAAGTGAATCAATGGTTGCTTTCATGCTAAAATAGCAAAGATGAATCGGTATAACACAGATCGTACCGGCTACGGAGCAGAAACACTCATGATCTGCCTTGTTATCATTTAGCCTCTTAGGGAGTCTTGCTTGTGTTGTTCTAATCTGTGATCTTTGATCATGGGTTCATTATGTAACAGCAGATTAAGGATAATCTCTGGATTTCCATTCAGTCAGGTTTTGTTTCTAAGTATGACAATGATTTAAAGGTTCCCCTCAAGCAGTAGTTACATTTGTTTGGTATATTTATACGTTACCTGAAGTTTATGAAATATCCAAAAGCAATTATATATATATAATATATATACATATGTGATTAAGACTATAGGTCTGTCTCCAAGAAATTTATTTTTACAAGGCAAAAGTTGATTTTTTTAGATGTTTTTTGCATTTCTCCCTCATCCTCAAGATGGCAACAGAACAGTCTGAATCCTTTCGGAGCCACATATTAAACCTGGTAATTTACCTTGTAATCATGGATTTACTAAGAAACACACACATCCTGATAAAGTTTTTCAAATTCATATTGTGTTCATTCACACTCTGGAGCAGTTTGTTAAAACTGCTTAACAATGCTTTAATAATCTATCACTAAATAATAAAGCCACATAATGCTGGCCATTTCTGTAGGCTGGGAGTCAGAGAGGCCCATGTATGCGGGCCAACGGATGCTTCTCTCCAGGGCCTCGAGAGCCCTCGCAGCTGTGGACTGTTCGCCCCACACGAGGAACCCAGAACACCAAGGTGGAGAAGCCTCTTAGGCCAAGTCACGGCAGCCAGACTCTACACCAGTCACCTCTACCACCTCTGGTCCGCTGACGAAGTGGACTGCACAAAGTTGTAAAACAAGAGGTAGGAGAGCTTGGGCCATTTTGTTGGCTGGGCAACATAAACAAAAATATGATAAAAACCGGATTTTTAGAAGTAAAGTGAGGGATTTTTAGAAGCAAAACGAGGATATAAACATCATAAAAACCAGGTTTTCCCACTCTTAAGTCTTTCCATATCAAGCCATAAACCACAAAGCCTTCACCTTCTACTACGTAAAATAATCACAGAATTCATAAGACATCACAGTAAAAATATATAGATAACTATCAAATTCAGAGATTTGGAAGTATTCTTTGTGCGTAAAAATATCAAAAGATTAAGAACATTTAATGACTAGACTTCTCTTTAAGCCCAAACTCAGAACAAACAGAGGCAAATGATTACTTGAGAGGAAAAAAGAGCTCTACCAAACTGGTGAGAAAAAATAAACAGCTCAGTAGGAAAATGTGCAAAAAGAAAAAAAATGAGACAATATCAATTAAAGTAAAAATGATCCCTAAAAATGTGACCATAGTAATTAAAAATGATTGGATAAGAAAATCACTTTATCAGTTTACATATTAATATGGAAATATTTACTAAAGATACTCATATTTTGTGACACACAAAATGGTATGCTAATCTTAGGAAAACCACTAGTCAGCTATGTATAGTTAAGTGCTTAAAATATTTCATTTTTAAAAAAGATTTATTTTATTTTATATTGGAAAGTCACATATATATATATAGAGGAGGAGAGACAGCAAGGAAGATCTTCCATCTGTTGATTCACTCCCCAAGCAGTTGCAATGGCGGGAGCTGAGCCGATCTGAAGCGGGGCTGCTGGGATTAGAACAGGTGCCCACATGCGATCCTGGTGTGTGCAAAGTGAGTGAGGACTTTAGTTGCTAGGTTATTGTGCTGGACCCAAAACATTTCATTCTTAACGGGACCCTAGCTAGCTAAGTGTCATGTTTTGGAAGTAACATTCCCCACTCTTTGTAATTCCCACCTTCCTATGTGTTAATGATACACGCTGAACCTCCCCAGCACACTCTTGCCCTGACCAGTGGGGACCTGGGGATGCTATCATCTTCCCAGGTCCAGGTGTAATCTGAGAACGTGGAGGGGTGTGCTCTCTCTCACGTTTCCACTCCCAGGCCATTCTATCACTGAACATGGCCCCTGTGTCTCTGTGATCTCCTGCTACAATAAAAAGCCTATATTTTATGTTATATATATCCTACTAGCTACTTACAAAAACACAAGAAAAATTTAGAAAAAAAGAATTGCCATGGAATTGCCTTTGGAATCAAACTATAAGTCCCTCATAAGTCACCACTTTACCTGGGGATTTTTGACCTGCTAACCTACCTACTTATATAAACCAATGCCTTAAAATAAATTTCTTCTCATTAAAAAACACACACATGCACCCACATGTAACAAAACATTTCATTCTCTATCTGCCTGCCTGTAAATCAAATGGCCCCTTCCCTGAGATCTAGATGGGACAGCAGGGACTCAGGCGTGGTACTCTGTACCCACTCCCTTTCAAGGCTCCCAGGAAGCCTGGCAACAGGGAGAGGCGCACCCTCTCCTCCCACCCACACAAGATGAAAGGAGAAGGGTCTCCCATTTTCCCCTTCCCAGCCTGCTCCAGCCCTCAATATGACCCAAGTGTGCTGGGATTTCCTAAGCTTTTAACAAACCCTACCAACAAACAAAACACAAACCAAAACACCTTTCATTCCCTTAGGCATGGTAATGTCAATTCAAACATTTTTCTTAAGTGAAATCCATTTATGTAACTAGAAATAAATACTGTGTGCTAAATACTTCAGATTTGAAATAACTGTTTATACTGATTGTCAATTCATAAAATAAAAACGGAAGTCAAACAGGTAACTAACAAATGAGCTAAGCTGTAAGTAAACTTAAAGAAAGTTTTTAACTAAAACTGCCAGATTATGTTCTGTCCTCTACAATAAATGACATATTTCTCTT